GGAATTTGAAAAGCAGACTGAAATTATGGACATGAAAGAAGAGATGATGAATGATGTTATAGATGACGCCATGGGTGATGAGGATGATGAGGAGGAGAGGTAATGTATTATAGTTCAAGCTTTAACTAAGTATACTAAGTAGTAAAAGTAATAAAAGTGGTGAAACCCCACAATTTTTCCTTCATCATTGATAATTAAACAGTACATTAGAAATTATAGGAAATGAAGACAGATGGTATAGTACAGGACAGTACTGTACTACATTTACCATTCCAAGATTATGTCTTGCATGTGGAAATTAATATGAAACATAAATTCTTTGTTGGTTAAAGGTGTTATTCAGATAATCATTACTACAAGGTGATCTCACTATGTGTTAATTTTACAAATGTTAAATAGATTTGTTATATGCTGCCACCATTAGCCAACAGCGTCAACCAACTGGCACAAAAATGAAATAATAATACCTTATTTTACGGCATATAAGGCGCACTTTTTTTTCCAATTAAAAAGCTAAAAATATCACCCTGATAATATATGTTTTCACTTCACACTAATGAAATCATTACCATTACTTGGGTTTTCCTGGGAAAGCATTACTGTATGAGGTAGAGGATGTGAAAAAAAATCCTACTAAGTGTTGGATGATATTGCTGATTGTCTTCTTTTACTTCATTGACAGTGATGCTATTGTGTCCCAAGTCCTAGATGAGCTTGGCCTCCAAATGACAGAGGGTTTGAGTGAGCTCCCATCTGCTGGTGGAACACTTGGAACAACTGCTGCCTCAAAGACACCTGTAGCTGTAGCAGATGCTGCAGATGAAGACATCCAGGCCAGATTGGATAATCTCAGGAGAGAGTGAATATAAAAGGATTGGGAGTGCAGTATGATCAGTGAACATGAACTGCTTTTTCACGTGTTGATTATAAAGTTGTTATTAAATTGTATAAAATAGTCTGTATGATCCACTGATAATCAATCTACATAATGGCAACAAATATATGGTCACAAATACTATATGTAGTACTGTACATGCTCAGACACTTGATGTTTGCATACATGAATATGCAGGCAGTCCCCGAGTTACAAATGCCTGACTTATGAATGAGATCCCAGTATATTCATCACAAAAATCAGTTCCTAAAATCACATTTTTTATATTAATTTCATTAGTCTATATTGTTTAACACCACTTTATTCACAGTATCTTACGGACAGGGTCCAGGAATGTAACCAGTTCATAACTCGGAGACTATCTGTATTGGGATATCTTTGGTTGCAAATGAATGTATCAAGTCTAATGACAATTAAAATCTTTTGAATAATGTTCCTACTAGAAGAAAAAACAGTATTTACCACTTCTTAAATCAACAGTTTTTATGGCTTTTATAGTTATTGGTTGGCTTTAGTTATTAATATGACAGTGTATTGATCCCATTGTACTGATTAACAGTAAACAGTTGCTTCAGATTATTTATTTTACTTTAATGTTTATTGCTTGTGTTGCAGGTGAGATAAAGGAATCACTTTGTTTTGTATGCAGGTGGGTACTGATTGTTCTGCAGATCAATGAAACAATTTATTGGCAAGTCTGCACAGTATACTGTTTGTAGAAATGGACTTCACTCAAGTCTACCCTGATGAAAAATTAAGAACCAGAGAAGAGAGAAATATTTTCTTATTCTTAACCTCGTGTCCTAGGTGGGCCAGATGAGTCATAGTATCACAGTGAATAGAAAATTTATTCCAAAAGATCAACAGGATGCAGGTAACATTTAAAGAGTATGTTCTTTTAATAATTTTATGTATTATTTAGTAAGTAAACATTCGTGCGATAGATAAAACAGATCTTAATAGCCAGTAGTACGATGTTTGAATTATTTTTATTTTTTTTTTACAATCAAGTGTGGTAATATTGTCGTTGACATAATTGAAATACATCATGTGCAGCATGCTATAACATTTTGTAGCATCTGACATTGCTAAATATTAATTAGTGTGATTTAAAACTGAATTTTTTATGAATAATAAAATAATATATATTTTTTTTCATACACAAATATGTCGTAAAGTAGCATAACCATGCAAATAGTGTATGCAAGTAAATCAGTCTTTAAGTTCCTAATGTTACCATCTGATGAAAACTTCCCAGTGAGTTAATGAGTATCTTCTTGGATAAGAAAGGGTTACCTTATATGTGGCCTTCAAGTAATTGTTATGTTCTGGTCAGCACCTGTGATTGTGCCTTGTATTATCAACACCATTCTTTAAGATTTGCCAGTATTTTGAAGAATGCTTTACTGGAGTCATCTTCAAGGGCTTGGTATAATTTTTAACATCCCGCACAATAGCAGAGACCATTACAAAGTTCTGAAAGTTATCTCAGCAGGTAATATAATACATTGTATATTTGTATCCATTTGTCTCTGGTATTGAGAAAAAAAAATTTCAAGGCCACTTGGGTCTGCAGAAGCAGTCATAAATGTAAAATGAAATGTAAACAATGTTTATACTTGGCTGCTGCAGCAGACAATGTAAAGCTTACTATTTACAGGACTAGTTGATCACTAGTCTTGCTAAGTGTTCATTGTCACTCAGGTGATTGAGATGTAATTACACAAGTATAAAAACTTGATATGTATTAACTTTTTGATTGTCAAAATCTCTTCACTTACAAAGGCCAATAAGAGGTGAAACCCTATCCATTTCACATGATCATCCCAAGGTTCTCAAAATGTATGGACATTTTGGAACAGAATATACTGGTACAAATAAAAATGTCTTTGGTTATATATATATATATATATATATATATATATATATATATATATATATATATATATATATATATATATATATATATATATATATATATATATATATATATATATATATATATATATATATATATATATATATATATATGTGCTATAGTTAGCGCTATTCACATGATACTACTACACAGTGGAGTGATTTAGTTGCATATATATATATATATATATATATATATATATATATATATATATATATATATATATATATATATATATATATATATATATATATATAATCATCATTACAGTATTGTTCTGAATAATAGAAGATAGCATGTTTGGTTTTTTATTGACTCTAATATTTCTAATTTACTTTTTGTATTATTTGGAGGTGTGTATAATGATGTACTTAGAATGTCTAGAATTTTGTATTACACCAGAAAATAAGTATGGCATCAATGATTGCAATGCCTATGATACTGTTTTAGTGTAAGAACACAGATGATATATAAAGTACATAAATAATAAAACTACATTAAGCTTTCTATTATTAATACTGCAGTCTAAAAAAGATTCCAGTGTGTTGTATATTACACGTGATTTTATTTTTAGAGCATAAACAAAACAGAATAGAAAATGGCAACAGCATATAAATATTGAGAATTATGATGAACCTAACCTACTCCTATCTAAATAAAATCATCTGACACTACCCAAACAAAGTACAGCTACTCCTCGACTTACGACCGCCTCAGTCGTACCAAAAATTTTTCAAATTACAGTACAGTATTACCCCGCCTAACGCGGTTTCACTTAACGCGTTTTATCATATACGCGGTGCCTCGCCAGAGCTGAACTTTCACTTAACGCGGAATTTTTCATCATATACGCGGGAAGCGGCGCGGGCACGATGAGCACAAGGTCGCCCAGTCATCAAAACATTACCGAGTTCTTCACCCGCCACCCACCACAGCCGGCCCAAGTCAGTGATAGTGATAATTATAGTGAGGATATGGACTTATATGGCCTTTGAGGGGGTTTGACAAAGAGGCCCTGCAAGCCTCTGTGGTGGATAGTGATACAATTGATACAAGTGATACAGGTGAGGGCCAATAATCTGCCCTCTGCCTCGGAACCAACCCCCCATCCCCGTGTGCCCAGCCATCTTTTCTACTAATGCAAGTGTTAAAAAACCTAATATTATTGATATTTCTCTTTATTATTAATTGTGTGTGCATACCATCATAAAGTTAAGATAAAATTTTTACTACAACATAGTTGTGTGTCGTTAAAAAGTGGAGTTTGGGGGTCGGGCCAGTCTCTATTGGAATTAATCCCATATGTTCTGTTGTTCACTTAACGCGGTTTTCACTTAACGCGGTACCCTGTGGGTTCAATTGACCGCGTTAAGCGGGGTACTACTGTACATATTTTCGAGTCCCAACTTTAGTAATTGCGCTGTGTACTGACAAATTTTTTTTTTTTAATTCCCTTTAAAATGGCTAGCAAGCTTAAAAGTGAGAGTTTTGTGGTGCTGAGAAGAAAAAGAGACACCCATTTTAGATTTTCTATGTATTATTTTCGCATTATGACCAATTCGACTTACGACCTGGATTTGGGTCCCTAACCCTGTCGTAAGTCGGGGAGAGACTGTACCTATATAGTATTAAAAAGTGGCATCCCTGTAGTGAAGGGGTTAAGGAAAAATATACATGGAAGAAGTGTCATTTAAAAGTTGGGAAGTATTATTACGGGAAGGATGTAATCTTGAAGATAGAGGCAACTTAGAGATGGTACAGTAATTCTTTCTTTCTACAATTTCCTTCCACTGCTTTCTCTTTCCTCTCCAGACCACATCTTTCTCCCTTCTCTCTCTCTCTCTCTCAGCCCAAACAGTGCCAGCGGGAGAGGTTCACCTTATGGCTGTGAAACATGGACTTAGAATAAACCAGAATCCTCTAAAACTCAAGCTACAGAGTTGAGTTACTCGAGAGATAAATCTGGGATAGACAGAGTGGAAGGTTTAATAAGGGGTAATAATGAAGTAACATTATACTGAAAAAAAAATAAGGGAAGGTTAATTGGCCTAGTGTTCACAAAACCTGGTGTACAGTATTTTATAAGAAGTTTTCATATACAGGTACTGTGTACAGTACTAGTAGAAAAACTCAAGGACTTCCAGGATGTAATTCGTAACTGTTTAGAATGAAATAACAGACATTTAATCTAGCTTATATTAGTTTAATATTCCATTATGAAAATGTGAATGTATCACAGACATTTCCTCACAATCCTTAATGATTGCAAAAAATAATTTATGATAATCAAGAAAAGATATACTATAATAACTTCTGAAAAAGCTGATGCTATTTATCTAAGAGAGTTCTTTGTGTGATTATATCATGATCATTGGCATACAACTCATTTATAATTCTTGATGAATAAAATCTAAAGATCTTATCTTAACAAACCTGTTCAGATCCGACTGTCTAAGCCTTAGACTCTAGGTCATTTTCTCCTTATCCATAAAAGTACATTACAAACCCAACTCCAGTTATGAATAGCTCCTGCCTTTAAAAAAAAAAATAATTGGTATAAAAATCACAAATTATAATACAATAGATATTAATTCTTCTGGAATTAAATACTGTGTACAATGTTCATACACTTGTGTGTGTATTTATGACTTGTTTTGAGGTCTACTCATTTACAGGTAATTTGCAAGGAATTTTGGGTCAAGGGTCATCATTACATTCATAATAGCCTTGGCCAAATACTGACAGTCTTCTTCAGTTTTGTGCCAAAGGAGGTCACAGTGCAGGTCTGGGAAGCCATCTAAGTAGCCAGTTTGTAGTTGTGATACCATCAGGTGGAAGAGATGTTGCATACCTTGCCCTGCAAAGAATATTTAAGAAATTAAATTTTACTACAATATATATATACACCTTACACGGGGTTTGCATAATAATAAAAGGTCTTGCCTACAGGATTGTGATGCTTCCAGAAATTACAAGGGAAATACAGTATTATGTTACAATCCTGCCAAAAAATACTGAATTAATACCAGTGGCAAATTTCATTAGCCCCAGAACTTCAAAACAAGTACAGTATCATTACCTTTATAGGTACTCTGTGATACTGTAGTGGGTTGGTGATACGTATAGGGCATGCACTCATAAAACTTGCTTAAAATTTGCCTGATAGCAACTGGGACACCAAGCCATCAAATAATCATGGCTAAGTAGGGAAAATGGGCAGAAAATGGTGATGATGATTAAGCCTTGTGACCTTAGCAGGCAAAACCACATGTTAGACATAAACTTACCATATTGGCTGGCCACCCTGTAGTGATAAATGCTTTATTTTACTTTTATCCTCTTCACCACTGATCAGCTCGCTAGCCACTTGGGCGGTCGATCACGTCTCTGTTATGCACTGTTGGCAAGTACTGGGCATGAACTGGCACCTGAATATATTTAAACCTGCTCCAGTGTTGGTCAAGTCTGGCCTTCAATGAGCTCACACTCGGTGCCGTCACACTACTTTCTGGCAGGTTGTTCCAAAGAGTTACCCCTCACAGTTTTTTGTACTTGCAGCTTCTTCAATCTTGAGCTGTTGGGCGAGCATCAGCCAGCTCCAGGTATGGGCACTCGACTGAGTAGTGCCCTTTGAGTTGTTTCTACACTTCAATTAGGTCACCCCTTGCCTGCCTGTAGTATAAGCTAGGCATTTGTTATATTTCAAATACCTGTATACCTCTATATTAATCCTTCCAGGCCATTTCAGATGCCACAGGAATTTTAAGAAGTCAAATTCACTGATCTACGAAATTCATCACTCAGAGAAGGCCACTTGCGTAAATGGATCTATGAATTTGACCAGTAACAGGTTAATCAACTTTTTATGAAGAACAACAGGAATGTTTGGTGAGTACTGCTAATTTCATTACTGTTCTGTACTATCGCATATTACGTATACGATAAGGACATTGGATTCTAGACTTGGAGTGGCAATTAAGTAAAACTTTTGCTATGATGAAAAAATAGGAAATTACTCCCATAATTTTTCTTAAGGATCTAGTACGTACTACAGTACAGTACTCCCTTCAGTGATGGAGAATAATTCAGTAACCATATGCACTACTTTTAAGACAATTTATGACATGAATTGTATTTTGTCCAAAGTAAAATTTACAAAAAATGTGAAGATAATGTCAAAGGAACATAACTATTGTACGTAAATAAATAAATACACTATACAGTATACCGTATATTAATGGACAGAAGATGGATTCAGAGATGAACACAAGGGAACAATACAGCCTGAAAAAGACACAAAAGTAAAAAAGGGTTGATATTTTATCTACTACTAAAAGGACTGAAACTCACATGGATTAAGTTGACCGAGAGTGGTAATGTTTCCTAAAGCAACTCGCTTGAGATGTGCAGCTTTAATACCATACTTGTCCTTCCAGTGGTGGCCACTAAGGATCAACTTTGCTAACATAACCACTTCTCGCAAGCCTGTAACATCACAGAAAAACATACTTTTGGTATTGGGCGCAGATACTGAGACTGTTATCTGCACCCGAGGTGTCATAGCAAAATTCGGGTGCAACTACTGAAATTAGTGTATTAAAAAAAAAAAAAAAATGACGTTATTTGTGCCGACTTTCTGTATTCATCATTAATGTTTACAATGGAATTGTAAAATTTAAAATCATCACATACATTATCTCCTTATTATCATATACAGTACTGTACTTTCATATCTAGTACAGAACCTAATTGTAGATTCAGTAGAAAAATTTTTATATCTTCATTTATTTCTTCTGCACCTAATTTTAACCTGGCCTATGGTCAGTGGACCCTGGGCCTGATCCTGAACACTGTCATCAAGAAGATTATCCCTAATCCCCACCCTACCTTAATTTGGGAAACAGGTCATGTAAGCCCCATGTTCTATGTCCCCTGCTTTGTTCTGTTAGTTGGCTTGAGAGGGTCCTAGTATTTGGACCAAAATATACCAGCTCCAAGATTTCATCTTATATATCTCCAATGTGGGTTTTTACTTCATTTACCAGTGTGACCATTACACTTTTTGAATATCATATGCATATTATCAGCTCACTTCACAATGTAAGTGTTACATTTATTTTTACTGTATTACTGTACAGTATTTACTTTATTATTACTGTTTGCACATATAAAAGAAATTTATGTTTGCACTGTAATTATAAATAGAATATTTTATGTGATGGCCACGGCAACTTTTTGGAACCACTCAGTTATTTCAGATTCATTCTGGATTCATATCATTTAATTAATAATAATAATAATAAAAAAAAAAGCTGAAATCCAAATTAATGAGAGTACAGTGTACCTGTACTGTACATGTACAGGTTGTACCTCTCTAGTTCGGCATTTTGTGGTCCGGAATGATTTTAGTTTGCCCAATAACCAACATCCCTGATGTAACTCAAATGTAATTTGAGTTACAGTACCATCACTTCACTTTGGAAGCAGAATTATGGTAGCATTAAAGGTAAATTAAATAATATTTTAACAGTACAGTATTACTTTTTTTATTTATTTATTTCCTATCTTAAGTTTTTATGCTTTATGTAGGGTGTTTCTAGGGTGAATTTCCATGGTCCGGCATCGGTCAGGTCCCGAGGTTGCCGAACTAGAGAGGTACAACCTGTAATATGTGTGACTTAGCCTGGTTGATGTTGAAATACAATCACTTGATAGTATACTATTACTGTATAGTAAAGAAATGCAAATTGAGTGGTTTTACATACAGTCGAGTCTGGATTTACGCGTTTGGTTTGGTCATTTACGCGGTGCCTTGCCAGAATGAAATGCTTTAATTACTCGGTAAATTTGGTCATTTACGCGGGTGAAGTATAATTTGTTTATTTACTGAAGGTATTTGTTTTAGCTCATAAAATTCATACATATTACCTGGCCAGAATATAATTTACATTGCTGAAATTCTTATACGATTGTGATTATTTTAAATATAAACATCATGGAATTTGCATTAAACATACAAATTTTAGATCTAATGTAAGAATTTTGATTAGAAAGAGCCAAAATTTTATCTTTTGTGCAAAATATATGACGTTTATATTCAAAATATTCCTGGTCATGCAAGGAATCCAGCAATGTCAATTATATTATCCTAACTTTAGTCTGAGGTATTATTTATTACTAAAAATTTAAGCCTACTGTTTTCACCTAAACATTTCTCAGAGAGGGAGGAGCCAGTGGGAAAAGGGGGAGTTGAGTCCATTATTTGAATGGACATTAACCAGTGACTGTATTTCTCTTAATTATTAATTGTGTGTGCATACCATCATAAAATTAAGATGTTATTTTTACTACAACGTAGGTATTGTGTCGGAAAAAGTGGAGTTTGGGGGTCGGCCCGGTCTCTATTTCAATTAATCGCATATGTTCTGTTATTTCATTTACGCGTTTCTCGTTTTACGCGCGGTACTCCACGGGTTTCATTGACCGCGTAAATGAAGACCCAACTGTATATGGAAATGTGTTTCAAAAGTTTAAGTGCAAGTTAAATTACAATTAATTTGTCAAGAATTTACTTACACTATATCTTTCATATTTACTGTATTTTTAGGCTTAAAAGACGCACTTTTTATGACAAAAATGTACCTCGAAAATTACCATGCGTCTTCCAGGACACTAGTTGATGAGTTGTAGCAGAGGTTTTTGAAATCAGCCCCTTACAAAGACTGTTACCTCATTACAGTACTGTACTTAACAATTACAAGTATTCTCTATACAGTATACTATAAAACTATTGATTTAACTAATATTGTTGATATATTGCAAAAAAATAAAAATAATAAACCCTGGCTGCTGTGTGGTTTGTTTACTAATGGCAGTGGTGCGGCAGTGCCATCTATTGAGGAATTGCTAAAGGTTGTCTGCTGGTCTCAAATGCAGGAATGTTTGTTTCTTTATATGTAGGCTCTCGTATTTTGACACCTATTTACAGTAGGCTCTCATATTTGGATACCCATTTAGACTGTAAAAACCCCACAATATTAAAATCTTCCAAATTTAAATACAACTTCGTCATCCAAGTCAAAACACACACAACAACATTGGCTGTCCTTATGTTTTCAACTTTACTACCACTGGTGGGTAGAATTTTTTTTTAATTCAGAAACATTAATTAAAATATATATGAACAGTAAATAAGTGTTGCTTTCATATTCTTATGTAGAGTAATGATGATCTGTTTACACATGTGCTCACTTACATACGTGATCTCACTTTTTTTTACCCTTAATTGTTAGCTACTTCCATTGTTCCATTTATTAACATTAAATAACATTACTTAAAACAACTATATTAATTTTTCTACATTAATTTTAATACAGTTACAATGGAGGACTTATTTTCTTCAGTTTTATAATTATGTAGAACCAATCAGTCACTGGTTTTGCAAAAAAAGAGTTGTTTTTTTACTTTTAATTTGTTTTTAAATAAAGATTTTTTGTTTTATATAGACCTTGATATACATGTTTACATTTGCTTACCTTCTACTGTTGGAAATATTTCCCGTCATTGTCATACCGACAAAAACAAGAGAAAGAATGTAAACACTACAGCCCCTAAGATGTGGAGGTGACCAGGTGTATAAAATGAGTGCTGTATTAAAGATTTCACCTTATACAGATTTTTTTTTTAAATTGATGAAAATGACGACTGATAAGCAGTTCTAAGTGTGCCAAAAGGGCTGTATATCAAGCAGCCAATGTACCAAACAAGGAGGTACTACCGTCTGGGAAGATATTGGAAGCATAATGTATTGTCTAATGGTAGACCCTGCTGCTATGTGAACAAGTCCCAGGTTGATGATCTGACTTTCTGCAGGGTCTCAATGGTTTCTCTTACTTTGACAATACAACATACATACAGGTATATTGTTTCTCACTCTTGATATTTTTTTTTTCATTTTTGTATTTCTTTATTATTAATATTATTATTAATATTAATATTATTATTATTATTATTATTATTATTATTATTATTATTATTATTATTACATTTTTGCCCCCTAGGCCCCAATGTGGGTCAGTGACCTGTGCCCAGGTAGGCTATAACCCGTAATATTTTTTTTTTTTTTAGAATTTCATTTCCAAAATCAGGGTGCGTCTTCCACGATGCAGCGTCTCCCAAGCCGAAAAATACGTTAATACCTACAAAAATAATACAGTAGTGAGTAAACAAAATGTAATATTGATTGTAACCCTGGCAACCGTGAGCTATGCACATCCCAGCAGGGCTCTTCCAGGGATTTCCATGGGAGGTACAGGTCATAGAAGCCTCCCATGACCAGATACAGTATATGTGTCAACTGTCTACTTCTTATTCATCAACTCCTAAAGTTAAAGATGAATTTTTTTTTATTTATTTTTTTATTTTTTTTACACAGACCTATCTGGGGTATGCAAAAGGGAAAATTACTCAACCACTAATGAATTTACTTACCATGATTTTTGAGAAAGAATTCTCTTTCTAGTATTGAATAATTGGTAGTGAAAGTGTGCAGAGATGTACCAGCAGCACCAAAGAGGGAATACAGTATGGCAGAGTTTCCGGCAGCTTCAATTTCAGTAATTAATTTCTGTAACTCGGGTTCCAGGCTTCCCAAGGACACTAGTCCATCTACTGTGCTCCACTTACCCCCTGTTCCAAATGATATAAGTTAAAAACTACATATTTCTTTCATTGTTTTGCATCTTAAATTTATAAATAATTTACCTATAGTAAACCCTTAAATGAGTTAACAGTCAATATACAGTACTTAGTGGCAAAAATGATACGTTAGAAAATATTAATCAAGCACCTTATAATAGCTACAGTATAAAGTTAATCTGCATCCCATAAAGAAAAAAATAATGAAAATAAATAATACATTAAGAAATTATAACATTACCCATTATCTGTGGGATGACATCAACAATATGCTTGGTTCCGTCATATTCATCTTTTAAGATGACCCGCACTGCCTGCTTCCAAACCAGTATCTTGACCACCTTCTTCTCTGATATTGTCGCACCCTCTAATGATGAACGCACACTACAGTACAGAGACAAAGACAGTATTTATGAGATGTCAACATGATTGAGTCTTCCACAACATTTCCTTAAAGTGCCCCAATTATTTCCAGAAAAATATCTATAACACATTTCTAATAATTGTGAAGAATTTTTACTCTTGTAATATGAAATAGGAAGGTTGTCCAAATTTGGAGATTCATTTATGTTACAATTAGAGAAGCTTGAAAGGACAAATTAGCATATTTTTGCTTGCACCAGTGAGTTACACAATCGTTTCATTAGGTATTTGAAGTTACAAACATCCATCATGGATTTGTAAACTGGACTAAGAACTGACTGTTATCTGAAATAAACTCTCATGTGGAGAAACACCAACTGCAATGAATATTTGAAGATAAATATGTACCAAAATTTAACCGACAAAAGATGTACAGTGATATCTCTGTTACCTGGGCAGTAACTCAGCTGATTCAAGAGACATGTATGGCTGCTACCTGTATGCCATGATGTCACATAGGGAGGAGGGAGAGTGTAGTTGGCCTCAGTTACAGCTCACTGCCACAATACATAGGTTCACTTCCCACACAAACACCCATGCTTTTCATTTTTCTTATTTCAGAGTTTTATATTATATTTTCTTTATTTCTAAGCCACATTAGTTTATTGTAATGCTGTACACTTTAAGCACAGAATCCCCAGTTTTCCCAACTGCCCTCTCGAGTCGAACATTGCTAAGCCAAATTTGGATCAATTGTTAAACAAGAAAGAGTGTTAAAACTTTTATACAGTACCGCTAAACCAAAATACTGTATCATTAAGTAAATGAATATTACATGAGGGATACGTGTATTCCATTTTTGCACACACATTACTGTATAGGGGTGGAATGGGGTGTCCTTAACCACTGCTTATGAGCCAAATCTGAAATGTGGTGGTATGTACTAAATGTTGCAAGAGCCTAAGTGACATTTTACCCATAGGGGATACAAAAGTCTAAAAAAAGAAAGGGAAATAAGAAGGTAGAGTAGTGCAAAATATGTAAATAAAGCAACATGAAAAGGTATTAAGTAAATGTATCCTAGAAATACTGAACCATAGTTGCATAAAGACTTACCAGGAGGTTACATGATTCCGAAGAGAAGTTGCCGAGAGGTAATTCTCATCATTAACATAGCGGGGTTTAGTCCCATTCCATTTGCATTTATTCCACTTCATAAAATACCGTCCATGTCCTTCATGCACAGCCTGCAAGGGTAACAAAAACACTTACAGTATATACATAATGCATAATATCCCACACTACTGGATGTCATTTTTTCATAATTTATTTGACAAATGCCAGGCAATTTTATTCAGCACAAAGACCCCTAGTACCCAAGGGGTTAAATGGACAATTCTTTAATACAAAATTGCAATATGGGAAAAATATTTTTAGTGTTACCACTCAAATTAAAAAAAAAAAAAAAACTATTCATCCTTGAGTTTTGTGTGGCACCGGAAGACAGATTTAGGGAAGGGGCGGTATACAATATTTCAAGATGCAGAATATGAACCACAGGATGTAGTTTCAAAAGAAATTTACCTTGTGGACTGCTACTAACCTTAAAGTACTGTAGAGTGTATGGAGGTCCAAGTACTAAAAGGAGGTCTCTGTCATCACTGATAGAAGTTACAAGGTTTTCAGCTGCACTGCCCACGAAGTGAAATTTGGCTTCACTTAGAAAAGATGCAGAATTTAAGTCCAGTTTACGTTGCAAGTGATGACTCACTTGGGTGGCCACCTAAAGTTCATGAAAACAAAAGTCAAAATCAGTATTAAAAAAAAAATGAATACCCCAAATTCATAAAAGAGATGTAAAGAGTGAAAATTCCCAAAACTACAAGTAAAAAAATCATTATATGAATAACAGTAAAATTATGAGAAAGAATTATAGAAGGAAAAATGATACAGTACAGTATACACATTGTAGTGTACAAGTATTAACATTTGTTGCACAGTACTGTACAATATTAATAAAATACATGTTGAAGCATTCAGTCAATATTGAACATTCCTTTTCAAAATTAATGAAAAATTATAGAATATAGTACAGTACAATAATTCAAAAAATATAAATTTTTCTCAACAAGTGGAGTAAAAAAAGGTCCCTATCCTTCTACAGTTCTCTCAGTCACTGATCATTATACTTACACACTCTGTGGCTAAAAAATCTCTCTGCCTCTTGTGCACCTCACTCATAACATAGGTGACACCTGGAGGGGTCACACCCATCTGAACAGCTGACATCTCAGGCTCCTAAATTGAACATTTGATAACCTGCAAAAGTCAAATACAGTGTAATAAACAGAACAAACAATAATACAGTACTGTACAGTAAATATTTACAGTACAGATATATACAATATCTATCTAATATACTATAGGACTAGGCGTGTGTGTGTGTGTCTGTTCTGGGCAGCCAAAACGGCACAATCGTTTTTCATCAAACTTGGTGGAAAAACTCGCAAAAAATTCGTAGAGTGGAACAAACCTGGTCCCATGTCGATGGTTTCTTTAGGAAGGCATTAGTTAACAATTTTATTTACGATGAAAAACGATGCAAGTCTACGGACTTGGCACTCCCTCATTCGCTCTACGCTGTCACGAGCGTTCAAACTCTCACAAGGGCACGAACGTGCCCGCGATCACTTGTATATTCTATACAGGTAATTATACTGTACAGTTTTAACTCATTAGATTGTTCAGTATAATTTTAAAATTTCTTTATTAAAAAGTATTTAAAAATCAAAAGAATGAAATAAAATTCACACTATACCTATGAAAACTGTATCCTTGACAAGTTTCTGGTTCAAGGCAGAGAATACTGTAGTTAAAATATAAACATCAAAGGCTCCTCAATGTACAGTATACAGTCAAATCCATTTTACATTCCAATAACATCTCTTCTTTTTTTTTAAATGCAATGACTGAACAGTTTCTGAATGTTGACTGTACCTAAAATGGCTTAAGTGAGGATAGGTTATGGACTTATGGTTGCTTTAATGGATATGCTAAGTAAGCAATTACATGATACTGAACTGAGAGCAAACCTATCTATCACTGACAGCTCATTCCATCTTATTAAGTTGTCTGAAGGCCTGATTTCAGTTAAAAAGCCTCTCGACTGCCTGAATGTTTCTATAATGCCTTTTATAATTCAGCTCTGTCCTGGTGTAATGTACAACCTGAGACCTTTAACACTTAAGTAAACAGTAAACACACTTCTCTTGAAAGAGGTTGATTAATTATCTTTCTATTGGTTTGGCTATTACTTAAGTTCTGTAAACTTTTTATGCTATCCTATCATCCTTCATCCTATTCACATGAACTGGTACTGGCGATTCACCACCCTTGCACCTTATGCATGCAATGAGCAAGCTGAGACCATAAATTATACACTTGTGCATTTATAATGTTATAATTATTATAGATATTATTACCACCAGATTTTAATTTTCTGCCTAGTTCTACAGTAATGTTAGAGGTTAAATAAAAAAAAATGTGGTCTGAATTGAGTTCAAAATCGCTTGATACAAAATGATTAGAGTACTGTACTCTGTGAACAGCACCAACTCGTCCTTTATCACCAAGATGGTCAATACAGTACGTACAGCAAAATGAAAATCATCACAACCTATGATACTAGCAGAGTGATTAATGCTGAAGTAAGATGGATAATTTTGTTGAATTTATAGTCTTACACCGGTCTTTCTCTTGCTGTTATTAATATGTATTGACCATAATTTCTGTCATCACAGAAGATTAATGGATGCCTTAGGCAGGGTCATGCTACAGTACGTATTTGAAATGGGTTGACATCAAAGCGTGTAGGGTTTCCCACGTTATTAGTCATGAACCTTACACGTTTCCTCCAATAGTGAGCCTTGGATAAAATTAATGTGAAGGTGCTACAGAGTATTACAAAGAGTGAATAGTTTCTGTGTAAACAAGGTAGTATTTTATTTTTGTATGGTGGTTTAACTCAGTTCCTAATGGTATATTACTGTTAATATTCAGAAGGGATGAGAGATAACTATACTTGCGACACGTTTCTAGCATGTTAGAGACCCGACACACTACAGAGGGGAGCAAACACCCAAGCCACTAGACCTCATCATAACAAACGAGGAGGGTATGGTGGCCAAACTGGAACACCTTGCCCCAGTTGGCACCAGTCACCATATAGTGTTGCCATTCAGATTTAACTGTTACCTAGTTCAGGATAAGGCCAGGCCAAGGTGCAAATATTGCAAGGGAAATTACAATGGGATGAGGAAAGAGATGAGGGGTATCCACTGGCCTGACTCATTAAGGCACAAGAACGCAGACACTACTCTGAAAATCATAACTAGTAAAGTGACCTATTTGATCGATAAATACAAATCCAAGACCAAACCCAGTGCCTCTAGGAATACTAGGGGATCCCTACACATGAACCATGCGGCAGTCGACAAAGTTAAGAAGAAAACCCAGAAATTCAAGACGTGACGATGAGCAGGACAGGAGGATGTAGGCAAGAGCCAGAAACCAAGCAAAGGACGAGTGTAGAAGGGCTGAAAGGGAGTTCCAGAGGCTGGTTGCAATCGAGGTGAAGTCAAACTCAAAGGCGTTTTACTGCTATGCAAAGTCAAAATAAAAAACACGAGTAGGAGTATCAGACCTGAGGTTTGAAGATGGTAGTTCTGCAGATTCTAGCCAGGATAAAGCTGAGGCATTGAACAGCTTCTTTACCTCGGTGTTCACAAGAGAGGATGCGATTAACCTTCCTGCATTTGAGGACAGAGGTTCGACACAGCACTGACCCACATTGTACACAGAAGAGGGTATTAGATATACAGTAAACTGTCAAAGCTAAGGGTCCATAAGAGTCCCGGCCCTGACATGGTGCATCCCAGAGTGCTAAGAGAGTTGTGCAACGAGCTTGCTGAGCCCCTGAAGATCCTGTTCTGTAAATGCCTGGATGAACAAAAGGTCCCCAGTGATTGGAAAATGGCTCGTGTGAATCCTATCTTCAAGAAGGGCGATCGTCACTCCACGAACAACTATAGACCGGTGAGCCTGACCAGCATAATGTGTAAAGTACTTGAGAGTATCATCAGAGATGCCGCGATGGAACATCTACGACGAAACAACCTTGTAAAGGATTGCCAACACGGTTTAAGCCGGGGCGCTCCTGCTTAACACAATTGCTCAAGGTATTGGATATTTGGACCCATATTCTGGAACAGGGTGGTAATATCGGCAATATATACCTAGATTTTGCCAAGGCTTTCGACAGTGTACCCCACGAAAGGCTGAAAATCAAACTAGCAGGGTACGGAATTCGGGGTTAATGTCCTAGCGTGGATAGAAGACTTTCTACATGACCAAGCAGTGTGTGGTGATTAATGGCACGAAATCATCATCTGTACCTGTCACAAGTGGGGTACCACAGGGCAGTGTATTGGGCCCGCTGTTGTTTGTTTGGTTCATAAATGGCATGCCTGACGTTGTACACTCCTCCATGCAAATGTTTGCCGATCACGCCAAATTATTTCAGGAAATCAAGAACCAAGCGAATTGTGAAGAGCTGCAAAAGGATCGCTGTGAGCTCCAAGAATGGTCAAGTAGTGGCTGCTGAGATTCAATGTCACGAAGTGTAAGAGGAGGCACCTGGAGCATACCAACGGTAAGGAGGCGTATAAGTCCCAACGGGATGAAGAAACTGCACTATTTGAGACAATGTGAGAAAGACCTAGGTGTGTATGTTGACAATGAGCTGAAGTTCTCAGGCCATTGCGAGAAGAAGGTAAATAAGGCAAATAAATTATTGGGTCTTATAAGGTCGTTCAGATATCTAGACGGTCCATCCCTCGTAACGATCTTCAGGAGTGAAGTGCTTCCCCCTCTGGAGTACTGTCACCCCATCTGGTCCCCGAGATATGCTAGGGACTGTCAGTTGGTTGAAAATGTTCAAAGGAGGGCCACCAGACTGGTGACTGCTCTTTGGCACCTCAAATACCCTGAGAGATTGGAGCGCCTGAACCTGCCTAGCTTATACAACAGACGGGCAAAGGGCGACCTAAGTGAGGTGTATAAGCATCTCAAGGGGCACTACTCAGTTGAGTGTCCTTACTTGGTGCTGGCGGACACTCGCCCCACAAGGGGTCACAGCTCAAGATTGAAGAAGCCGCAAGTCCAGAAAACTGTGAGGGCAAACATTTTCGGAGTGAGAGTTGTGAATTCTTGGAACAATCTGCCAGAAAGTGTTGTGATGGCACCGAGTGTGAGTTCTTTCAAGACCAGACTTGACCAACACTGGAGCAGGGTCAGGTGCATGCCCAGTACCTTGTAGTGGATCCCATCCCCTACAAATGACGACTGAGCTCCAGCGCGCCTACCAGCCAATCAGCGTACAGCCAGCGATGCCGGTAGACCTACTCTCCAGTGCGGACGCACACATAGCAACGCTAGGACCAGAGTGCCGGGTGTGCCTGGCCTCCTCCTCTGTGATTGGCCCTCTCGCTATGCTCACCCCAAATCTTGATCCTTGTAAATTGTATAAATATGGCCATGGCTGGCCAGGGAGACCATTTTACTCTGACCTACTGGACCAGCAAGATCTCTCTCCAGCACCTCACCACCCAGCTTCCTCAGAGAGCTCCTCGCCCTACAGGAACTCTGAGCAAGCTACTCCTCACCTACTAACTCCTTAGCACTGCTCTGTACAGCAATATATATACAGAAAACGCATTGTGAGTTAATATTCTACCTCATTCCTGAGTGTGAGATATCTACATGTACGTTCGTTGTGGCCATACAAAGAGAAAATAGACATCTAAAGAGAATTGACAACCGGCCACATTACAGTATGCTACAACCTGCCAACAGTGCGTAACAGAGACCCAATACCTGACTAGTACTTGCCAACAGTGAGTGAAAGAGACGTGACCGATCGCCCAAGCGGCTAACGAGCCGATCAGTGGTGAAGAGGATAAAAGCAAAAAGTACTCATGTTGGAGAGTTGTTCCCTCTAAACACGGGACTGACAGCGATGTTATGGTGGACAAGATGATTTCTGAGGGCGGTACCACCTACCACATTAATCAGAGGTAACCACTGATAACGAGCAACGTTGAATTAGGGAATATATGGCGAGAATAGGAACTGCTGGATCAGTAGTACCATCTAACACCACAGTCAGACACGTTCACTTCCTGTGATCCCGACAATAACAACCTCACTACACCCCTGTGATATACTGTATATGGTCTTGGTGCGTTTTCCTATATTTCCTATAATATATCCACGATCGAGTGTCACTGATAAAATTCGACCGTCTTGGATAGTGCCATGAAAATAATATTTATAATCACCTACGTATCGCTGCAGCTCCCGAATTATATTAAAATACTGTACTCCTTCCAGTTACTAAATAAGTTTCCTACGCACATACATGTGTCACTTACCCACGAATTTAAGAGGAGTCATGCACTTGTGGCGCAGTGGAGCTTCACAAACGATATGCAGCCGAGTTGTCACGTCACGTCCATATATGTTTACCAACTGAGAAGCAGTAGCGCACTCTGCCAGGCCCAGCCACATCACTCGGAGGAGGCTGGGGGCGAGCCTGGAGGAGGGGGCCTGTGGTGGGGAGAAGCGCAGTGGGCGAGGAGAAAGAATTGGGATAGGGGCAGAAGGAGAAGGTAGCGGAACAGAGTTACAGAGGGTGAAAGGAGGAGACAGAGGAAGGGACAGAGGGGAAGGGAAGGTAAAGAAAAGGGGGATTATTGGGGGGACTGGTTTATCCGGGGGGGCTCAGGCTGAGCGGCCTTGATCCGCTGGTATTCGTCCTGTTTCATTTTGTTGCGAATAATCACCCCTCCGTCGTATGTGACAAATGTCACCTGAGTTTGTTTCCATTTATGAATAGCCTGGATAAAGGCATCAAACCTGTACAGTACGTGTGCAGCCATAATTATAAGTACCCCATCTTCATATACACATATACCTAGCGATCACTTATTCCATTTGATCATACGACATATCTAAACAACAGTGGACTGATGCACTGACTAGCTTAGGGTAGTTTTATTATTTTTTAGCTTTGAACACAAGAATTCAGGAAAATGTAGTAGGCCTATTAGCCCATACTAGATAACCCTGTTTACACCCACCCTTTTTCTCTCAAATATGTCCAGACTCCAACCTATATTTGAAACTTCACGACGAATTCCAGTTGATTGCATTTAATGACATTGTTCAACTCCTTCGTAACTTATTTCCTTACCAATGTTTACCTAATTCACGAATCTATATTCTCTTATTCAACACCATTGCTACGTGTTCGCTCCTCATTCGTTATATAAGTATCTTAGTTATCCCATCTAGATATGCGTGTAAAATTACTACTTTTCTACGTGGCAAGCGTAAAACACTGCCAGAGTAATGAGTGTTGCTAACTGTGACCAGGGAATGTTATCTTGTCATTATCAGGGGCAACACTAATGGGTATTATGAGTTTTTACTTTACTTTTACCTCTTATCAGTTGTTTGCCGCTTGGGCATTCGAGGTCCAGAATGTGCGAGCGTCTGATACGGTTGGTACCCAATTAAGGTACAGTACGTTGTAGAGGTAGCATCATATCGGCTCGGTGAAAATCCAAGTTGCTAATTTTTTTTTTAGCTTTGCTTCGCCCTTTAGTCGTTTGGCTTTCAGCATACATATAATTATCGTGCCTTCATAATTGACAAGATGAAAGAGCGGAACCAAATGTATCCATAGCTTAACCAGATCGACTCCAATCACAATAAAACAAAACGAAATCTAAATATCTTCTATGCCAATGCAGCGTTTCACACCACAAGAAAACTTCAACAAGAGCTCTGAATAAAAAAAAATAGAGTATAGAGCCTTTTCGAGACTGCGTAGAAACTGATAAATTTCTGTTTACAGGTATTCTTATTTATGATGTCTATAATGAACAAATTCCCCAAACTTCACCATTAATCACCATTTCCCTAGATTGATCACTATATATATTAAAATTTGCCAGTCTAGTTAAAATGAACTGTCTGGCAGCATTTCAGCGACGTAAGGTGGCCATTATTGGGGTGTTAGTGGTACAACAGTAACGCGCGTATCTCTCTACGAATAAGGTGATATGTGGTGAAATGATGAATACTTAAAGGAATACCGTTGGTAGAGAACGTAAAATCAGTGTCAATGACCATTTTCTATGATTTTTGGTTTATTCTACAGATGATTCAAGTGTCGGGACCCAACGAAAATATAATTGAGTTTTAGTTCCTTGCGGTGTTCCTTGGAGACCTTGTTGCCTGATAACGTAAATAGAGAATGTCATCACTAATATCGTACTCTGAATTTCAGTAGAACAGTAATACAAATTTGTTAAATGCTGTTGCAGAATAAATATGGTAATTGCATGATAAGAAGTGATAGTTTTTACATCTTTTACTAGTGACATCCACACTGTGATCCAGGTTTGAAGTCTGAATTTATGTTTATTTTGACTCGTGAAATAATACTGTAGGTACAGAGGTAATATTTTGACGATAAAGATTCGACAGTACATGGACGGAATAAACCAACTAAAACCGTTTACTGCACTGGTAACTTGGGGATCACTTCAAGATTAGACATTCCTAGTAACTTCACCCTCGAGAGACGTAGAGTGAGGGGCGACATGATAGAGGTGTATAAATGGAAGTCAGGGTTAAACAAAGGGGACATTACAAAGGCACTCAAACTATCCAACCAGGAGCGAACTCGTAACAATAGTTTTAAATTAGACAAATTTAGATTTAGGCGTGAAATAGGTAAACACTGGTTTGGAAACAGAGTAGTGGATGAATGGAACAAGTTACCAACTATCATCATTAACTCGAATACGCTGGATAGCTTCAAACATAGGGTGGATGCTTATATGAGCAATAGGGGTTGGGTATAAACGGGACTGCCCAGTATGGGTCAATAGGCCCGCTGCAGTTTCCTCCATTCTTATGTTCTTATCTGATGATTAAACATCCTAATGTTGAATGGGGGTTAATGTAGGTAAGGTAAGGTTTGGTATGGTCAGGGTGTTTGGTCAGCAGTTGGAATAAGTGGAAGTTCCTTATATTCATGATATCTAACCTTGAGTATATCATTATTTTATTTTATTATGGCAATGGATATTTTGCTGTGACCAGCTAAGTTCCTACTGACGCTATTTTACTGTGAGTGCACTCTTGATTGACTAATCGTCCATTACCGATGAACTACGTCGATTGTTGTGTACTTATAAACATACCTAACCAGAAGGAGTCGTTCCATTTTGTTCATTTTTTGCACAGCTGTTCTTATTATAAAAGAGGCGACATTTACTAGAACCTAAGAGAACCTGACCTAACTAACCAAAGAAACCTACCTAACTTCCTAGCCGGGGGGGGGCGGACCCCCGTCATATTTAATAGAAAGTACTTAGCCAATCAGAGCACACTCACGGTAAAATAGCGTTAGTAGGAACTTAGCCGGTTACGGCAAAATATCCACTATATTTTATTATACCCCCCAAACAACAGTTAGGAGAGATATAAAAGGTGGGTCTGCTGTTAATGTAACATCCATTTGAGTTTCATTCCTGAGGACAACTCAAAAACTGTTTCATACAACATATACTGTACTGTATATTAAAATTTATTTACAAATTAACAATTGGTAAAGGAGAGCCTTTTGCTAAAAGAGACTATAATTCTCCCAAGACATTACGGTAAAATGTAACTTTTTCAGCAGGGACTATAGATGACATGTTTTCTTGATATTGGACTTGGATCCATAATTGCTTGTATTTTTTGTACTAACGAGTGCCTTTTTTATGCAGTTGTATTAAATATATATTTACTGTATATACTGTATTTTGTTTCTTGACTTACAGGAAGAAACAATGAATTTAACCACTGATGAGCTTGAACTTCCTTCATGCAAATATGAGTATCTTGACCATCCAGCAGATGTTCAGATTCACTCCTGGGGTGACAATTTAACTGAAGCCTTTGAACAAGCTGCAGTAGCCATGTATGGTTACATGACTGAGATTGATACAGTTGAGATTGGTAGCCGGCAGGAAATTGAAGCAGAGGGTCATGACATGGAAAGCCTCCTGTATAATTTTCTTGATGAATGTTTATATGAATTTTCTGCCGAACCTTTCTTTATTGTACGTAAGGTAGTAATTACAGAATTCAATAAAGAAGCCTTCAGTATTAAAGCTAAATTATATGGAGAAGAGTTTGACTTAGAAAAACACCCACAAGGTACAGAAGTAAAGGCCATTACATATGCTAGCATGCAGGTTTATGACAGTGAAGATCAGCATGAACTTTTTGTTATTATTGATATATGATTTTAATATTAAAATTCATAGTGTAATATTTTTATTTCTTATCAGACACCATGTTATCTTACGGCCATTTTTTAAAACATTCGGGGCAGTGAGTCTGAAGAGTAATCCTATAAAAAATATTTAATGTAACCTAACAAACACTGGTAGTACCTAAACTTCACAGGAACAACAACACAAACAATGAAATGTAGCCGGTAAATTATCAGCATGAGTCACATGTAACACGAGCGGTGACACCCGCAAGCTACTATTTCCTAAATAAGCTATCAAGCACGTGTGCCTCAACTTGTATCTTTTCTATATAATATTCTGTACTTACAAATTGGATATGGTATTACATCTATCTATCACAAACAAAAGTGTGTTATTTACTGTACCTGTACTTGGGGCTAGAAGATGATGATTGCAGGAATGCAACGCTTGATAAATTTTGAGAAATGCGATGTTGAGATGAAAGGTCTTCGGAATTGAAGGTAAACATCAAGGGGGTACAAGGAGGTCTCTTAGAAATATGCAATTACCTTCTGAAATGGTAATTAGGATATTTAAATTAGTTATTTCTTTATTTATTGTCTCATCTTAATTTATGGTACATACTGTATTGTATTTCAGAGACTTTTTCTATTCATATATAAAGTAACTATGTAGTTGGAACATTCAGGATAAGTCTTCCGATGCCTACACCCCCACTTGAAACCTGATCTTGAATGTTCCAATAACCATCGTCCAATTACTAAAGAGTAATCCAAACCGAGTCACGTATGTTTGGTTTTAAAAAATGGATTACGGCGTGGAGGGTACCTTTGGGATACTAATAAGTATTGTATTCCAAACGTTTAAAAAAATGGCTGTTAGTAAAGAATTTGCATCCGATTCTTCGAGATGTAAGTAAGAATTTTACAAAGGATTAAAATTCTACTTTTATTTCAGACACATGACCGTTAGTCTTAGTAAAGTACTGTATCTGAATCCACTTTGTAAATCAAGAATTGTATGTCATTACTGTATATACTTGTATAAATTTGTTGTATTAAAATCACGGTTTTCCTTCTGTTTAAGTTGAGAGTGATTAAGTGAGTGCGGAATGTTTCTGTTTCTTGTTTCAAGCTATACCTGTCACTTTGAACACGTCTTGTACCAGTCTCTCATATTGTTTCTGGCCTTTTTGGCCAGAATTTGTTTTAATTATGTACATAGTCTCTCCTCGACATACGACGGGGTTCTGTCCCGACGACCAGGTCGTAAGTCGAAAAGGCGAAAATAATACATAGAAATTCTAAAATGGGTCTCTTTTTCTTCTCAGCACCACGAGAACTCTCACTTTTACGCTTGCCAGCCATCTTAAAGGGAATTACAAATGAAAATTTTGTCAGTACACAGCGCGATCACTAACGTCAGGACTCGAAAATACGTAATGTGAAAAATATTTTATACGACCACAGCGGTCGTATATCCGGGTTGTCATAAGTCGAGTATGTCGTAAGTTGAGGAGTACCTGTATTTCCAAGCACAATTTACTGGAGTAAAATTAATTGGTAACATTTTACCTTGGATATGAAAACTAAAGTTGCATAAATATGTACTGTACAGTCGCTCAAATAAGGATCTGAAAAGTGGGGTTTGATGGATGTCAAAACAAAAGATACAACCCCTGTTGTCTGGGCACTGTTGCCTGGTCCTCTACCATTTCCCAAAATCATACGTCCGATGTGTCATATTGTCATGAACAATATTTTTCAGATACTTTTTTTGAGTGACTGTATAGTACGTACTGTAATAAATATCATGGTATGGTACTCAAAAATATATTTTCACGCCCACTGTATATCACTGTTTTGACATAGTAGTTGTATTTAGATTGTTAAAAACAATTTTTTTTTAGTTGGTTTGCTTCTTGGAGGTGACTTAATGGAGTAGCAGACCAGGGGCTGCTTCTCCAGATCTAGGTAGCTCTTGTTAAATGTAGTATGAGCCTCATAATGGTTGTTGAGGACTTCTGTTTCTAGATTGTGATAAATGTTCACATCATGCTTCACAATGGATTAAAGTTCTTGGATCCTGTGGCAGTGTTTAAACATGAGAAGAAAAAAAATACTGTATGTGAATTTAAAAATGTTTTTAATAAGTGATTTTTTTTTTTACCTCATCAACTCTGTATCTCAGACACTGAGTTCAAGGCAAGGAGGATCTTACAAGACTCCTCACTTGCCCTCAACAATGAGTAGCTTGTCAAATTTTTTACAGCTTGGAAGTGGAAGTGGGTGCCATTAGCCTGATGGGCCTTTGAGGTGATGCAGATAATGCACATTGAAAAAGTACAGTAGTATTTTCCATCACAGAAGAAGTCAGTATGGCCAAAATTGCACTTGACAATCATCCCTTTCCAGTTAAAAAGTTAGTAACAGTACCCATTCACAACTGGCTGGAATTGGGTTGGCCCAAGCACAAATCAGCAACCCTTAGAAGAGGAGGCAAGCACTTTATTCATTTGCTTGCTGCACCCTGCTTCCAGCTTGGATTATTTTATGAAAGTTAACTGGGTGCCTCTTGTCTTTCTTACTGTGGGAAGAGGGTGGAGAAAGGTTCAAGAGATAGAAGGAGCTGGAGGTGTTTACCAGAGGTTGTCAGATTGTTTAATTTGAAGGATTCTTGTATGGGAACTTTGGGCAGCTTTGGGAGATGAAGAAGACTCGTGATAACTTGGCACCAAATCAGAAAATTTATTAATTCTAAGGACTTAATGAGCTGGATTGTTAGTAAAATGAAATGTAGCTTTAGAGTATGAGTTAACTTAAATCAAGACTTTTCGACAGAGTACCATTGTGTTCCCGAGACCACTTATTTACCTGGACCTGAGGGGATGAATATGTGGGTTTAAGATGGTCATTAAGTGGGTGGCATCTAATTCATTAGTAAATAAATTGTGTGCATTTCTAAACTGAGAATGATCTCGAAGATAAATATAAGCTTGAATATATACTGTAGATGGGTCAGCTAAATAAACAAAATAGATACCTTACACAATAAGCCTTAAATAAACGATTTTTTATATACGTACAGTATAAATAAAGTCAGAAAAAAATCCCAATTTGTGACTTTCTGTGACTGATTCGATTGTAACTCCTACATCGACTGTATGCTGTACCGATAGAGAGGGGGTCTCTAATCTTGTATTCATATTTTAGGTTGTATGGGCGCCTTTTCTTCGAAATTGAACATGGGTACAGAACATTTTCACGGTAAGAAGTTAACCCCAAAATATAGTATTCGTTAGATAATAACGATGTGAAAATAGTAGTAACATTTATCATGCCTGACGTCATAGTGGATGAGGTGTGGTCCCATTTAGAGTGGTACTGTTTGGACCTCTCCGACCCTCCCATTAGGAGTGATGATAATCTACAATGGGCTTCATTTGAACACTAGACCCATTACTGTTTAGATTGAGCGACAATTGCTATCCGCTTGGGCCGTTGGCAAGTGCACTACTAGGCAAGCTCTTATGCCTGAACATGCCCCAGCATTAGTCTGTATTTTACTTAATTCTTTATGAGTTTCCGGGAATAATCTGCATTCTTGTTTAACGAACTATAAGCCAGTCTATTCTCGCCCTTTTCAATTTACCGCTTTGACAGAAACTCGGGAAAAGTACTGGTAGCTTGTTTAATCTCCCCATTGTTCCTGGTGATTATCGAGGTTTGTTGACTTTCCTGTTGATTTGGTTTATTTAAGAACTTCAATTGATCCCGTTTTGCTTAGGTCAGGTAAGGTCATTTAAGGATAAGTTCGTATTGTCTGAAAACTAATCATCTAGGGGTGCCGTTCGTGGTGACAGGTTTAACATCAACCATGTTATGACCGGCACCATCAGCATGTAAACAGAACCTCGTGTGAGGCTGACGGCCGGGGCAGAGGAAGCGACTGGAAAAGGCAAGTGAAATATAACTGAAAATGTGTATTAGGAAACTAATCATTATAAAATGTGTAAATATTTGATACAACACTTCAACTAGCATTTTGTAAGTTGGCACAAAATGATCCTCCTCGATTTCACATGTATTGGAATTTTGGATGTTCTCTTGTGAGTCACCACACCCAGTATTGGCCCAGCCGGAAGTCGGGACATTGGTGCAGTACTTGTTCATTGGCACCTTTTGTTACTGATTACATTGTCTTTTGTATATGTCCATTCTAGAAAGCTGGATTAATTAATTTATTTGTGTCACTTCATATCAATTATCGAGAATATATTTTTTACTACTAAAGAAGGTGACACTCTACCTTAAAGTTTAGATTCCAGACACAGTGATTTGTTGTCTTTGAGATTCTAAAAAAAAAAAAAATGAAAAAAGAAGTAAACTATTGGTAAACTATTTGGCACTTTTTATGTAGTTTCTCAATATATACCATGACTATTTTTATATTACTATGTACTCATAAGGTTTATTTCCAAGCTTACCAATATTACATCAGTTATGTGTCTTGAGAAACTTTTCTTCAAGTAAAATGTGGTGAAAATTAAAGATGGTGGTAATTATTGCATGGGATATGATAGGTTAGGTTAGGTAGATAACTTAAAGTGTAAGAAAGTTAACCATACATTCCTGAACTGGCTGCCGTGCACCCTGGCAAATGGAAAGAAAATCACCACTGAGCAACTGGTATGTCTCGTTTTAGCTAGAATGAACCATTGAGTGAAAACAAAAACCTCTACTGAACTACTTATGGTTTTAGCAGGAACAAACTACAGTACTGAGTACTGTACAGTACTGCAAACATAATTTTAATCACAGTTTTTGCTCCAAGCTCTATTGTCAGTGACCCAATAGAGGTTGGTAACAGAACTTTGTAAAGGAGATAAATTACAATACTACACCAAGTATTAAAGGCTTAGGTAAGGTTTTATTTCCTGGATTAGAGTGAACCTTAATAATAATAATAATAATAGTAATATTTATTCAGTGAAATTGTCATATAGGTTAACATTTAGATGGGCCTGTGCACTTCAGCATGGATATAAACATTGTAGGAATACTGTGCACATAGGTCGTGGGAGTACGTATGCAGTTTCCCGTGTGCTTTTTTTTTTACTTCTACTTTTATCCTCTTCACCACTGATCGGCTCGTTACACGTTTGGGCGATTGGTCACGTCTCTGAGACAGTGTAAGTAAATAACTGGTAAACAGTAAGGCAACTTGACCAAGGATAGCTGGTAAAGCTGTCAGGTGCTTATTTCTAGGAAGTACCTAACAAATGTAACCCACCATACAACTAGAATTGTAAAACACAACATGCAAAGTAGTTTGATAAATTAAAGTATGAATTTCATATTATCATCAGAGTTTAAAATATTCCTGTATGTATATTTAAAGACTGAAGGTCCTGGTAGAGTGAACACCTGCATCCTAACTGCAGAACTTGAGATACTCACATCATCAGAAGAAAATTTTTAGTCCTGAAGCTATTACATTATGGATGACTATAATGGATTAGAGAAGACTTTTGTGGAGCAACACAAAATTCAGCTTGAATCTTCGGGAGTCCCTCGTTATTTTTGGCCAACTGTCTTAAGGAAGCTCCAGGGACAAGTGAGTCACTCGTGTCTTTGTTTTGATTTTTTGAACTCAAACTGGTACAGTACTGAACTAGGCAAAAGTGGGAAAAAACTTGTTAAGATTAGAAAAAAATTATAAATAGGATAATAAAATGATATGAGACTATAATGCAGCTTTATCATTACATAATATATTGCAGGTGTATGATGCTGGAGAAAGTTTTCAGCTCTGCCAGTTAACCTATGCTGATGGAGAAAATGACCAAGGGGAGCCTCTGTGGCAAGTCATTGTTACTAAACCAGATGGAATCAAGGCCACAGATCCAGAAAAGTATGTTGTTAATGTTTTATAAAAGCACAGATGTATGGAAGATTATTTCATACTCATTAAAAAGCTAAGAAATTATATCGTAATTTTTGTAGGATCAGTGCTCATGTAATGTTTTGTCATCAGTATTGAAATACATTTTATGGAAGACATTTTGTGCTCCACTAGATATTGTAAGTGATTACAGTTCTCTAGGAATTCTTATTATAAACAATATTGTACAGTATCTGCACGTGTGTAATAATATTGTATTGTCTGCTTGTTCCTTAAATTTTGGTCACCTTATTTAACTCAAATTTCCTTTCCTGATATTATTTAATTTAGTAACTACAAAATATGGGGCCCTAATTATGAATAATTACTGTTTAGTGAATAAATATTACACACACACACACACACTGTATAAAGGGTTTACATTGTAGAAAATTATTATTGCTTTTACAGCATATTCCTGATTGATCATGCTTGGACTTACCGAGCACATGAAGCAAGGCAATACTTGAGAGACATTCCTGGTTTACTAGAAAGAATGGTAGCTCTGATGGTCATCCCACGTGAGAATAACAACCGAGAACAGTTTATAGAAAAGGTGCTTCAAGAGATGTGGAAGTTTAATGGAACATATAGCCTTGGTGAGTTGGAGAACACATATTTTAAAAACATCAATTCTTTAATTTTGCTTGTGTCTTAAGTGAATCCCATATACCATGTACCACCATACCTCAGGGTAGACTGTGCTTTTTATTTTTATGTGGCATTTTCTGTCCATCCTTGTGCCCTTCTTAAGTCTATGAAGATTTCCTTGTGCATTCATCTCCTCAAAAACTAGAAAATTAGAAAACTTGTCCCCACCAGATTCTTTAGTTATGATCATCAGATACAGTATGTGGTTAGGTCAAAGAATTTTACTTTGACTATTTTTATATTTTTAGAAAATATAACAAAGTTTAACTCTCAGTTCAAGGACCTTTTATCATCTCTCTGAGCTGCCTTTATATGGCCCAGGAAACTATTTGTGACTTATTCTGCAGCTCAAGACATCTAAATGTGTCTTATTCGCTCTCATATTATTAATGCAAATGGTATCATTAATATTTATAATAAGGCTATGATAGATTTTTCATTGGTATTCTTAAGGATGATAGATGTTTACATTTGGCTTTATCATTGATACTGAGGTTACTTGTTGCCTTTCATCCACTCTTACAACTTTTCATAATGACTCCAGCTGTATCATCACTGCTTATAATGACTCCAGCTGTATCATCACTGCTTATAATGACTCCAGCTGTATCATCACTGCTTATAATGACTCCAGCTGTATCATCACTGCTCGTAATGACTCCAGCTGTATCATCACTGCTTATAATGACTCCAGCTGTATCATCACTGCTTTTAATGACTCCAGCTGCATCATCACTGCTTATAATGACTCCAGCTGTATCATCACTGCTCATAATGACTCCAGCTGTATCATCACTGCTTATAATGACACCATCTTTATCATCACAGTTCATGATGACCCCCAGGTATCTCACAAATTTTCCTGATGGCACCACATACCAAACAGATTTTATTTTAATGCCTAATGCCTCACAAATACTCGTAATGATGTTGTATATCTTGGAAATACTCTTAATGACCCCAGGTGGATTTAAAGGTGTATATTAAAACACTAGGCATCACACAAGTTCTTTTAATGATGCAAGTGATGTACAGGTATTTATGATTACCTTGGGTGTTGATAAGGACTCCAGGTGTCTCACAGGTGCTCATAATGACCTGAGGGGACTCATATGTGTTGCTGTAATGCCAAGTGACACCCAGGTGCTCATAATATCCCTACAAGAACCACAAGTGCTTTGTGACATTAAATGACCCATAGGTGCTCATAATGATACCAAGTGATCCCAGGAAACCAGGTGATTACTGGTACAGTACTCACAATGACCCCGTGCTAATCATGGCCACAGTGGGTAGTTCTTAGGGTTGAGGAGTATCCATTCATTTTACTGATCAACACCAAACATGATGAAAAGGATCACCAAAAAGTTAAGGTTTAAGTGTGATCAAGGCATTTGAGTTAACTATTCTTGCCAGAGTTATGGCCTCACTTGTATTTTAGAAACCTTGCTGTCTTGTTGTTATTTGATATCCATATTATTGATAACAAATTATTGTGCAACTTTGGTACACTATTATTACATAGACAGGCATATGTTTAAGAGTTCCTTTTGACATTTATAATATCGTTTCTTTGAAATTTCAGGGGGAAAAACACCAGAAGAGCGTCTCCCCGTTTGGTTTATCATGGATGAGTTTGGATCTCGTATTCAACACTGTGGTGAACCAAACTTCCGTGTTATCCCATTCTATTATGCCCCTCATCAGTGCTGTTATTCTCTCCTATTCCCTATTGAGGTAGGTAAGGCCTAGATAATTGCTGTGTTTACAGTGGTCGGACCAATTAAAAAAACTTACTGAGCAATCATTAATGGGAACTTACATTATTCTTACGAGAATACTGTACATAATAGTATTACTTCTTGGTGAGCAGTCAGTTCGGTATAGGGAGGTTTTTGGTTTAAAAATAATACTAAAAATTCATCCAATAGCTACCCAAATTAGTTTGGTACTGAAATTGTTCTACCACTCTCCCACATCCTGACAATCCTTCCTCAGCTGGTTATCACCTCTGGCACATTGTACCTTCCTGATGCCATTTATGCCCAAAATAAAAGAAAATTGTGCTGTATACAATTGTTTTTGTAGATATAAATACGTTGGTGACATGTGTAAGCCATCCAGCATTATCACATTAGACATTACAGTATACAGTATTCGATGTGGGAGTCGCCTTGAGTGCATATGATTGAATGACTGGGTGGCTTTGTATGTGTGCATGTATCTGCATTTGTCAGTATAGGTGTGTATGTGGAAGGGTGTGTAAGTGTATGTGTGCGACAGACATTATATATACAACACTAACCTTATCAACTGCATAAGGAACCGTGAAGCCTGGGAGGAGGAGGAGAATACAAAGTAAAGTACATATCACAGCTACTGATAAATAGAAGAGAAGTACAAATGATTTACCATAACACAAAATAACCAGTGTTTCGCGTCTGGGTAATGCAAGGAGTACAAATTCCACACAACGTTACCAGACTGGATCACCGTTGATGACTAAGGCACGCACAAACTTTAGACCCCAAGTGTACATTATGTCCACTAATATTTTACCCTGTAACACATAATTTTTTCATTGAACTGAAATATCATATTTATTATTTGTGTACATTACTTTATAAATATTTTTATTTCTATTATTACTGTACACAGTATTATTTTAAAGTGGAATTTCAGTGTTTTCGGTTAGGTGAAATGTTGGGAAGTCTGGCTAGAATACATCCCTATGTTTTTTTTGTTTTTTTTTAGAATGCATCCCTTTGATAAACAGAGGAGTAGCCATACCGTCTACAAAATTAAAATAAATACTCGAACAAAGAAAATATAATGCTGTATTTTCTATATGGCAGGATGTGGAAGAAGGAGATGAAGTAACAAGAAACTTCGTGGAGACTCCCCCTGTTGACACAATAACTCGTGATGCTCAGATGCTTCCTTGGTTCCCAGAGGAGCTGTCTCATGTCGATCCTCAGCAGACAGAACCTCTGCCAGAATTTTTTCAAGTAATTAATGGTTAAAACAAATCCTTATAAATAATGTCCACATTATATGCAGATGTTATAAAGTATTGATACAAAGAAGTAAAAAGTGGTTTACTGTAACTGGTACTGTGAATAAAGTATAAATTTCATTTTACCCTAAGATTATTTTTTAATATTGTTGTATTGTTATCCATTTTCCACTTACTGGTATACTTATTTAGTCAATTTTACTATAGTGTGGACGCATGAACGAGACTCTCCCAGACTGTAATACGGAGGCTGCTGATTTACCCACTGATCGACCACTTCATGTCTATGCTGAGTATGAGTGTGTCCGCGAATACTTAACTGATACACGTTTTGTTGTGGTGGATTTCAAGGAGGAAGCAGACATCTTGTGGATGGTTGAACACTTCAAGGACTTCAGGTTGGTTTTAATTTTACATTGTTTTTATGTATTTTACTCTCAAAACCCTATGTTGGTGTGTGATCCTTCATCAACCCACTTAATTTTCAATTCTTCAGTGTGCAGTTGCAGTATCTTAATCAAGTGAGGTCATTTTTTGGAAGGATGTACGGTAGGCACATGTATGTAACTAATGACCAAGTTTTTTTTACCCAACAGCTCAAAACATTTATATTTTTCAGGAGTCTTCGAGATAAACCACATTGCCGGGTAAATCAATATTTATGTGAACACTTGATAACAGTCAAGGACCTGCTGGCTGTTGTTTGTCGTCGCAGTGTTGACTCAAGAATAGGAAAAGAAGAGGATGATGCGACTGGTCCCTCTTGGTTACCTCTCACTTATTGTTTGAAGAGAGAGCTAGTAAAATTTGTTTCGTTGTTTCAGAGAAAAGAAAAGAGGTAATTATTGGTGCATTTAAGTAAGAGTTGTTGTGCTTAACCCTCTTATGTCAAGTTTAAATACTGATAACATATTTTGTTTTTGATCTTGTTATATACTGTACGTATCTCTAAATTTAAGTAATCTTAGATAAGCTGAAAGTTTGGATGAAACGAACAATAATTTTATAAAATACGTAGTCTATATCTTATAAAATACTAGATGCACAGTCGATATGAATACTGTATGGAGGCAAACCACCTCAACTGCTTTTTTAGTTTGATAAGCATGAAACATTTTTTTCCATAGAGGAAAAGACAACCACTGGATCATAAAACCATGGAACCTGGCACGTGGCCTGGACCACACCATTACAAATAATCTAAATCACATCATTCGTCTCCCATCTACAGGCCCAAAGGTGAGAGACAAATATCATAGAAGGTCCATTCATTTATTGCAGGATACGTTAATTTTATAATCATTAGTGTTGTAAGTGGTCATAAATTACAGTATGGAAAGTAAAGTTGATAAAAGTACGTATAGGTATGAGCTAAATGTGAGGTAGATATCTACATGTCTTACATAGTACGAGGAAGAGGTCTTGACAAAGCACGCTAATGATGCCTGGCTGACTATGACACCACACTTCCAGTTGCATATAAAATGATGGCATATCATTCACCTTAAATATATTTCCAATATTATAATTAGATTATTCCTGTTAAACTATCAAGCAGTAATAGATTATGTATGGAAAGCAACTGGTAATGAAAAAAATAAACTACTGATGCTAGATGTAGCTCTCAGAGCCTTCATGGTGTTGTCTGCTGATTATTTTTTACTAGACTAGTCATTACTTTTATTATTACTATTACAGCTACTCCCCGACTTACGACTTACTCGACTTACGACCACCCGGACATACGACCGCCTCGGTCGTACCAAAATTTTGTCAAATTACGTAGTATTTTTGAGTCCCAACGGCAGTGATTGCACTCTGTACTGACAAAATTTTCGTTTGTAATTCACTTTAAAATGGCTGGCAAGCTTAAAAGTGAGAGTTTTGTGGTGCTGAGAAGAAAAAGAGACACCCATTTTAGATTTTCTATGTATTATTTAAGCATTTTCAACTTACGACCAATTCGACTTACGACCTGGATTTGGGTCCCTAACCCCGTCGTAAGTCAAGGAGCAGCTGTATTATTATTATTATTACTATTATCAAACACAGCTTCACTTTATTTAGTGGTACTCATTTTTATATTGTTCGTCTAAACCTTACAGATTGCCCAAAAGTACATATCCAATCCTGTTTTATTTCATCGAGAAGACATTGATGCTGATGTCAAGTTTGACATTCGGTACATTGTGATGCTACTCAGTGTGGAGCCTCTAAAGGTATGTGAGTACAGTATAATAATAATAAGTTATAGAATGTAAATTAAATAGTGGTTCATAAATGTTTGTGCATAAAAACCTCTCAACCCTTGGATGACAGGAGATACAGGTATGTGTATTAGAATATCTGACTGACTTAGTTCTAGTGATAGATACTGTACTGCTAAAGTTTTGTTAAGATTATGTGCACGAGCAACACAGAATACCTCAGCAGTATAAATCACAGGAGTATGTGTGGTCAAGTTTGTGGTCCATATATGATCATGTTATGGCCAGTATTTTACTTATGTCTATTCTTGACCAAATCATCAGGTCTTTGTGTCCAGGTCATCATTCATTTATGTGATAACATTGTACAGTAGTAGGAAAGCAGGCTGACTTGTGGGTCTATTATATAAACAAGCTCTATAATCATAAGTGGTCATGTAGTGGCCCAGTGGAAACAGTATTTGCCCAATGTGCTAAGGATCACTGGTTCATGGCTGCAGCACTCGTCAGTTAATGGGCACCTAACTTTACAGTTAGTGAAGTGAAGGCAGCAGAGTGCCCTGGTAACACTTGTTTTCTTTTGTACTGAAGGCATAGTATGCAAGTATGCTGTATCTACACTGCCCCTAATAATTTTCTAAGCCAGTGAGACTCGCCTTCAATTGTAAATGTTATGTTGATCTGCCCAGGTACTTTTTCCACCAGTCATAACGACCTAGTATTGTACTTCTTAAATAATTATTATTGTTTTTAATTTTAACTGGTGATTTTCTCTCCCTTTATAGTTTTTCTCAAAAAAATCTACCTTCAGTCTTTTATATTTTGATTATCATGACCTATTAGTAATCACTATCATGAGCTATACAGAGTACTGTGTTTGAGATTACATCCCCATCAAAATTATTCAAAACACTGAATCTTATAGTCTGCCATTCATCTTACAGGTGGCTGTATATAAAAGGTTTTGGATTCGCTTTGCTAATCAGGCTTTTGACCTGACAGAGCTGGACAACAACCAGAAGCACTTTACTGTAAACAATTATAATGATGCATTCCTTCTACAGGTAAGTTTATAATTCCCTACCTGGGAGTGAAGAATTTCTTAAAATATAATTTATTTATTACTGTTCATCTAATACAGTTGAAGCTTCCATGCCAAGCAGAAGGTTTTCAATCTTTTTAAAGAATATAGCAAGAGTACAGTACCTTAGTACCTATGTAAATACAGTAGTGTTCTGCTCTTAATCTAGTGATGATAATCATGTTTCCTTTTGCATTTTAATCAAAATATTTGTATCAGTACAAGAATTGTGTACCAGACAAGGTAAAGTTTACAGGTGCCTAGATATAAAACAGAACCATGCCATAATATAGTATGTCCATCTTCCCGAGGTAGGTGGGTACTGTAGTCTTTAATTACCTCAGGGAGTTGTGACCCTGCAATGTCAGTTAAAAATGTGCTTGGAAATTATTCTGCCTTTATATTTATCATTAATTTTTTGGGGGCCAGAGCCATTAGAATTTGAACATACCCTACTTCTTATTTACAGATGTACTGCCATGATTTTATCTGCAAGTTTAATAGCCAGTTCCCAGAGCAACCTTGGCAGACATCAGAGGAGCAGATCTACAACATGATCCATCAGGTAAATTTTCATTATTAGGAGAGCAGGAAGTTAGTCATATAGGAAGCAATGGTGTGTATGAATGATTGGAACATATATCATTAGGTGGTTTTGGGGGATGGACATGGGTAACTGTAAACCATACAGATATCTTGGGTCTTTATTATGGAAGGACACATTTGGTAACCATCTGGTAAGGCAACTAGGCAAGTGAATGATAGAAAATATTGGAGACATTTTCATTATTTTTCACTCCAGCCACCCTCTGCCTTCATGGGAAAGAGCTTGCAAGCACCCATAGAAAATTTGTAAGGTGATTTGTCTGTACTGTAGTTGCTTTGATAATGAATGACAAAGAATAGATCCTACATTTCTCTTAATTTTGTAGATAATGAATTAAAAACTTGAGGCTAAGATCAGAGAGTTCCTATCAACAAACAAAATGCAATCCCTGTAAAGTATGCATTTGGTCATGATCTTATATTGTATGCCAGTATAGCTACTTTTAACACTTACAAAAGGTGTGCAGGTTTGAATGGACTATCAAGAAAATATTTAATATTAAACAAGGGAACTCAAAGGTACTCTTAGAAGAGATAAGCCAGATTCATTGAGGCATATGTAAGATTAGTTGCAATTAATGAAAATTAAGATGGATGAATGGTGCTATAAGTGTTTACTGTACTGTACTGTACAAAAGTGCAGTGAGCCCCCATCAATTCTGACACCTACCACATGGCACCACAAGCTTGAATTATTCTTATCCTTCTCCTGCAGTGCTGGTAAACGTTAATTTTTTTGCAAGTTTTCTGATTATGGTAGGTTATTTTGGCCAAAAGGTTGGGTAAGGGGTGGATTGACAGACCAGGAGGAAAGTGCCTTGATAACTTGGAACGGTTAGAGCCCCATGTTTTCTGAGTTATCATAGTCAAAGGAAGATAAAAGATAGGAATTAAAACAGATGGTTAATAACATGTTTGTGAAAATTCGTTTCTCCAACACCACCATTTTTTTTTTCATTACACATCCTCTATAGTACACAGTTAGTAATTATCTGTGTAATGAAAAGGATGAGTTACATAATGAACTAATTCCAGCAAGATGTGGTTTCATTATTTTCTTGAGTCACATTAGTAGGATACAGTTAGTGGATATATTTATGTATAAATTTGGTACTAGTGCTACACATCTTTCACCTTGAAAATAGATGTAGCCCTTAATGCTAATACCGTACCTGTACTGTAATTATATTACGTCTTTAGGTATTCAAGTGTGCAACTGCCAAAGATCATCCACAAGGCATTCCACATAACCCACAATGTAAAGGATTTTATGGGTTTGATGTTATGTTGGAATGGACAAGTAAAGAAGGTGAGCTTAATTGTATTACAGTACTTATTTTCATTTTATAAATATATTTGTAGATGATGATGTGACTGGTACAGTATATTAATGTCCAAAAACTTCTTGTTGCTGTAGTACACGTATTCCCTGATTTATTAAACCCCTTTTTAAGTACAGTAAATTTTTGGTAAATCTGGTCACATTTTCCCAAAGACTCCCATTATAAAAGCTGAGATAGGTTCCTCTCACCCCCAAATAAAACAACAAAAAAGTACAATTTAGTACAATACCTGTATATATATATTACCCTCCTACTGAACAGATGTTATACTGTACTGTCAAAAATAATATGTTAATTAAAGAACATTTTTAAAACTAATTAGTGTGGATATCCTAATCTTTCACTTTAAATAATCATCATTAAGATATTATTTAGTGTATGTTTTATGCTGTATAAGTACAACTAACTAACTAACTAACTAATTCACTGTCTGATGGATGAAGATTTATTTTTACTTTGGCGCTCATTCTTGTTCCCTTTAATGAAACCTTATGTCTTGGGATTACAGGAAAAGAAGTTATGCAGCCACAGCTACTTGAAGTCAACTTTAATTCAGATTGTAAACGTGCCTGTGAATATTATCCAGAGTTCTTCAATGATATTTTCTCAGTAATGTTTCTTGATGAAGTAGAAGGACACAATGTTGCCATTCTTCAGTAAAATTGTTTATCAACAATCTACTCAGTCACCAGCAGAGTGATAAGGTTCTTGTATACTGTAAGGATATGATGACAAAGTTTTGTTTTAGGAAAGTGCGGACAAAAGTTGTGTTGCGTGTCAGCACGGAGTACTGTATATTCAAGCTAGAGTAATGCAGCTGATTGCCTTTGAATATGTTGTGATCTACAAATGCATGGAACTTGCATGTTTGTTTGAATGAAGCATAATATTAAAGTTTACTAATTTTTGAAAAGTTTTTGTTATCTGTTGGTAAACCTTTGTTTCGAATGACCATATTTTTATTTATACAGTATATTTAATAAAACACATTGGTGTTTATAGTACAGTTTCTTCCAGGTGTGATGGTGCCCCAACGTGCCTTCCTTGCTCTTGTGGCAATATCGCATTACTCATGTGGCTAGGGAATTGATTGATAGGTTCTGTTTCCAAGTGGAGTATATGGGGTCCCCGAGTTACGAATGGCCTCCGTTCCTGGGGACATTCGTAAGTCGGATTTGTACATAAGTCGGAACACATGCTATTGGCATACCGTATACAGAACAATGTTTAAAATCCTACTATATTATAGCCTAAGTTTTTATATATATATCTAAAATTATTTAATTTAAGAGAAAGGAAGAAATAGAATGAAAAATACAGTAAATGAAAGTAAAAAAATAAGTAATCAGGTAAATAAATTACTGTACTGTAAATTTCAAGTATAACCTCGTTCGTGTCGGCAGGCGTTCATAAGTTGGGGACCCTCTGTACTTGGTTTTGCTAGTATACTATTTGTATATTAATATTCAAAATAACAATATTCAATGGAAATAATACATAGTTTGTTTTTTGTACCATGATATATGATGTTACTTATAAATAAAGAAGCCTTTGAGGAAAAGGAGTCGTGCAACATTGCCACAAGAGCAAGGAAGGCACCATTGAGGGGTAACATCACATCTGGAGGCGACTGTACATATTAATTATTACTTCACTTTCATGGTGTGTGGTGTCTGCAGAAACAATGTAATATAATTGCATAATCTTATAAGTGACTACAGTAGACTCTCAATTATCTACAGATAAGGGCTGTAATGATATCCACATCTTTTTCCCCTTTTTATAAGCAGCTTTCATTTTATCCTTAAGTCTTTGACTTTGTAGTGTTTCAAGCACTAGTGAATTCTCTAGAAGTACCTGTACTGGTGCTTTTGAGAAACAAAATACCAGCTATTATTATTATTATTCTAAGCTTATTATTTCTGGTCCCAAGCTTGCTGGATAATTGATATACTACATGTATATATTTGAGAAAATGGTGAGTGTAAAGAGCCTGCTAACCTGAATTACATGTAATCCATTGTGAATTGCTAATACAAGTATCCTTCATTATGTGAATGGGTTAGGTTTCTTGAAAACCATTTGTTAAGTGAATATTCAGACATCAAATAATATAACATATGGGAAAAAATAGGATTTGGTTCCCCAATGACAAGAAAACCTCGATATTGTACTGTACCTAGAAGAAATGAAATAGGTTCATGGGCAATGAAAAACCTACCTAACTACTGTAAATTATCACCTAGCACATTAAGAAATTAATGAATTATAAATTTGGTACATTTCCTTCAAGGACCATAGCTTTTGTGGTAAGAAAGAGGTGTAAGAATAGAATTCGTATAAATGAATATTTGCAGAGCGAACGTTAGTGTAGCAAGTGATCCCTGTAGTTGACAATATACAAAAGTGCCAAGATAACCAAAAACTGCAGATAATTAATATTTCAGTTATTTAATATACACATAATTGAGAGTCTACTTTATATTAATCAATATTCGATTATTAATTAACTTGATAACCGGTAATGGTTAGTCTATATGTGAAGTTATAATGTGAATGTGTTGTAAGGGTAAGGTAGGCTCCTTCTTGTCATGTAGAGGAAGGTATCCATATGTCCAAGATGTATGGAGATTACAGTGGTTGGTGATCCTGTTAGCTCGAACTGTAAGGAACACTAATGAACAATGTTTCTTGATGAAGTGGAACAACTCAATTGTGTCTTATATCAACTTATTTATTCACCAATAGGGTAATACAGGTTCTTGTAAACTGTCAAAGTTTAACAAGAAAGTTGTTATTTTAGGAAAGTGAGGACCAAGTTGTATTGCTTTTAAGCATTATGTATATTTAAGCTAAATTAATGTAGCAGAATTGCCTTTGAAAAACTTCTGGCCATTAATGCATGGGAAGTCGCAATTTTAAATCTTTGTATATTACTGTTTATTTAATTTATTGATTTATAAGTTATTATTATTTTATGGTAAATCTTCATGCCTTAGATTGAAAGTAAAAGTGTGTCTCATTATGTATTTAATTAAAAATTATTTACAATATGATGTGTTATTTGTTATTACAGTTGTATACAGTACAGTACTGTTTTTGTTTTTTGTGCAGAACAGCATAATATCATATGCATAAATGTGAAATTATTAGAATGTATGATTTATTAACTTGATAATAGGTAAAGACTAGTCTGTATTTGACATTTTATTGTTTGTGCATGTTGTTGGGAAAAGAGAGGCTCCTTTGTCATGAAGAAGACATCTTTTGTGACCATATATTAAGTGACTTTATGATGTGATTGATGATCCAGATAGCTAGAACTCTAAGGAATAGTTCATATCTCATTGAAAAAATATTTTTCTTAATATGTTGCTCAAATTTCCTGAATGTTTTCTTACATATGTGACTTACAAATGTATTGACAACATTTTAACATCAACTTAAAGATCACTGCCTAATGTTGTGGATATTTTCTTGAAGTGTGCAATATTTATTTTGTGAAAATTGTTGAAATTCTTTCATAGTGTATGTATAAGTAACATTAAGGTTACAAGGTTTATAACCAGCTGTGAAATGTTATTACTGTACATGTTAATCATAGTTTTATGTCAAGTGTAAAGTTTGTAATTTTAAATTATTATGACAATACTTTACATACTTTGAAAAGAATGATATCAATGCCAATAATACTCAAATGATACATTTTGCTTCATTGCAAGGTATTGGGTAGTTTCTTTCAATCCTTATATTATTATGTAAAACCACCATATGAATCAAAGTTTCTGCAGATGGTAGATGTCTTTGTAGATAACACATATCAAAATATGACAAATGCCATTGTAAGTTTTAAACAAATTTCATGGCTGGATGCCCTACCTACAGTATTGCCACTCCGTTTTTACAAAGTGGGACTTCTAAGTATCTTTATAGCTGGGAAGGCAGGGTCGCTGCTGCCTTAAAGTCGAAGTCAAAAGTAATCATTCATCCCTTCTACTACTGTACTTGTGAGTTGAAGGCCTTTCTACACAATGGGTCACAAGAGGATGGGTGGGGAGAGAAGAAGGTGCAAGTTGAGGTCCACATACAGTATGTAGTGATCGTGTGCAGGTATGTTGTCTTAAAATGATCTTCAATGCCTGAAGAAGGATATTTCGGTTGGAGGATGTAGCTTGATGTTCATTGCCTTAATGACCCTGGCAGCTGAGGCCTAAAATCCAAGCAACCAGGAGGGTGGGTGTCCAGGGAGGTGTCAGAGACTTGCTTTCCCTTAGATGTCTTTGCCTTTACTTGGGCTGCAAGTGAATTATTGGCAGGTAATGTGCCATAGGGTTAATGAGACGTCTGGCTTCTGTGAGGGAAAGCTCCTGGTAAGACAACCTAAAAGAGGTGGGGTGTGTGGCTTTGCTTTTGGCCTTGCTCACAGACAATAACACTAAACTAGGCTATTACTTAATCACTGCCTCCTCCAACCACTACTGTTCTTGTAAATTCGGTATTAATTGAGAAGAAAAAGAAGAATGAATTGTTGGATAGAGTGTTACTTGTACATCCTTGTATCCTCTAAAAAACAATGGTGACAAGAAGACTCCAGGAGTTAATAGAAAATGGGGGCTATTGAAAATCTGTGACCTGTTGGTTAATATTAAAAATATGTGACTTCCACCCTTGTAGTCAATATTTCTCTTCACATAAACGTTATTGTAAATATCTAATTGCCCTCGTTTAAAACCTGAAAAAAAAGATAAATATAGATATGGGTGGCACATTATATTACAAGTATAATCATAACATAAGGGTCCTCATTTATTACTCTTTCAAGTACAGTGAGTTCTGCTATAACGCGTGTTTTGATAACGCGAATTTGCTCTAACGCGATTTATGAATTCGGAACAATATTTGTATAACGCGATCGCTTGTTTGCTATAACGCGATTTTTGCTTACTATTTCTCCAATTTTGTGGTATTAACTGTGAATATGGTAAAGAAGAATATCTCCAAAAAGCATTCTGATGATAGAATTCCCGGTGATTATCGTAAAAGAAAGGATATAACACTTGAAGAGAAGCTTGATGTTATCAACCTCAAAATCACCCTTCTCCCCCATCAAGTTACATTCATATTTTTTATAAAGTGTTAAATTTACTGTATGATTTCATTATTAGATATGAATGTAACATTTATTTAGACTGTGCTATCCTTTGTGTTAGGCTAACTACTAAATTTTTTCGATTTCGAGTAATCTGCACCTAACCCTATTTTCTCCATAAGCCCTGTTATTTCTATTACGCGATTTTCTATAACACGATATTTTACAAGAACACAATTATCGCGTTATAGCAGAACTACCTGTATGTAAACCTTAGATAATTTTGTGGAAAAAGAAACTTGCATCCAGCCTTCCTTTTTTTCACTAATTTGCCTGCTTTCTTCAATTCCCCCTCACACTCTGATAGCAACTTGCAATGCATAACACCCTCCCACACCACACCCCAACAAACGATCCAACCCCAAGTCGATCATTCCCCATCACCATCCCTTGTCGAACAGAAAAGACCCAGCCAGGTGCAGGGTTCACATTATTGAAATAAAAGACGAAATCTTGCAGCTGGTTTATTTCGGTCTAATACTAGGATCCTCTTGCAGTTAACTAACAGAACAAAGTAAGTGATATAGAGCATGGGTATCAGGTTACATTGTGGGGTTCAGGATGTTTGGTTCACACTCGGGATGGAATGGAGAAAGGAAACTCACACTGTGCTCTCTATATACATGTTGTATTGGATGTACAATGCAACTTGGTGCTGGGAAGGCAGCATGGTTACAAGCGTGATGTAGAGAGAGCTGGTTGGTGAGGATGCTCACAGGAAGACCAGCTTGTGGGTCGCCATGCTCTCCGGCGGGAGCGAGGACCACCAGGCAGGCGGAGGAGGAGGAGGTGTTGCTGGCTGGTTGGTGGAGGTAGAAAGAGAACAGGTCACCACGAGGTCAGGTCTTAAATAGCGAGGGGTAGGCGTGGCTTAGTAGTTGACCCCCGCTCCGTGATGTATGGCGGCGCTGGTTGACCTAGACCACGAGGCATACACTGGGGAATTGGTGGGGTCGGCTACTCAGCGACAAACAGCGTTTGTAGGGGAGAAATCCACTACAATACTCCCCCTTCCCTCCAGGCGGTGTAGGAGACTTGTTGTCTGCAGGGTTGCATAGCACATGTGAGGCAGAACGGGCGGTGCATGCCTCATGTGAGACAACGGCGATGGCGTGGATGAGCCGGTCGCTGGATACAACTGTCTATATACACACTATCTGTGGGAGAAGAGAGGGAGAAAAAGGGTGTGTGGAGGCGATGAATGTTGTGCTTCCCTCACGGCAGGTACAGAGTCGTCAGATGCGCCTGCTGGGGTGTGTGGGCCTGGGTCAGGAGCAGGGGCTGCGTCAGCAGAAGCGGATGAGGGCTCGTTACAGCAGCTGGGTCCACGACAGCAGCAGGGTGCAGGACATTAGCAGGGAGAAAAGAGGAGTGTGTGGGTCCGCACTCAGGAACAGGGGCCGCGTCAGGAGAAGCGGCAGGGGGTACTGCTGGGCCGGGGTCGGCGTCTGAGGCAGGACGGATGTGTTGGTGCGCATGAGGAGCAGAGGCCGCATCAGGGGCGGCAGGGGTTACTGCTGGGCCAGGGGAGGCGTCTGAGGCAGGGCGGGTGTGCTGGGGACGGAAGAGGGGCGGCTGTCTGCTTAGAGTAGCAGAGCTGCTCTAGGGTGTTTAACCTGCAGTGTAGAAACAGTAGCTGTAGAGCCGATGAGAGCTGGTTCTGTGTGGATAAGCCAATCTTCCATGTTGCCCGAAGACTGGGAGCGTGATCTGTTTCTCCTCCATCCTGTGTGAGTGCGAATCTCTGGGAGTCACCATTTGTTGGGTTCAGGATGTTTGGTTCACACTCAGGATGGAGTGGAGAAAGGAAACTCACAATGTGCTCTTTATATACATGTTGTATTGGATGTACAATGCAGCTTGGTGCTGGGAAGGCAGCATGGTTACAAGCGTGATGTAGAGAGAGCTGGTTGGTGAGGATGCTCACAGGAAGACCAGCTTGTGGGTCGCCATGCTCTCCGGCGGGAGCGAGGACCACCAGGCAGGCGGAGGAGGAGGAGGTGTTGCTGGCTGGTTGGTGGAGGTAGAAAGAGAACAGGTCACCACGAGGTCAGGTCTTAAATAGCGGGGGGTAGGCGTGGCTTAGAAGTTGACCCCCGCTCCGTGATGTATGGCGGCGCTGGTTGACCTAGACCACGAGGCATACACTGGGGAATTGGTGGGGTCGGCTACTCAGCGACAAACAGCGTTTGTAGGGGAGAAATCCACTACAACATGACCTGTCTCCTGAGTTGAGGAAGCAGATCGGTGGCAAAAAAAAGGATAGAGTAAAACAGGCAAAAAACGGAGCATTTATCAGCTCAGAGAAACGTGGATACCGCCGATAATGTAATAGGCAACGTTGGAGACTAGCAGGGCATACGGTATATGCTATCTAGCGCTTTACATACTGTTCAAGTTAAACTAATTCGTCTAATTATACGTGATAAAAGTAAACAAAAAAGGTAGAAGTGAAGTGGTGATCGCCCATTTTTAATAGGGTTCTCACATATGCCAATTTCCGGTCATTGAGAGATTTTTTGTTCCTCCTTACTTCTGCAGAATAGATCATAAGGAATACTACAAGCTCGATCGTTACACAATTGGGAGGCACTATCAGGGCCACACTATTAGACAGGAAGTATTAATGCAATAAATCGTTATCTCAAATGACGACATATTACATAACACTTGTTGTATGTCTTACTAAAAATGAAGATATTAGATAAGATCCAAACGTTCAGATATCTAGACGGTCCGACCGTCCCTCGTAATGATCTTTAAAGAGTGAGGTGCATCCTTGTCTGTAGTACTGTCACTTTGTCTGGTCCCCGAGATCTGCTAGGGACTGTCAGTTGATTGAAAATGTCCAAAGGAGGGCCACTAGACTGGTGCCTGCACTCCGGCACCCAAGCTGCCCTGAGAGATTAGAGTACATGAAATCGCCTAGCTTATTCTACAGACGGGTAAAGGGGGACCTAATTAAGGTGTAAAAACATCTCAAAGGGCAGTACCTAGACGATTGTCCTTACCTGGAGCTGGTGGACGCTCACCCCACAAGGGGTCACAGGACTCACAGCTCAAAGTTGAAGAAGCCGCAAGCGCAGAAAAATGTGAGGGGCAAACTTTTTCAGAGTGAGAGTTGTGAACCCTTGGAACAATCTGCCAGAAAGTGTTGTGACGGCACCGAGTGTGAGCTATTTCAAGACCAGACTTGACAAGCACTGGAGCGGGGTCAGATACATTCAGGAGCCAGTGCATGCCCAGTACTTGCCAACAGTGCGTAACAGAGATGTGAGTGTCTGACCGATCGCCCAAGCAGTGAAGAGGATAAATGTAAAAGGTAGGTAACTGAATGTAGATACAATAATGCAGTAAGTCAAATAGGTCGATCGTTGGAATACCAATTACAGTAGTGTTGTTGAGTCAGATCATTACAATTATGCAGTTTTCGTGTACTGTACATTATTCTAAAGTAACATAAATATAAGTGGTGGTGGAAACATTAAATTTAAATTGTCTTAAGTAGGAGGGATAATGGAAGCTTTAAAGGAAGCGGAAGCTACAAGTATTACTCAAACTGGTGGTTGCGTAAAATGAAGAGGAAAGTATGAGCATTGCTTAATTAATCAAACTCATGGTGACGCTTGTTCCTTCAGCTAGATAAGAAACTCTTGAAGTAAATGAAACCAGAGCACACTAGATGCATATTGAAATTATTCTGAAGAGTAATTATAGTTATAGATAGGAATTAAATAAGGTTACTGGCATATTGCTTTCGAAATTCTGCTAGTGGTGTAGGTGCATCCCCCTACCTCGGGACTAGACAATAAAAAAGGGGAAATGACCAATGTGGCTAGAGAATTAGAGTAGACGCGTATTAAAACAATTCCGAAGTTTGCTAGAGGAGTAAGGAAAGCAAGGTATTGGTAACCTTCTACTGATGCTTCTTGTTGATGTCCCTCCCATTTTCTCATTCCACTAAGTAGTTAAAAACTTCTGATGTGTACAAAGTAAATGTGAAATTATTACATTGTCTGAAGTTTAATGTAGGGGTGTAGGAGAAAAGGAAGGTAGGTGAGGAGCCCCCGCCGCACCCTGCAGGTTGCCCCAGACGCCGAGAGGTGGCACTAGTTTAAAGTCAGCGTTGTTGTTGTCGTTACGCTACAACAGTAAACAAAGATTATTTTCTCACGTTTATAGCCGTTTTATGGAGTAAAACTTCACTCTAAGCCTCCCAGTTTGACAGTGATGGTGAGTAGAAAAGGGAGGAGAGAAAATTATTTGGAAAAAATTGAGGGAAAATCAGTTATAATGGGTTAATGAGTGCGTGTGGTTGAAGACGCCTCTCGTAGTGTGTGTCAGTGTGGGAGTGAGTCAAAGATTATCCCCACAAGGACGTGGTCGTGACCCATGTTCCCCCCCACCTCCTGGCCTTATGTTTTCCCACAGTACAGTGTGGCATACAGTCAGTCCTTCGCTTTATTTAACACTTCTTAATAGAGGTATTGTACGCGACTGCCCTGTTCTTAGAGGTTTGGGTAAATCTTGGGAGATTTCTAAGTTGGAAGTGAGTGTGAGGACTCCCAGGCTGGGAAAACTGACAGTTAGAAGAAATTGCAAGAGAGAGTTGTGACTCTAAGAACGCTTAACTGGTGTTAACTACAGAAATAATTGAACGTTTATCTAAAGTGTCACTGGTCAAATATTGATGAAATGTTATTCATTTTTGTCAAATAATCTTAACAGTCTTAGTAGTGTTTCATATACTACAAAAAAATATGTAAGGTCTTAGAAAAAAAAAGGAAAAAAATCACTGATATTTTTAATTTCTATTTACAGCAGTGCCAAGTTTGTATAACGGGTTATAAGGGCGTTATAAGACTGCAGCATTAAACCATTTGGGAAAGATTTGATCATTAACATATAAATACTGTGAAGTTTATAAAATAATCGAATAGGCTACATTGCAGGTCACGACAAAATAGCCTGACAGCCTGATTGGCTGTCAGGCTGTTTTGGGCTATTTTGCCGGTCCGTTGTTTATGTAATAGAAGTAATTATATATAGTATTTATTGCAGTATGCAAAGAAAAATATGACCTGTGATATTATTTATGTATATTTTATTTTTATTGTTTTGATTAAGCATTATCCTAAATAGTCTGGAATGCCGATGTGTGAGAAGGAGTAACTCTTGCATAAATTTAGGCTATAATTCTGCAAACATCAGCTTACGAGCCCATAAAGAGGATGGTGATTTTCCAGTACAGTTTTTGATGCCAAGTATCTGCAGTATACCTGGAGTGCTTTTGTTTTCATTTGCCATAATAAGGAGCTTATTAGTGCTGTATTATAATCTGAATCGAGTGTTCTTGTTGCAGGCACCATAACAGTAATGATGGACAGGGCCAGTAAGGGAGTCACAATGGCCACACACCTCATACCACTTATACTATTCATCACACCCCTCACACAGCCCGCAGGTAAGTACTCCATCTAATCCTCCTATTGATCCTACATCATGTAATTGATGAATCATAGTCTTGTGGACCATAAATTCATGTTATACTTCTTATTGTCCATTATTTCTTATGTTTCTACTAAGTGTATTGCATTCTCTACTCATTTATGTTTGAAACACAATGTACAGTGACCCTTCATTTAACGAACGCCTCGGTTAACGAAATTTCGGTTAACGAACTGCCTTCCATAAGGATCTTCAATTCGGTTAACGAACAAAAATTCGGTTAACGAATTTCTTACGAACCGACCTCAACATGTTTTCGCTTGCACTTACCGGGCAACCAGCTTTAGTATCAGTCCGCCAATACAGTAATCGGTTTTAGGGCTTAAATTCCTTACTATTTTAGTAAATATCAAGAAGTTTATACTATTCAATAATTTTAAAAGTTTAATATTAACTTTTTTAGTCATTTTAACAATTATTGAACATAATTGAAGGTAAAGAAACTAGTTTCTGGCGTGCCATCCAGCCTGTTAACACACCAGACAGGCGTTAGTCTCTCTCTGTTTTCAGTGGAGGTAACATCTTACTTGAGACTCTCTTCAACTAAATGCTTTTTTGCTGTGTTTCCAAGCAAATTATTGGTCATTTTGAAATATATTTTACATATTGACAATATATAATGCAGTGCAGTGTTGATTTAAAGAAAATAATCTTGAAATACACCAAGAGAACAAAAATTTTATGGGTGAAATGGTGCCATTGGGTGACTTCTCTTCCACCCCAATGCCTTCTCTTCTTCCTTCTCCACCCCCATTCTAATTCCCATCATCATCATCATCATCCAGGAGCCTTCTACATACACACCTCAAAGTAAGTGAACTTTTCTACCATTTTTGTTGAATTTAAGAAATTTTCGGTGAGCTGGAACCATTTACCCAAAAACCCATTGAAACAATGGTTTCGGTTAACGAACTTTTCGGTTAATGAACGACCTTCTGGAACGGATTGAGTTCGTTAACCGAGGTGTCACTGTACAGGTATTTAATGTACCGGGTATGTAAATACTTCTGGTATATTTCTTATAGTATTGATTAACCTACATATAAGGTGACAATGGATGTTTTTAATTTTTTAATTTTACCGAAATATGTCAGTGTGTGGGGGTTTGGCGGGTCTTACAACACCCGAGGTCTAAAGGCTAATACTGTAGATAGTAACGCTTGTAGAGTTTAGGAATGGTTATTGTTTAGCTCTGAAGAGTTAGGTGCCTGCCATACAGACACAAATTGTCTCGGGTTATCATCAGTACTGTACAGTACAGTAGTTATAAATCCAATTTTTATATTTAAAATAATTATTATTTTTTAAATTAATTTAAAGTAATAATACTGGAATGTGTTTTAGTATGCAATAATTTTTTTTTAATTCTTGAGTTGGGCTAAGTAGAATTTTGCCTCCTGGAGACACCAACTGGTGATTTCATTAGCTTACAGGAGATCGCAACTTCATAGGATGTGGGCTGATTTTTTTTTTTTTTAGCCATTTTTCAGACAGAAAAGTGTCATATATGCTGTAAAATACAGTACATGAAATCCCAATTTTTACTGGACCTCCTCCTATCATTCACTTCTTAATACCTATCTTTTGCTTCTCGGTCTCCTAATATACTGTACACTTATGCCCACACCACCTAAGCAAATCTTGGATGGCTTTCCTTCCAACACTTGTCTGAACATATTTCTACTTTTATTTGGTAAGCAGAAAATTAGTAACAGTCAAAAATGATAACAAAGAACCATAAGCTAGGATAAACATCAACTTTTAATAAAGATATCAGGAAGGACATGGTCAGTTTTACACATCTCTTCTGTTATTGTTTTTAGACAACAGCTGTATAACAAATTCCTTTTGTACCTCACAGTGAGTCAAGTAATTCGAGAAGTGGCAGTGCAGACCGGTGGAGATGAACCACTTGCCGGGACAAATGTCACCATCAAGTGCAAGGGTCGTGGGGATTTGCTACATTGGCGTCATGGTCATCATAATATCACGTAAGCTGTTTTTTACTTTTTTTTGTTTTTTTTACTGGGACTAGCCCACTCAGGCACAGGTCACTGACGCACATTGGGGCCTGGGGGGCGAAAATTTAATAATAATAATAATAACAATTCATAATATATATAGTTTATAAAAAAAAAAAAATGATGAAATAATAGTGACAATAATAATAATAAATAATAATAATAATAATAATAATAATAATAATAATAATAATAATAATAATAATAATAATAATAATAATAATAATAATAATAATAATAATAATAATAATAATAGACATACAAAAATGAAAAAAAAAATCAAGAGTGAGAAACAATATATGTATGTTGTGTTGTCAAAGAAAGAGAAAAAATTGAGACCCTGCAATTGTGTGTAATGAGGCAGAAAGTCAGATGAGCAACCTGGGACTTGGTCAAAATTTTTGTCTACCATTAGACAACACAATACAGTATGCTTCCAATATCTTCCCAGGCGGTAGTACCTCCCTGTTTGGTAGCTGCCTACTGCTTACTACTCTCAAAATTGCTTTAGCGTGCTCTTTATCCTTTACACTGAATAGGTATTCAGAGGGATATACTGTATTTGTCGCCTGTGGATTTTCAATAACATTTATTTCCTTTACAGGCATTCATTAGGTCAGAAGTCAAAGTTGAGGTCAGGGAAAGCCATTCCACTCATGGCTCTACTCATCTTTCTGAGCAATGATTGTGACCCTTTTCTGCTTTTATTACTGTTGCTTGAGGTGTCAAAGAGCAGCTTGAGATATTTACTCTTCAAGACAAAAAAACAAGTAGTCATTTTATTGTGGCATTAAAGGTGAATAATTTTTTGCAGAAAATAACCAGTATGTTTTAAACAAAAACATGATGACTACCTTTGTCAACAAACTCTTTACCAAAAAGGACACATCACTTACAATAACCATCTTCAAGATTTTTAGAATAAGCTAGCCAGGAACCTTTCCAACCACAGTAACTTCAACTGTCTCTTGGGATCTACTGGGATCTTACAAGAACTTGTAGGTGTCCATGGGGACTGCAAAAATTTTTCTTTCATAGCATCATCAACTTTAACATCAATAAATCTTCCAATGTCATACTCTTTGCCCTTATCAGAATTCAAACAATGGCTTGTTGAAGAGTGGGCTTTTTCTGAAGTAGATAGATCATAGGTAGAGTCGTGCCCATCATCATGTTCATCAAACTCATGCAGCATAGGCTTAGGCTGTATAGGGTCTTCAGCTTTACTCTGTTCAAGTGACTGTTTGTTCCTTTTCACAACAAAGGCTGACAGAGTATTCTGTACCTTTTCACCAACACATTTACTTTATTTGGACCTCCCATATAACAACAAATAATACAATTTAGTCATTTACCAGTACTTGCAAAAGTGTAACTGTCTAATAAGCATCTCTCTTTTCATCTCGTGCCTAGCCAATTTATCACGTCTTTGCTTTTTATTATATATACAGTACTGTATTTTATTGCTATTAGTATAACTAAGCTATAACTGACTGTTTTGGGGTCATTTTATATTTCTAGGCCAGATGATGAGCGTTGGCATGTGGAAACAGAGAGAAAGGACCAAGTTATTCAGAGTTTCCTGACCATCATCCATGTTGATTTGCGTGACTCTGGTCACTATCGCTGCCGCGTTAGCAAAACAAACAAAGACAAAGTTGCAGAGAAAAATGTCACCATTCATGTACAGGGTAAGTTTTATAACTGGGAGATGAGACAATATATACTAGTTGGCTTTGATTCTTTTTATCTAAACCATAACTTGTGTTATCTATAGCTAGGAGACATATCTTTGTACAGAAGCTGATGAAGCAAAATTTTGACAATTATAAATGCTTGTATCATCCATAATCTTAATTAATTAGTTGTAAACCTATACAGTACTTAAATATTACTTGTAACCCCACAGCTGGACCTGTGTTAATGGAGGCTCGAAATGCTACAGTGAGAGTTGGTCACAAGGCCAAGCTGTCTTGCACTTTTGCTGCCGTCCCTGCACCTGAGGTTCATTGGCTAAAGGACAAGACATTACTTGATAAAGTGAAAGGGTGAGTTTGTATATATGCTGGTTATTGATGAGAGTCTTTTGAAGATAGAACACACACACACACACACACAGTGATCCCTCGGTTAACGAACGCCCCGGTTAACGAAATTTCGGTTAACGAATTACCTTTCATAAGAATCTTCAATTCGGTCAACAACAAAAATTCGGTTAACAAAATTTTTGGGAAATCATGTCAACATGTTTTCGCTTGCCCACCAGATGGAATTTTAGTCCGCCAATACAGTAATCGGTTCTAGGGCTTAAATTCGTTCCCATTTGAGTAAATACCAAGAAGGTTGTACTATTCAATAATTTTCCAAGTTTTATATTAAATTTTTTAGTCATTTTAACACTTATTTAACATAATTGCAGTACAGGAAACTAGTTTTTGGTGCGCCAATCAGCCACTTGACTCACCCAGCAAGGCATCAGTTTGTATCTGGTCAGTGGAGGTAACATCTTGCTTGTGGCTCTCTTGAACATAAACTATTTTTATGTTTTTACAGTACAGTACAATTATTGGTCCTTCTGAAATTTATTTTACATATTGACAATATATAGTGCAGTGCAGTGTTGATTTAAAGAAAATAATCTTGAATTACACCTAGTAAACTTAAAATTTTATGGGTGAAATGACGGCATGAAGCATGGGGTGATTTCTCTTCCACCCCCACTTCCTTCTCTTCTCCCTTCTCCTCCATCCCCACTTCTAATTCCCATCATCATCATCATCAAACAGGAGCCTTCTACATACACACCTCAGAGTAAGTGTACTTTACTGCATTTATTTTTACTTTGTATGTAATTTTCGGTGAGCTGGAACCAATTACCCAATATCCCATTGAAACAATGGTTTCGGTTAACGAAATTTTCGGTTAACAAACGACCTTCTGGAACGAATTGTGTTCATTAACTGAGGGACCACTGTATATTTATTAGTTTTTTTATTTAACTTTTTTTTTCAGATATAGTATGGAAACTCGCCAAGAATCAGATCTTCATCTGTCTGACCTATTGATTGACAATGTCACTCTCAAAGACAATGGAACATATAAGTGTAGAGCCTCAAATGAAGTCGGTACCGGGGACCCACCTGGTTCACCCTACTTACTTGTTCAAGGTATGTGTATTCTGTTCTCAATTAACTTCTATATTGTTTACTTATACAGGTACTCCTCAACTTACGACCTACTCGACTTACGACCACTCGGACATACGACTGCCGCCTTCGTATAAAATATTTTTCAAATTACGTATTTTCGAGTCTCGACGTTAGTGATCGCGCCGTGTACTGACGAAATCTTCGTTTGTAATTCCCTTTAAAATGTCTGGTAAGCGTAAAAGTGAGAGTTCTTGTGGTGCTGAGAAGAAAAAGAGACACCCATTTTAGATTTTCTATGTACAGTCAACCCTCGCTTTACGCGGTCCCACATTCCGCGTTTCCAAGTTTACGCGGTACCCTGCCGAAACCGGAATTCTCACATTCCGCGGTGCGTGTACCCCTTTACGCGGAGAGCGGCTGGCGAGCCGCGCCATTTTTGGATCTAAACCTCCCGCCATCTCTCCCGCCCTCTCCCGCCATCCGCCATGTTGTGTAAGCGGCGCGAGCAGGGTGCGCACAAGGTCACCCAGTCATCAAAACATTACCGAGTTCTTCACCCGCCACCCACCACAGCCGGCCCAAGTCAGTGATAGTGATAATTATAGTGAGGATATGGACTTATATGGACTTTGAGGGGTTTGACAAAGAGGCCCTGCAAGCCTCTGTGGTGGATAGTGATACAATTGATACAAGTGATACAGGTGAGGGCCAATAATCTGCCCTCTGCCTCGGAACCAACCCCCCATCCCGTGTGCCCAGCCATCTTTTCTACTAATGTAAGTGTTAAAAAACCTAATATTATTAATATTTCTCTTAATTATTAATTGTGTGTGCATACCATCATAAAATTAAGAAGTTATTTTTACTACAACGTAGGTATTGTGTCTGAAAAAGTGGAGTTTGGGGGTCGGCCCGGTCTCTATTTCAATTAATCCCACATGTTATGTTGTTGACTTTACGCGTTTCTCACTTTCCGCGGTACCCTGTGGGTTGAATTAACCGCGTAAAGTGAGGGTTCACTGTATTATTTTTGCATTTAACGACCAATTCGCCTTACGACCTGGTCGTCGGTCCCTAACTCCGTCGTAAGTCGAGGACTGACTGTATTGAAACCATACCACTGGAAGTGATATGCTCTACTGTAGATATAACACAAATATTGACTGGTTAGAATTTCTTTGTGAAAGTATTGGTAATATTGTTACACATTTGTTACAAAAGCTCTTCGTATGTTATACAGTATAGTCTTGATTTACGCGGATTTCCTTTACGCGTTTGGTCATTTACGCGTCACCTGGCCAGACCGGCAATTATTAGTTCCGCGGTCCATTCCATCATTTACGCTGGAAGCGGCGCGGTCAGGGTGTGCACAAGGTTGCCCAGTCAACAAAACATTACCGAGTTCTTCACCCGCCACCTACCACAGCCAGCCCAAGTCAGCGATAGTGATAGTGAGGATATGGACTTTGAGGGGTTTGACAAAGAGGCCCTGCAAGCCTCTGTGGTGGATAGTGATACAGGTGATACAAGTGATACAGGTGAGGGCCAATAATCTGCCCTTTGCCTCAGAACCAACCCCCCATCCTCGTGTGCCCAGCCATCTCTTCTACCAACGTAAGTGTTAAATAACCTAATATTATTGATATTTCTCTTAAATATTAATTGTGTGTGCATACCATCATAAAATTAAGATGTTATTTTTACTACAACGTATGTATTGTGTCGGAAAAAGGGTAGTCTGGGGGTCGGCTCAGTCTCTATTTCAATTAATCCCATATGTTCTGTTATTTCGTTTACGCGTTTCTCGTTTTACGCGGATCTCCACGGGTTTAATTGACCACGTAAACCAAGACTATACTTTAATGCAATAATATACAGACAGTTAATTTATAAATTAGTCACATAAATTAAGTTTACTAAGGCAAATGCCTAATATAATTTTTTTTGAGATCCATGTCATACCATGTGATGCATGATCTTAAATTGTTAAACAAGGGATACCTGTACCAAAGTAAGAAGATTGGAGCTTAATATAAACTGTTTTCTGTGGAGAAATGAAGCCCTTGGGCATGGCCTATAAGTAGCCCTTAGGTGGTTCTGTACAGTAAAAGTAAAGGCTGGAATTATGATGTACAGTACAGGAAGAGGTTAAGTTGGGGGATAATAAGAGAGCTGACAGGAGACTTGTTTCAAGTAAGGGTTGCAGACTGGAAGTCTGTAGGTTGATGTGATTTTCATGATATTAATGACTAGAGAACTGAAATGTTCATGGTTTTAAAAGTAGATTTTCTATTTGTTTCATGCAGATTTGCCTGAGGTTAATTTAACGAAGGTGCGTGCTATTGGCACAAGTGCAATTCAGATGGAATGGACTGTAAATGACAACAATTCTCCAATACAGCAAACAAAGATCTATGTAAGTGTTGCTTGATTTCTTCTCATTACCTTCCGATTGAGATATTTTTGAGTGTTGAGAGTTGTATTTATCCCTTGCATAATCCATCAAAACTTCCTCCTTGGAACTGATGTTTAACTTGATTGTCACAATGTTCACTTTTGGAGTTTTACCACTTATGTATTCAAGGAGGTAAATTGTTGGCAGAAGGCACTCATTTCTACATACAGTGTGTTGCTAGCTCTAGGGTGCAGAATGATTAGAATCAAGAGCACACACAGATCCTCCATTATTTGCTGTTATTCAAAACTGTGACTTGTAAAATGTGTATTTTTCTATTCTATGTTGTTCCCCTTCTACAACCAGGCTCCAAGATTTCCTTCCTGGTTTATTATAGTCACTTCTATAACCCAGCTTCAAATGTCTGCAATATTTGGTGAAAATTAATGTAATTTCATAGTACTGTATTGTACTGTATGTCATAGAATAAGCACAAAGAGGTCTACGTATTGTGCAAGTGTCACATATAATTGACTTCATTATCTTTTGTTAGATTGCCATTGGTGATGGTGATTATGATGAGCCTTCACTATTTGGTGAGGATCAGCAGAACATCATCTTGGAAGATGTTGGCTCACCTGGTGATGATGTTCGAGTAAAGATTGAAGTTGCTAATGAAATTGGAGTGAGTGAGAGTGAGTCTGATACAGTCACTCTGTTAAGTGAAGGTAAGTAGTTTTAATGGAGAAGTTTGCATTAACTGCATGGAAATTATTTTTCACCAAGATTCAAATACAGAGTATTTTCACATGTTGTATTAAATTGCAAATTATGTTATTCATGAACGTTTTATGTATTTTTCCTAATGTAGAAATAAGATATGTACCATATATTTCAGTGGATAAGACGACACTTGACACTTGAATCATCAAGAAACGACCCTAAAACCAGGGGTCGTCTTATAGGCCAGACACAAAAACCTCAAAATTCTGTACAAATTACCTTAATGATGTGGGTCAGTGAAGGTAGCTGGGGTCGTCAATCTTGAAACAGCAGTTGTATTGTTTAAAATTTTTATTTCTCACTAAAATCCACATACTGTACCGATATGGTGTTAAACCAATGAAAGCATATTAAAATAAAATAAAAAACATCACAAACATTTAAAATCTATCAAATTCACTCGAATCATCTGAAGCAAAGAGCTTGTCATACACATCCTGAGTCTCATTGTTTATGTTGTCGTCATAGGGGTCCCAGTCCGAATCTGGTGTGTAGGCTTCAGCTTTGTCGTCAGTGTCCCACAACAAATCATCCTCTGTACCATCCAATAAACATTCAAAGTATTTAATACATTAAACATATCACTGTATTGGTGGTCATATTGACCTAAACTTTACCACAGGTGGTTGGGTAGTTTGGGGAGTTGTCTTATACCACAGATACAACCTAAAACCATGAAATTTAGACTGAAATGTGGGCCTCGCCTAATGCACCATAATATACGGTACGTGGGAATATGGATTTACCATAGGCTTTAATTTTGTCTAAAGTGAAGTGGATTTTGAATATATTAATGTACAGTGTATTCTTTATTGCTTAGTAAAGGAGGATTTTGATACACGGTCTTGAAGATATTGTATGGTGAAATACTGCTTAAAAATAATTGACAAGGTTATACTTTTATTGTGAAGTACATGTTTCTCATGCATTCAACCAACATCTCGAGTTTACACATCATTAAATCAGACTTCACTACAGTGTACAGTATTGTGTTGGTTTGAATTAAGGTAGTAACTCTTGGCTTCTTGGCTGGTAGTAAGTTAATTCTTTCCAGATGTAAAATTTTATATCAAGCATCAGTGATTTGGTCTTGGGAGTGGTTTTAGGAAATAGCATTTTTATTGGTAATATTCGACTAGCATGTCATCAGGTTTGCTTCAGATTTAAAATATTCCCAACATGACATCATGAAGTTTACTGTAATTTATTTAGGTAATTTTCTTCCTTGCCCTTGGTGATTGTTTTGGGTAATTATAATTTTTAGGTTACCTTCATAAATAACAAGAGTTTGTGGCATACTGGTTACTGTCAGCTTTGTTTTTAAGTTGCACAAGCTGGTGTGGTTTCTTGTTGTATGATGACATTTGTTTGATGAAATCTCAGTACTTCAACCATTTTGTTTCTAATTAAAATTATTATGGTAATGTATTATTTCTTAGTAATGAAGGATTCATAATTACTTAAAGCTTTTTACTAACTGACATTTATGGCTAGAATACCTGTACAGTACTTCATTTCACTCTTCCTTGTACAGTACTCTCAGTTGAGGAGGGTTTTACATATCAGTGTGAGCTTTATGTATTGTACATGTAATACAGCAGGCATGGGCAACCTTTCCTCAATCATGGGCTGCATTACGTATTTTCTGTGGGCCTACCCACAAAAATTTATATCCTATTTAACCCAAAAGTAATGTTAATATTGTATTAGCATGGACAGTTTACAATCAGCCTTTTTCCCATTTATGAAACAAATCCATCATAATAATGTTTAAAGTAATTTGTCAAAGTTTCTAGGCATTTAACAGAAGAGGAATGAAGCAGTCTGTGAATAAGTTGATTTTATCCTACAGTTTCAGCATTTTTCTTACTCATGAAACACCCACCTGAATAATGTCATTTTTTAATCTTGGCATATGAGGAACTACAATGAAACAACCTATAGGCATCTCTCTCTCTCTCGCTCTCTCTCTCGCTCTCTCTCTCGCTCTCTCTCTCGCTCTCTCTCTCGCTCTCTCTCTCGCTCTCTCTCTCGCTCTCTCTCTCTCTCTCTCTCTCTCTCTCTCTCTCTCTCTCTCTCTCTCTCTCTCTCTCTCTCTCGCTCTCTCTCTCTCTCTCTCTCTCTCTCTCTCTCTCTCTCTCTCTCTCTCTCTCTCTCTCTCTCTCTCTCTCTCTCTCTCTCTCTCTCTCTCTCTCTCTCTCTCTCTCTCTCTCTCTCTCTCTCTCTCTCTCTCTCTCTCTCTCTCTCTCTCTCTCTCTCTCTCTCTCTCTCTCTCTCTCTCTCTCTCTCTCTCTCTCTCTCTCTCTCTCTCTCTCTCTCTCTCTCTCTCTCTCTCTCTCTCTCTCTCTCTCTCTCTCTCTCTCTCTCTCTCTCTCTCTCTCTCTCTCTCTCTCTCTCTCTCTCTCTCTCTCTCTCTCTCTCTCTCTCTCTCTCTCTCTCTCTCTCTCTCTCTCTCTCTCTCTCTCTCTCTCTCTCTCTCTCTCTCTCTCTCTCTCTCTCTCTCTCTCTCTCTCTCTCTCTCTCTCTCTCTCTCTCTCTCTCTCTCTCTCTCTCTCTCTCTCTCTCTCTCTCTCTCTCTCTCTCTCTCTCTCTCTCTCTCTCTCTCTCTCTCTCTCTCTCTCTCTCTCTCTCTCTCTCTCTCTCTCTCTCTCTCTCTCTCTCTCTCTCTCTCTCTCTCTCTCTCTCTCTCTCTCTCTCTCTCTCTCTCTCTCTCTCTCTCTCTCTCTCTCTCTCTCTCTCTCTCTCTCTCTCTCTCTCTCTCTCTCTCTCTCTCTCTCTCTCTCTCTCTCTCTCTCTCTCTCTCTCTCTCTCTCTCTCTCCTCTCTCTCTCTCTCTCTCTCTCTCTCTCTCTCTCTCTCTCTCTCTCTCTCTCTCTCTCTCTCTCTCTCTCTCTCTCTCTCTCTCTCTCTCTCTCTCTCTCTCTCTCTCTCTCTCTCTCTCTCTCTCTCTCTCTCTCTCTCTCTCTCTCTCTCTCTCTCTCTCTCTCTCTCTCTCTCTCTCTCTCTCTCTCTCTCTCTCTCTCTCTCTCTCTCTCTCTCTCTCTCTCTCTCTCTCTCTCTCTCTCTCTCTCTCTCTCTCTCTCTCTCTCTCTCTCTCTCTCTCTCTCTCTCTCTCTCTCTCTCTCTCTCTCTCTCTCTCTCTCTCTCTCTCTCTCTCTCTCTCTCAGTATTATATATTGGCAGTTTGTACCTGTAATTAGTGGTTGTAACGATGGCTGGAATTTTTTAATGAGTACATTATTTCAATGCTTATTACACGCCAATTATGAGTTTCCGAGGTGCGATTTTGGTGTTCTTGTGTTATTCTGGAAGTACTTAATTAGTTAAACCCTGTGTGATCACTGCCCATGACCCTACTTGAACTTACCCAACCTTAGTTAATTCCTAAGTGACCCACAGCCACATAGCAGCTAATCCATCAAACAGACCGCGCCGACCTTGGGTCGTAAACTCACACAAGTAAAAATGTTTATATTGTTGACTATATATACTTATTTCACTGTTATTTTTGTAGTTGCTTACTCTAAGGTGATGAAACAGTAACGAATTGTGTGTGAAGATATTCTTTTAAAAAATATTGCTTTACTCACCATAAAGTGGCTGCATCTACTTGAACCGCGGGCCACATTAAATAGAATTTCTCAATCACTCCATGGACTGCACAAACACATGGTAAGGGCCGCATGCGGCCCACAGACTGCGGGTTGCCCATGCCTGTAATATAGTATGCAGTAAAGTAATTCCTCACCAACCACTGGGGTTGTATTCTAGAAATAGTGTAATGCTGCAGTACCCCTTTATGCTGTATGTCTGGCCTCAACACCTACCCTAGCAACACTGCTCCCCCTAGCAATGCCAATATGCATATGAAATTTTTATATCCTACAAGGCTTTCATAAGTTAATGTTTTTTTTCACACCTTTATTTATGCTAATGCAGATTGAATCTCAAATCTGGCCATTTCTGTGGTCCAGCATGATCTGTGATTGGCTGTCATTTCGTTACCTAGTTCTCTACATTCACAAAATTTATCTTCATCCACCCGTCTGGGCTCTCACTGTTCTTCACTTTTATTTCGCTGTTAATTTACCCTTTGAACCTTTGAGGATGGTGATGGCAACTCATGGTCATTACCCATTGGACGGGGGAATATTGGAGAATGGAAGAAAAAAGAATTACTGTACCTGTACCATAAACTCCTGGTTTACACCATCAAAGTCCAGGGATCGGGGGAACAAATAAATAATTATTCTTATCACGTGGTAGTCTCAGTTTCCCCTAAGATTCACTATACAGTACAGTACAGTACCTACAGTATTTACTTGTCAAATCTCGAGGAAAATTCTTCACTTATATCTCTTATCACTATGTATGGGAGGCTTATCTTTGTCTTGAGAATCAAATACAATGGCTGCAAATTCATCCTGTGTGTGGCGTTGTACATTAGCAGATATACCGTGTCTTGACTCGGCTGTGGTTCATCCATTAGAGGCCTACACTGGCTCTGGGCATTTCCTACAAGCCTCTACAAAGGTGCTATGCAAATACCAAGCATAAGAATTTTAAATTGGGCCTACGGCATATATACTGTACTGTATATTGCAACAGTGGCGGGAGCTGTCCAGAGTGGTATGATATTTGTAACATAACTGTTGCGAGGTGAAGCTGAAGGTATTGCTATGTAAGCTGTGCTGGGCTTATCTAAGGTACATACACTAATATTCTCTGAATGCAGTTTATTAAAAAAACAAAAACATGTACTGTACTGTTTAGTGTTCCACCCCTTGGTGGCCTTTCTGATCATGTACCAATGTTTGAATCACTTATCAATGAATCGATAACGTGACAAACAACTGCTCTCCTAATGTTTTATATTATATTTTCTTTATTTCTTAGCCTCATTAGAGTATCGTATTGATTTTTCGACAATTTTTATAGTTTTATTATATGTAACAATAAATTTGGCAGTTGGGCTGGTGAGTCGGTGATGCAGTTATTGCCAACCACCTCCACACACAGACACGTACATGCTGTTCACTTTTCTATTATTATACAGTAGTTTATAATTTTTTTCTTTATTTCAAAGCCACCTTGTTTATATAGAGTGGATTAAGTGTTGAAGAAATCCTATTTTTTTTTTTTTTTTATAAATTAATTTGTGAGGTCAGCCTTTAGCACTGTGCATTGTAGGATTTATTGGGGGATCCTAAGGGTTGGATTTCAACTAACCGTAAAATTTCTTTATTCAGCATCTCTCAATTCCCATAGGTGCTTGATAACTGGGTTCTACTGTGCTATGCCAATACATGCAGTGTTATAAAAGGAATTCTTTGGGGGGAAAGAATGCTAGGCTTAAGTGAGTTGTAAGGAAATGGGGAGAGAGTGAAGGTGGCAAGATTATCAAATGAAGTGCCTATGACTGAAGTGCTCAGGAACATATTAGAAAAAGGATGGAAGAATGGATTTTGTGTGTGTGAATGCTTGCATGCATGCATGTGTGTGTATGGAAGAGTACTGAGACCAGAGTTATGTGAGCAGTTTTGTGTATATTGCTGATAAATTTTGTTTTAGGGAAAAGTACAGGGTTATAGGTGGGTTGCAATTACTTCTCATCATAAAGGGGCTTAGATGGCGACATGGAATAGTTATGAGGAAATCAAATAAGTTTGAAATTTATAATTATGGGGGTTTTAGAGTACTGTATGCAATCACTATAAATTCATATGAAAAAACTGTTCTAAGGACTATCTTATTTGTAGTTCATGGAAACTGGGAGGTGATTTCCGTAATTAGTTTTAGATTAATCTCATCATATTATATATTTTATATACAGTATATTGAATTGTGCATAAAATGAACTTTGGATTCACTGTGCGGCTTTTTGGATAGATACCGCATCTTATGATGAAGGTAAGATGCATCGTGGTTTGTAGCTATGAAGAGAGATGATTACATATATGTTGTTGATGTTGCCTGGTGCATATGTAAGAACATAACTTTTACACCACTCCCACACACAGTGGTCATGGATCTTGCACTTCTTTAGGTTTTCATGAAACAAAACACTTTCACACTTGCATGCTAATATCACACACACTTTAGGATAACAGATTGAAAACATGATTTTTTTCTCAGCGAGATAGTGTCACGTCTATGAAGAATTTTCGCCAAACACTTATGTAATGCACACATCTTCATATTTTAATGCCAGAGAGCCAATAGTACTACAAAAGATATCCTCAATAATTTTGCATGTGGCTTTAATTCTTGGTAAATTGAGCCAGTTAGCTGTTTTTTTTATATAGTAAGAGAAATGAAATTTTGTAATAAAGATGGTCTGAGATTAAGGCACTGATTTTTATATAATTAATTTTATTTAATATTTTACCATAAAAGCAGTTTAGCATTAGTGGCCAAAAATGCAGTGGTTTGGAAACCTTTTTTTTTTACATCATAAATGACGTCAGTCAATGTATTATATAAACTTGGAAAATTTTTACAACATATTTGTCAACTTTGGTTAAATACTTGAAAGGTGTAAATGAGTATTTTTCATACAATTTTCTTCTCTTGCCTGATGTCCTGAGGGTTGGGAATTAATTTAATTATGTAGAAAAGGAGCCAAAGGTTAAATCAGAAAGAAGACCCATCACTGTAGACAACCATTATTAATAAAGCATTGCTTGTAGGTCAGGTGTTGGCTAGGTGATGCAACAGTTGAGTTTTAGTTAGCTACGGGATCATTACTGTATTATTATTATTATTATTATTATTATTATTATTATTATTATTATTATTATTATTATTATTATTATTATTATTATTATTATTATTATTATTATTATTATTATTATTATATAAAAGCCACTCCTGAGAAGTGCAATCTTAATTGACCACAAAAGTTGTTCATCCAGCTCAGGAAAAAAATAGAATAGGAAGTTAACATTGCTGACACAGGGTAATTTTAAAAGAATGGGAAGCTGTTTATGCAAAGAGTTGAACAAACCTACTGTTGAGGGCACATCTGGAGAATTAGATTGTGAGATGTCTGATTGATTAGGGAGTCATATTCACAGTTAAGAGCAAAACTAATATTAGAATAATGTATATTAAATTCTCTTTAAAAAGTGTTAATGTTGGACAGACTGATTTTAATGAAGCCTGGTAGGTGAGTCAGATGATGGACAAAGAAAAATTGATGTTATTTATGGGGAAAAATGTTGAGCATAAGATTGTGTAAAAAGTGGAGGAATCTTTTGTAATGTACTCTACTGTATCACTTAGGAATGGAAATATGTATTTATGTGATTAGTACTGTACAATATAGGAATGGAGGTATTTTTTATGAAATATCCCTTGTAGTGCAAGGTGGCAGGAATCAAGAGCAAATAGTCATATTGTACACATTTTCCCTTCATTTATTGTCTTTTAAGTTGCTCATGATTTTTTGTAGAAATGTGAGTTAATGACTTTTGGCTGGGAAGACCTGCATGATTAGATATTTATAGTTCTAGTGTTTTTATTTATATTATGGTCTTAGGTATTCATATTTATAGGGGCATGCCTCACAATTTTGCCCTATTTACTTTGTTTTTCTTTCTGCAGTTCATATTCAGATGATATAAAAATGTTTCAACGGACTTTCTAAATATTTTGACCACTTGTGGAACAGCATTGTATGGTGTGCTGTATTGGTTTGGGGTAATTATTTGCAGTTTTATGGGGGTCTTTTTTGTGACCAGAGTACTGTGCTGTTTTTAAGTCAGTGGTGATTTTACCTTCATCATACTGCTTAGAAGAGTATTACTGTATACAGTATGTGTGTGACTTAGGAAGTATTGATGCTTCTGGCTTTGTTTCGTAACAACATCTCTATACTGTACCTCAGATTCAGTACTCATGAGCTGTTCTAGCTTATGATGGGTTTGTTGATGCCCTGTGGTGTCAGTTTGGGGAACTATTTTGTTTGTTGATGACATCATTGTTTCGGTGTTTAATTGATATATTGACAATATTTCAGCTGATTTGTTTCAAATTTGAATTATACAAACCTTTGCATCTAGTGATATGTATCTTTTTTATGTGACAGAAAATGAGAATTATGTGTGGGGGTAGTGTTTGTTTGTTGCAGATGATGTGTCCTTCATACATAAGACATAAGAGATCAATCAGCTTTTGAAAAATTTGAACCACTTGGTATACTACCTGGTGATAGCTGAGACTGCAGTGTGGCTGTTTTGTAGATTACATTATGGGGAAAACACACCATAAAAAGTTCCTTTTATCCTTTTTGTTATTGTATAGCTACAGTAATCCCCCGGGTTATGGAACGTATGTGCCCTTGAATAAATGATTGTAATGTGAAGTGCTGGGTGAGTTGATTCACACGAGAGCAAGACAGGTGTAAGGGCAGTTCAGGGGGTCAGATGCGTATAAGTAGGGTCTCGTACTGTGGATATACGTACTCTGAGACCATACTGTTCTTACTATCATATATAAAATAATCATTATGTAAAAAAAAGCTGCCTGTGTACAAAATAAATGGCCTCTGCACGTTTGAGGTCAATTTGCAATTAGACAGCATGTGCAGTGAGCTACAGCTCGTAATATACAGTAGATTGCACACCAAACTTAACCCAAGAACAGTAGGTTAGAATTGGTCAAGTACACATAAAATATATACGAACCAGTTTGAATAAAAATTATTGATAATTGTACCTGGGTCAGCAGCAACCACCTGGGTAGTTATCCAATGTTTTCATGTAGTTTTAAGGTCTTTGGAAAAGGCATTTGTGCAAATATAATCCAAACTATATACTGTACTGATATACAGTATTGTACAGTATGTGCAAATGATTTCTGTTTTGAATTTACAAACAATATTTATGTATTTTTGTTTTCAGAACCAAGATTCATCCCACAAGCATCTCCAAAAGGCAGTGGTGTTGATTTCTTTACTGTAGGATGGAGTCAGCCAAATGAAGATGCCAGAGAATTTGTTGGTCGTTACCATCTGTCTCTAACAGACCCAACCACCGGAGATGTTCAGGAGCTGTTTATTCCTTCCCCCACTGTAGATCATATGTTCACTGCTCTCAAACCTGCCACTGAGTACAATTTTAAGGTGTGTATTGATATTGAGTGCTGTGAGTCAGTGTGAACCTCGGGATTTACTTTGTTTACTGTACTCTATGTGTAAGTTAGATACAGTATATGTCTTAAATATACTGTGTACGTGTGTGTTGCATATTTGTACAGTTACAGTAATATCTCAAACCCAGAACTCTCCGATAGCCGGAATTGAAATTTTCTCGGAAAATCGCTCTGAGGGGCACATTTTCCGGAAAATTCCAAGAAAAATTTCCCAATACCCGGAAAATTCCGGGGATGGGGGATTTTTTCCGGGTTTGAAGGAGTAGTCTCAGTACCCGGAAATCTCTCATTCCTATGATCTACCGCACAGCACAGAATATTTAATTCTTGTTTTTTCTCTATTCCTGCCACCTGTAGGGTAACCATAAATAATAGTAAATACACACACATTTTCTCTTAATTCATTAATTAATTATTTTTTATTCATACATTTTTACAGTTGTGCAAGATGTGTTTTACAAGACTCCAATGTGGTTTTCCCCATCACTTTACACAAGCTTGTATAGAATTGAATATACTGTATCATTAATTGAGGTCTTAAGTTCTTTGTAATAATGGGACTGTAATTATATTCATAATGTTTTACACTGTAGGTTGCAGCATGTCTGGATGTGTTCCGTGACAAAGAGCGAGATTGTGGAGACTATTCTCCTCCAGTAGTTGGGAAGACCATGAATGGGGTTCCTGGTGAAATTTCTGATTTACTGGTTGAGTGCAAACAGAACCCACACACAGCTGCCCACACTGTCCATATTCATTGGAAACCACCTCTCATCCCTAATGATGTAGTTGACCATTACAAAATAGAGCTGAAAGAAACTGCATCTTTTATCAATGAGGAAGGACAGAAACAGGTGTACACCAATCAACATAATGAGAATGTGGCTGGTTCACTCAGAAACTATACCTTTTATACTGCTCTGCCCAACACAAATTATATAGTTAAGGTTAGTATTTCTTGTTTATTTTTGTATACTGTATATGTATGTATAATTTTCCCATAATGTAAGGCGCTCTCAGATACTTTTACATGATATGAAGAGAAGCTTAAGAATGGTATGCTCAAAGTGCACACTTCTCCAAACATTGTGTGTGAATGTTCATGTACAATTTGCTAATGGCAAGTGAGATGAAAAGAAGAATACTGTACAAGAAATTAATTAAAAAAATGCAGTACCTTAGGAATTTTAAATTTACAGGATACAAAATGACAATAGGAGAGATTTGGGAGAGTTGAAGAAATTCTTTAAAGGTACTATAATGATTAAAGTACTGTACATCAAGGATGAATGGATCTGTTGAATATACAGCACAGTACTGTATATTTGATCACTAGTAGATTAGTGGAAAAGGTTTGCTCTATATTAAAATATTTAATAGTAGGAGGAGGAAAGGAGGTAGACAATAGGTTGAGATAGCAATTGAAGGCACATTAAGGTTAAGGAATGTGTTGCTGTTGTGCATCAGAAGAATGATGGGACATCATGCTCAGTAAAAACAAATTTTGTATGAATTTGTTGCTCTCTTCACTCTTCTTGTATCATTCAACCATTTAAATGTCCCCTTTTCTAATTATCTGGGTTAAGAGTTAGGTCACAATTTCAGAAAAGTTCACTATTCGTGAGTTTATACTTCTTTCATGTTTAACAAATTCAGAGGGTTGAAGAGATACTGTATGATTACATAGAAATGTTAGAATTCCTTGTATTTTTATTAATTTTTCCTGCATAGCTTACTCTAGCTGGACTGTGAGACTCTTGCATGACTTTTTTGGGGGGGGGCAAACCTTATACCTCCAAATATACAGCTCCTCCCCGACTTACGACCTGCCTCACACCCGCACTTACGACCTACCTCAGTCGTACCCAAATTTGGTCAAATTACGTATTTTCGAGTCCCAAAGTCAGTACAGACAAAATTTTCGTTTGTAATTCACTTTAAAATGGTTGGCAAGCTTAAAAGTGAGTGTTTTGTGGTGCTGAGAAGAAAAAGAGACACCCATTTTAGATTTTCTATGTATTATTTAAGCATTTCCGACTTACGACCTGGATGTCGGTCCCCAACCCTGTTGTAAGTCGGGGAGGAGCTGTACTTAATTATGTGGAAGACTCCCTGTAACAATAGTAAATGCATTCAAGCCACTAATGTGCTACCTTGTGTGATTTCACTTTTGAAATAATACTTCACTTGCAAACCCTCTCCTGCTTTGTTGTTGGCTGGTACAGACTTTCCCTCACTCGTTCACTCCAGCTTTGACTGGAACAGTATGAAGACCAAATATTTTGAATTATCAATAGTACAGCACAGTAGTCAGCAAAAGATATGGACTACACAAAACTAGATTATTTTATGCTCAGGTTATTCTTGAAGGTTGAAATTTGAATTCAATTTACTTCCTCAAAATAATTATGTTAATTGATCTTTATAAAATCTTAATTTATAGTAATAGATCAACTCGCTAGATATTTGTTCTCCCAAATTTGTATGCTGTGGGAGGATTTACATCTTTAGATAAAAATAACTATGTATAGTAGATAAAAACTAAAAAATTTGCCTTTACCTTTCCATAGGTTTACGCTGGCCTAAAACGTCAGTACAGCTCTGCCATGACTGCTGTGTGTCGCACACCTGTTTCAGTTCCTGTATCTGAGCCTGTCTCTTGGTGGAAATATTACAGTGAAGACCAAATTGTGCTGAAACTTCCGGTACCCCGAGTATCTGAACGTAATGGAACCATTTGCTGCCACAGGTTTGTTAACATTGTAAAAGTGTTGACATATTAGATGATAATATCTGGAAAAGAAAAGAGCATGAAAAGAGTTGAAGAACTGGAAAAACTGGATGAATCTTGTCTACGAAAATGTACTGTACAGTATATCAGTTATGTAACTTTCCTGTATAAAGGGGTGTACAATACTGTGTCTGATGCATTGCAAAATACTCATTGCACATTCCCTAATTCATATTCCTATATGAAACTCACGTTCCTCTCTCTTTTTCACCAAACAACATTTATTATTTTAATTTCTGTGCTCATCACCTATTAGCCTATTACAATTACTGTACCATATTTCACACAAACTAACTCACTCCTCACTGATATGTTAACATCCAGCTTTCAGGAGGTTTGTAACCATCCATACAGGCATATGGTAATGACCTGTATACATTATTATCTTGACAAGACTGTCCACGGAACTTGTTTTTAGGACAAAGAAAAAGTGATAATGAAGATAAATTTAGTTGGTTCAAAGTGACCATTGTTGAAACCAAGACATTTAGTGGTTTATGGTTGTCCAATACTTCTTTGTTAGCATTTTGTAGTTGTGTAGGAATTTGAGAAAAAAATGAAATTAGCCCAGGATAATATTGGGAGGTACTATCAGAGGAATCAAGGACCCAGTCTTTTAATTGCTGTAATTCATGCAAAACATTCCTCATTTAACTCCTCCTTGCAATACATGCAAGTAATAATGTATAAGATCTCATTAATGTTGTAGGTCATTCAGGTTGGTAGTTAACTGATGCCTCATATTTCACATTTTCAGTGTTCTCTCATTATTTACTATCATTATTTACTTGGTGGCCAGTGATATCTTTGTCCAATACATTGTCATCAAACTTTCCAGTCTAGTTTTTTTATTGCCTTCAAGTATCCTCAAGGAAGGTGTTGAAGAGTAATATTGACTTAAAGCATTAGGAAATTTTAAATTGTTTGGATAAAATAATGTATGTTGGACTTTTAAGTCCACATATAACAGGGAAGAGCCTTATATGTAGACTACATTGTGAATAAATGTAGGTCAGACAGTTTGTGATTTGTTCTTTGCTGCATATGAATAATGCCCATGCACATCATTTGCCTTTTATATAATGCAGTACTGTATTTCTAAAATTGATAAATTACTCATAGGATTGTCGTGGTGAGGATGGCTGAAGGTTTATTACTGCAAGATCTCCCAGAGCCCAGTAAACTTACCCTGAGCACATATGAGGAGGTCCATCGCTCTCCTCTTACGGGGGCCTATGTGGCTGAGGCATTCTCAGGGTAGGTTCTTCACCGTCACTCCATCACCTATACATCCACATGTCTTTTTCCGGATGGAGGGAAGGTCCCATTAGACCAAGATTACTTCCTTCTTTTTCCCTAAATAAATTTATCTAGGCCAAGGATGTACATACTAGGATTATGGGATGTACTAGAATTATAGGATGATGAACTAAGATTATAGGGATGGACCATTATAGATGTAGTAAATTAAGGTATTGTAACAGTAACATTATTTTATTGATTTATCAATACTGTATAGCTAATTTGTATATGGTAAATTATGTGGGCACTAAAAGTAGGAAAACTACAGGAATGCTTCTTGCTGGTTTCATTACAGGAGACTGATTTGCATATACTGTACTCTTAATGAGACATAAATCCACTCATGAGCAATGATCTGTTCCTTTTCAGGTGGAACATAAGGGATAAGTACCTGCTTTTGGGAGATGGTAAAGTAGTGGGTAACTGGTCTGGAGGATGTTCTTCATGCTTGGGTGAGATAAACCCAGTAGGTGAATCAGCTGCATTCCGCAGCAACGAACAGGGACGTGATGTTGGTCCCATCACTCGGGGCAACAGGCGTTCTTTACTATCTCTTCAGTTTGCTCCTCCTGTGGTAGATGGTATCCTCTCAAGGGACTCCAATTACACAGGTTTCATTGTCATGTCAGGTAAGACATTTATTGTATTATCCACTTGGACTACAGAACCATAAAGATATATTCTTATACATGCACATTCATGCAAACTTGCATGCACAGTGTGTAATGGATTATTAGGTTTTAAACTTAAAGAGGTTATAGCTAAGGTCGTAGGAAGAGGTGAGGAAACTAGATTCACTCCAACAGGATTTTCAAGTGGCTAAGAAGAAAATAATGAATGAAAGAGATGTAGTAAAATATAGATCTAGAAGAGTGTGTCCTAGGTCCCAGCCACAGTGGTTAGGTTATTTTTAGGCTGATTTGATCTGCAACCATGGAATGCTGGTATGCAATTTATTGTTGTAGGGAGTTTGTCAGTTGAAAGATCTCTCACAATACTGTTAAAACAAATTGTATCACATACAGTACAAGCAGCAGAGAGGAATCTCTTGACATCATATAGTGAGTACTTCCCTGCCATACAACCAATAGAAGATGTGAAGGAGACTGGGCCTCCTACTCGTATATCTGAAATGCAGATCATTTATGTTGCTGTGGGACTCTTCATATTCCTCCTGCTGCTCAGCATCACTCTTTGCACCCTCCTGTGTTTCTATCGTAGGAGGAACAAGCATCTTGAAGAGGAGGAAGTTGCAGAGAGTCTGTCTGGTTCTCTTGGGTAAGGACTTGTTTGCAATGCTTACTGTATTATTTTTCATCGTTTGACTCCTTGGAAATATAAAGGAAAATATTTTTAAATTAAATTCCATCCACAACTCTTATTATTAATGAGTCAGATGCTCATGTATTTTGAGAGAGAAGAGAGAGAGAGAGAGAGAGAGAGAGAGAGAGAGAGAGAGAGAGAGAGAGAGAGAGAGAGAGAGAGAGAGAGAGAGAGAGAGAGAGAGAGAGAGAGAGAGAGAGAGAGAGAGAGAGAGAGAGAGAGAGAGAGAGAGAGAGAGAGAGAGAGAGAGAGAGAGAGAGAGAGAGAGAGAGAGAGAGAGAGAGAGAGAGAGAGAGAGAGAGAGAGAGAGAGAGAGAGAGAGAGAGAGAGAGAGAGAGAGAGAGAGAGAGAGAGAGAGAGAGAGAGAGAGAGAGAGAGAGAGAGAGAGAGAGAGAGAGAGAGAGAGAGAGAGAGAGAGAGAGAGAGAGAGAGAGAGAGAGAGAGAGAGAGAGAGAGAGAGAGAGAGAGAGAGAGAGAGAGAGAGAGAGAGAGAGAGAGAGAGAGAGAGAGAGAGAGAGAGAGAGAGAGAGAGAGAGAGAGAGAGAGAGAGAGAGAGAGAGAGAGAGAGAGAGAGAGAGAGAGAGAGAGAGAGAGAGAGAGAGAGAGAGAGAGAGAGAGAGAGAGAGAGAGAGAGAGAGAGAGAGAGAGAGAGAGAGAGAGAGAGAGAGAGAGAGAGAGAGAGAGAGAGAGAGAGAGAGAGAGAGAGAGAGAGAGAGAGAGAGAGAGAGAGAGAGAGAGAGAGAGAGAGAGAGAGAGAGAGAGAGAGAGAGAGAGAGAGAGAGAGAGAGAGAGAGAGAGAGAGAGAGAGAGAGAGAGAGAGAGAGAGAGAGAGAGAGAGAGAGAGAGAGAGAGAGAGAGAGAGAGAGAGAGAGAGAGAGAGAGAGAGAGAGAGAGAGAGAGAGAGAGAGAGAGAGAGAGAGAGAGAGAGAGAGAGAGAGAGAGAGAGAGAGAGAGAGAGAGAGAGAGAGAGAGAGAGAGAGAGAGAGAGAGAGAGAGAGAGAGAGAGAGAGAGAGAGAGAGAGAGAGAGAGAGAGAGAGAGAGAGAGAGAGAGAGAGAGAGAGAGAGAGAGAGAGAGAGAGAGAGAGAGAGAGAGAGAGAGAGAGAGAGAGAGAGAGAGAGAGAGAGAGAGAGAGACTCTGTCAAGGATCATTTGCCAAGAGCATTCTTGTCCTTAGATTTATGTTATTGTGCCTTGGACACCCCCAGTCTTCCTAGCTGTATATGGGTACTTAACTTTATAGTTAGGGAAATTAAAGTGGTTGAGTGCAGTGCTGGCTACACTGCCTCCTTGTATACAAAATGCTGAGTCTTAAGTGTTCTGTATCTACACAATCCCTTGCATGTTGTTGGGCTTATGGGACCCGCATAATAGGTGCAGCTAAACTTCAAAAGCTATTTCTCTGACATAAACTCTCTTCAGGAGGATCTTCCGTTCCTTACGACGGTCCCACACACTTATGTCTCAGCCAGCAGTCGATGTGAAGCCAGTTCCTAGAGATGAGCTTGTCCCACAGTATATTGACAAGCTTAAAGATTCAGAACTAGGATTCCGAAGGGAATATGAGGTAAGTTGCTTGCTTATTTTTTCTTTTAGGAAGTAAATAGAATATTACATATTTCATGATAAGCAGAGTAAACAAAAATCTGTTTGGCTTTGTGTCATCTTGGGATAAATTTAGTGCAATACTGAATATTGCATGTCATCCATATTATGATCCTAAGTGAAAGGGGTGAAATTTATAATAAACCTAATAAAAAAAGTGTTGGTTTCCTTTGGTTGAAATTTTTATGTATTGTATGTGAATTAAATTTTTTTCCTACTTTTCAAATACAGTACAGGAATTTTAAAATGAACATGTTATACAAGTGTAAAGAGGCTTTTAGCTTAAACTGAATAATTCTTGGGAAGGATGCATACTCTGAAATGCACTAAGCTGTATCTCATCTTATTTGATTCACTGAAATTTTGCACTTGAATTTTGACACCACACAGGATTGATCACAATTTACTTCACCTGAGTTCTTAGACATTTGATAGTGCATGATGCAGACAGTTGAGTTTTTACTGTCACTACTGTGATGGCTAATAACTAAATAAAATGTTTGCAGTTAATTGGAATGTACTGTAGATACCGGATATACTCGTGTATAGTTCGAGTTTTTAAGACCAAATTTTTAGGCAAAAAATTGGGGGTCGTCCTATACATGCGTAATAGTTTTGTTAGGTTGAACCCGTGCATGATGGGAAGGGTGAGGAGCAACTTTTAGCTTCAGACATGAAAAATATTTACCATTTACTGCCAGTAAACAATGGAAACGTAAAATATGTACCAATTAGTAATGAAAAGTTGTGCAGTTCCTTCAGCAAATGAAGCTCACCAACTTAAAATAGGCTAAATTACCTTACAACGTGCTTTCAGTAGTCTATGTTGAAGTTCTTAGCACAGGCTAACTTATCATATCATATACGGTATCACAGTTCTCATTGATCTACAAAAAATACCGGTAATAAAAACCTTTTCAATATTTCACACTTAATTTAATACCCGGTAATCTACTTCAACCTCCTATTGTTTACACCGACGCATGACGTATCACGCACCACCAGCTGTATCAGCTAGACGGTACACGTGTTTTTCGAATCGTTTTCAGTTAAAAAACTGTTACATCACATGTATATTTTACCTTAACTGTGCCTGAATGAATATGTTCTCGGAAATAAATAGTAGTTTTGCTGAAACGTGATATATTTTAATGTAAAATAGGATAAAATACATGACGAAAACAAAAGACTTTACCTAACCTTCCGATGTTCAAGAGAAGTTACTCGTTTTTTTAACAGTTTTTGGTTAAAATATTGTTATATTACAATGGTATTCTATTCATACTGTGCTTGATATAATGCATTCACGGAAATGTAATATTTTTGCTGAAATGACGTACGTATTACAGTGGAAAGTGGGATAAAATTGTGACGAAAACAATGACTTTCGCTTTCTTTCGTTCAAAACATGTTACCGTAATCGCTTTTCGAATGGTTTTCAGTTAAAAACTGTTGTATTACGATAATATTCTATCCTAATTGACTTGAATAAATACTACGATACCATATTTCTGAATTTTTTCATTAAAATCCATCAAAATCATTTTCCTTGTCATCGTCTGCAGCATCAAACAGCTTCTCTCAGTCCTCTCCTTGAACAGGGCTAGAGGGTACGTGTTTTTCGAATCGTTTTCAGTTAAAAAAACTATTACATCACACGTATATTTTACCTAAACTGCGCCTGAATGAATGTATTCTCGGAAATAAATAGTAGTTTTGCTGAAATGTGATGTATTTCAATGTAAAATAGGATAAAATACATGACGAAAACAAAAGACTTTACCTAAGCTTCTGTTCTTCAGATGTTACTCATTTTTTTAATAGTTTTCGGTTAAAATTCTATTATATTATAATGATATTCTATTCATACTGTGCTTGATATAATACATTCACGGAAATGTAATATTTTTGCTGAAATTACGTACGTATTAAAGTGGAAAGTGGGATAAAATCGTGACGAAAACAATGACTTTCGCTTTCTTTCGTTCAAAAGATGTTACCGTAATCGCTTTTCGAATGGGTTAGTTAAAAAACTGTTGTATTACAATAATATTCCCTCCTAATTGACTTGAATAAATACTTGAATGGAAATATACAATATTTTTGTTGAAACTACCCGCGTTTCAGTGTAAAGTGTCGTAATAATAAATGGTAAACAATTTGCCTTCGGCACTCGTGTTTCATGCACGGCGAGCCTCAGTTTATAGGACGCAGAGCATTTTTAGTGAAGGTTTTGTTGTTCCATTACCCTCAAAAACGTGGGTCGAACTATAAACGAGGAATATCGTAAATTAACGATTTCTTGGTCAAAAAATCAGGGTCGACCTATAAACGAGGGCGGGTTATAGACGAGTATATACGGTAATTGAGAGAGTCTACTGAACAGCTTTTCTAGTTTCTATGACCCTATTTAATCAAACAATTTGGAACTATGGTATTTCTTGTTTAGTATTATCACTTAGGAGTATGGATGACACATAAATATACAGTATAGTAAAACCTTGATACACTGGAGTAATTGGGGCAGATCCCAGTCAGGAAAATGCGAATGTCTGAAATAGCGAATCTAAGGGGGGGGTGGGGGTGAGGATATTACACTGCTTATCTAAACTGTTTAAAGAAAATCAGTTGTTGTTATAATGTTATTACTTTGCTTCAACTACTAAGGTCTTTCAGTGCATATCAAATACAATACAGGTTGTACCTCTCTAGTCCGGCAACCTCGGGACCTGACCGGTGCCGGACCATGGAAATTGCCGGACCATGGAAATTCACCCTTTTCCTGGTTAGATAGTGACTTGTGCTTATGCTTGGAAGCACTAGCACCACTTTCTCTGCGTCATGGTCTCTTTGAAGACATATTGAAGGGTTAAATGTCGTATAATAGCTTCTCAAATTTCGCGAGTTTTTAATTCTTAATGTATTTTATTGGAACACACAAAAAAATAAATAAATAAAAATTTTGACGGCGGAAACTTGAATTTCGACGGGTTTGAACGGCCCGCCAACGTGCAGATGACGTGCATAATCGTGTAAACAGGGTCATTTCTCTTATGTACAAAAGATTCATTATTGTTTATTACTGAATGTCTTTTTTATTGAATTAATGTTTATATGTGTAAAATGAGCAATACAATTCATTAATAATACGTAGAATATTAAAACACATGAGGAAATGACACAGCATTGTTTTCGTTGATTACAAAACCAGTGACTGACTGGTTCTACATATAAAACTGAAGAAAATAAGACCTTGGTTGTAGCTGTAGTAAAATTAATATGGTTGTTTTAAGTAATGTTATTTAATGTTAATAAATGGAACAATAGAAGTAGCTAACGATAATGGTAAAGAAAAAGAGAGATCGCATATGTAAGTGCGCATGCGCACACGTGAAAACATATCGTCATTACTTTACATAAGAATATGAAAGCAACACTTATTTACTGTTCATATATATTTTAATTAATGTTTCTGAATTTGTTTTTATTGAATTAATGTACGTGTGTGCAAAATTAACAATACAATTTATTAATAATACGTGGAATATTAGAGGAGACGAGACGGCTGCCGGCATTGTTTATGTTAAAGCTTACGAAACCAGTGACTGATTGGTTCTACATATAAAACTGAAGAAAATAAGACCCTGAGTTTAGCTGTAGTAAAATTAATGTAAAAAATGAATATGGTTGCTTGAAGTACCTGTAATGTTATTTAATGTTAATAAATGGAACAATATAAGTAGCTAACCATTAATGGTAAAAAAAAAAGTGAGACTGCTCGTATGTAAGTGCGCACATGTGAAAATATATCGTCATTACTCTACATAAGAATATGAAAGCAACACTTATTTACTGCTCATATATATTGAAGGGTTAAATGTTGTACTCTGTATAGACAAGCAGAGAGAGAGAGCAGCCGAATTGCCGGATGTAAACAAACCTTAATTTCCCGCGGCTTTTTTTTTTTTAAGGGGATTAGCCCACCCAAGCATAGGTCACTGACCCACATTGGGGCCTGAGGGGCAAAAATTTAATACTCCTGTAATAATAATAATAATTCAGATAAAAAAAAAAGAAAAAGAAAAAAAAAGCTGCCTATCTACCTATTGGACAAACTAGAATCGTTCCGGACCACGGGAGTTTCCGGACCACAGAATGCCGGACTAGAGAGGTACAACCTGTACAGTCTGCTATAGTAACCCTGTTGTAAGCTGATTTGCTGACAGCTGTCACAGGAATGCAACCTGAGTGAATTACCTTCCGATACAGCTTATCCTTTTACAGTATTTTCAAGTCAAATTACAAATTATATCTTGTATTTTTTTATTCTATTGTTTTTATTGTTAGCTGATTAAGATTAAAAGTTCTAGTTCTGTACATACAGTATGCTTTTGACTTCATGTTTGAGCTCTTATTGTTTATGCATATACTGTACTGTACTGTATATCATGTTTATTAGTTTCAGAATGGTTAATATATTCTTGAATTGATACAATTCTAGGCCCTCCCTGAGAAGTTTTATGATCGCACAAGTCGCGCCTCAGACCTCATAGAAAATGCTCCCAAGAATCGTTATCCAGATATCAAAGCTTATGACCAAACGAGAGTAAAGCTAACTCAGCTCAATGGTGCCATTGAGACTGATTATATCAATGCCAACTATGTTTTGGGCTACAAGGAACGTAAAAAGTTCGTCTGTGCTCAGGGTAAGTTGTCTGCATATAAGAATTTGCTCATGTATATATACAGTATATTGTGAATACAGTAGTTTAATTTACCAAAATGATTTGCTTAAATTTCTTAATTACTTTTGCAATGTTATATTTGTTATGGAGTGAGGTATTATACAAATGTTTTGCATATGTAGTAAGATGTTCTGGCGTGAAGTTCTTTATTACCATACAGTCTAATAACTCCATGATACTGGAAGTTTATCATCTTAAGGAAGGGATTAAAGAGTACTGATATTTTTAATTATATATTTTTTTCTCAATTCTTTTCCTGCTATGATTCAAGGCAACGAATCAAGACCAAACATGCATACACAGACTCTTCTTTCATTTTCTGATCCAGACATTCATTTATTCTTACTGTTTAAGAGTTGTGTTCTGCTAAGAAGGTATTCACTTTCCACACTAAGGTCCCAAATATCCGAATGATTTACCTCCGTCACTTTACACAACCATCGGTATAATCGTTGTGAAAATAAGAGTGGCCAAATATTTACAGATATAGGTTTATATATATATTTCTAACATTCTTCCCTTAGGACCAATGGACACAACAGTTGATGACTTCTGGCGAATGATAATTGAGCAAGGGTGTGGCGTGTGTGTTATGCTTACTAATCTAGAGGAAACGGGCAAAATTAAATGCGTGAAATACTGGCCGGAAGCAGGGCAACCCAAGACATTTGGCAACATCACTGTCTATCTCGTCAAAGAAAAGGCATATTCAGGTATGTGGAAAGATTCATTGTAGTACAGTACTGCATAATGAATATAGCTAGATCATTATTGTTGGGTTTTACTTGTACTAGAGTTATTCTTGTGAGTAGTGAAGTGTATTTTAATGAGATTTGTTTTTTAAATATGCTTTTTTTATTCTTTATGTGTGTGCTTTAGCTTCATCAATTTAGGTAATTACAAGTTAGTTACACTGTACAGTACTGTTATATTACCCTGGAAAAGCAACACAGTTTATAGGTAAGAAATTAATTTAGTCGTCTAGCTCCTTGGGGTAAGAAAACTATAATAAATAATAAATATAAATATCTTAAAGCCAAGATTTTACTGCTAAATTCCTGCTTGATGAATATTTTTTACTTTTCCTTCAAATTACATGAATGTCAGTAAACAGCAGAACTCACTAGTTTGCAATTTAGAAAGTAGGATTTGTATCATATACTGTATGTACTGTACATAACCTAATTATTATGTTTTAAAATTTTGATGCCTACAGATTTTATGGTTCGCACATTAAGGGCAGAATGGGGTGAAGGTGAGGAGCAACACACCCATGAAGTTCGCCAGTATCACTACTTGCTGTGGAAAGATTTTGTTGCTCCTGAACACCCCACTGGTGTGCTCTCTTTCCTCCGTCGCATCAATGAGGCGTACTCACATGACCAAGGACCACTTCTCATACACTGCAGGTTTGTGTGTGGATAAATGGCTTGGTTCAGTATAACAGTAGTACAGTATTTATTAAAATTGGGAATGAAAAGTGTCTGTAGATATGCATAATTATTATGTATGTAAATTTTGAAGGCTAGAGTTAAGGCGTGCTGCACCTCTCTACCTACTGTATACTCATTTATGTGAACTTTGTATGTGGAGTATGTATTATCTTTAATAGGGATACAATACTTGAAGGTTTTAAGAAATGCGTTAAAATAATGTAGACTACTGTATGTATTTTAAAAATGGGTAAAATTAAAAAAAAATTCTTCTGAAAAGAAGAAAACTTGTGAAGTGAATACTGTATAGTGGTCTAATCAGATTGGCTGTAGGGCTAACAAGAGTTAAGATACTGTGGAGTGCGTATGTAAACAGACTAGGGTTTACGGGTATATATAACCTTAATACACTAGTAACATTCGCCAGAGATGAATGAAGAGGCAGCATATCGTAGCTTGTTGGCAAGGTGTGGTGGAACTGGGGACTTAGTAGGAGGGGGAGTTCAAGTAAGTTTACCAAGCTATGGGTTACATGTGGAGCCTTGTGTAATGTATAAACAGCTCAGAGGAGCATAGGACTGCAAATATTTTTTTGAAGGTCAAATTTTACTGAACTTTGTATTTGCAATTCATGGACTATATTATGTGCATACATTCCCAAATTTATTCATTTTGTTATACACTATTGAAACTACATTAAGTTAGGGATATCTGTTGATTTAATAATAGCTAGACTGGTTTTTAATTCTCAAAAAATGCTGTTCACTTTTCAGAAAAATTCAGACACACATAATGTAAAAATAAAATGTTAAAGAGACACATGAGAAAAGTAGACATATTGATCAATATGTACAGCTAAAACAGCAACAGATATTACTAGAACCTGTATTGTACCCGTTGTTTACTGTACCATCAAGTGCTAGTAATAAACTTAAGAAAGATTGACAATTTAAGATTCAAAGTGATGCCATATAATATTGTTGTCACTTGATTTTACAATACCCTGTAATGAACTTGAAGTAATGTGGATGTTTCATATACTCCTCACAAGACTGTATAATAAACTAGTATAATTTTATACCTATATTTTTACATATGTATTACTCAGATTTTCTAGGATTTGTCCACTTTTTGAGATGATGCATTGTATTTTTACATGACTGACTACAGCGCTGGTGTTGGGCGGACGGGAACCTTGGTGGCCCTGGACTCTTTAGTGATGGAACTGGATGAAGAAGGACATGCGTCCATCTTTAACCTTATATGTGACCTTCGACACCAAAGAAACTTCCTTGTACAGTCTTTAGTAAGTTTTATTTACCTCACCTTTCTGTAGTGTTTTAGTTAGTGTATTGTTAGTGGTGTTGAGCCCCTGCATTAAACTTTACATTGGGTGACTCCTTACTACATCTACACACATTGCATTGGCGGATTCACATTAGAATGAATCACGTCAGGTCAAGTGTCAATTCGTGCCAAGACCAACTCGTACATATTCCTGGCTAGTGGGAAAATGCATAGTGGGTTGCTTGTCAGCATTCCAGTATTAGTGATTTAGGTCAGGTGCAAGTAATTTATCTCTACATTAAGCTACCAACCTGGTGTCAGGATGTCAACTTTTCAAAGGAACCACCAAACTGAGAGGCTGTTGTATGGTGACACAAGCTATGACCTAACATGACCAGGGTTACCAGATTATGGGGGAGTGGAAGTTAGGGTAGGTGATCACAGGTGTTGGCTCTGATGCAGATTCACTATGCAAAGGAATTAGACATCATCAAAATCAGGCACAAGTTTGCCATCAAGTAACCCTGATGGATGATGGTGGATGCTGATACGAATAAATAAAAAAAAAAAATTAAGGGTTATTGTGTAAAAAAATTTTTTTGTCTATTTATCTGAACTATCTGCATTCTTCTGTAGATCCACCTTCGAAGTCAAGATACTGTTTCTTTAACTAGAAGGAAAATTATTGAAATTGGCAGTGAAAACATAATCTTCATTCCATTGTGAGTGTCATACAATCACCTCCTGCCTCATGATAATTTAATAATTAATAAGTACAGTATTTTATTATTAATATACACTACTGTATGTACTTCTATTTTTCATCCTCAGACATATTATAGTGCACTCATTTTTTATATTAGGCTGCGACCACGAAAATATTTACACAATTTCCTCTTAAACATCGTATGATGTCTGCTGCCCTTTAAGGGTTAAATATTTAAAAGTTTATATTTTACAGTTTTTGTGAAGCAGTATTGTTCAGTCTGCTGGGGCAATGATTAAGATTTTAATCGTATTTGTAAGACTTTTAACATATTTAATTTTAGGAATACTGTAATTACAGCTGTATGGCAATGGGTACCCTAAACCTTGTGGTGCCCCAGATATAGGGCTCCATGGGCAGTGAATTATTGTTCAAATGCCCTGTTCATTCAAACTCTTCCATATCAAAGATAATGCCTTTCAGAAACAGTATGTGTTCATCCACCGAGCATTGATGGAGTATGTTCAGTTTGGTAACACTGAACTGACCATACCTCAGCTCAAGGAGGGCTACAGCAACCACACACACCATGATAGTCTGGATGACTCTTCACCTTTGGAAAAGGAGTTTGAGGTTAGTATGTTATATGCAGTTGAACCCTTTCATCTGTGTGTGTGTGAGAGTAGATGGGTAGGAATTATGATCAGCATCTGTTTTTTTTCTGCCTTAACAAATATTGTTTTTCTTATAATTCCTTCTCTTCTTGACAGAGTGAACTTGTGAGCAAATGGACCAGTTGAGTGGGGGAAAGTTAGTAGTAAATGCACTCACATATACTGTACAAGGTATATGGAGAGATAAAGAGAGAGAACCACATTAAAGAAGGCAAAGAAAGGCAACATATGGGGAATAATGGAGCCAGTTGTACTGTACTGCTCTGTGGCCTGGACATAAGTTGCAAGAGGAAGAGATAAGTCTCAGAGAATGGAATGGTGTGTCAGAGGACAGTACTTGATGCAAATAGGACCTGTAGGATAAAAAGCAGTGAACACAGCTGTAAGAAGGTGATGTGGAAGTGAAAGGAGTTTCAGGCAGGGTGATGACTTAAGGTTTGCTAAGATATTATAGACATATATTTAGGAAATGGGATGTAAAAGATTGATTAAAATGTGTGTACATATCATTGAGAGGAGGATGATTGGAGAGGTGAGGGGAAAATATAGAATAATGGGGTGAATGAGGCAGTAGAAGTGAGGGGGATGGATGGTTGCAGCAGTGATATTTAATGACTGGAGAGCATGACTTATAGTTGTTTTGGGGGTTGAATGTGCTGCAACTGGGTGATGCTATAGGTTGTATAAAGTGATTATGGATAAACCAGATGGATATCTTAGGGCCTTGTTATGGAGCCAAACATATGGTAGTATAGTACATGCATGTAGCAGTAACAGTGAATGAAGGGAGGGTTCATGTTTACTCTTGTTTTCAGGTTTCTGCCACGGTTGTGAGAAAAGTCTAATAGAATATGAAAAAGTAAATGCTCTGTTTTATCATTTGTGTATTTACATTAATTCTGTTTTTTTTTTTGCAGCGTTTAAGCAAAGTGGTTGAGGACAGGAAAGCTTTTGCTATTGCAACAAGTGAAGAGAACAAGCCCAAAAATCGCTATGATTTTGTTTTACCCTACGACTCCAATCGTGTTATTTTGGCACCACTGTCCACAAGACCATCTTCTACATACATTAATGCTTCATTTGTTACTGTAAGTACAGTACCAGTATGTGTGATATTTCTACTACTATTAACTAATGTACAGAGCAATTCATAACAATTGATCTGTGATTGATATTAAGTTCTCACATATTGCAGTAGATTTCACTTCGTCATTGATTCACTGTTTTTGTCTGCGTTTTAGGTTGTGATGCTTTAAAACCTTTTTCTGATCTTTAGCCATACTGTACATATATTACAGTAGCCATATTATGTGTGTATGGATATTCCCATATGTAAAAATAATGGTTAATCTCCTTGGTGCTGAATTTTGAACTTTAAAATGATAAAAATTCAGACAGGGTCTTAATGCAGTACAATGGCTAATTTTTCAGGATTTCTTCAGCTGCTTGTTAATCTCTTGAACTAAAATATGGTAGTTTATTATTATTTTTTAAACTTTAAATTTCTTCTAAGCATTTTGGATGTGGATATAAGAATCACTGTGCATCACAGTTAATATTATTTTCATATTCTCAGGGATATGATTTGGCTGAGTCATTCATTGTTACACAAGATCCCATGGAAAACACAATAGCAGACTTTTGGAGAATGGTGTTTGATCAGGAGGTGACCACAATCGTCATGCTGTCAGAGGTCAGAGTCTTCAAATATTTTCTTTTCAGTATTTTTGTTATAGTACTGTAATATTATTCACAATAAGAAAAAATGCATTTACCTTAGATGAAGCTTGACTATTGTTTAACATAATGTAATTCTAATAACATTCTTGCATTATCAACCTTCTCATTTACTTTTAAAGTAGAAACATATATTAGGAGGTAGTGGGGAGGTCCACCAGGTGGGATGTAGTGGACTCTGAAACAAAATTCAACTTGTAGAGACAGAGAAATTACCATTCCTTTACTGATTGGAAAGTAATTGTGTGCATATTTTTTTCAAGTGAGAAAATGTTTTAAAGAGTAAAATAATTTATTGTTTTCATGAACAGACACAAGGACTTTGAATTTGAAAATATGTTTTTAATTACCTGCAAAAAAATATGAATAACTTTGTTAGAGACATAGATTATAATTCAGCTACTGACTGCTTTAGAATGAGAAGGTTGAGTAAGTGCAATTTTAGTGTTGGCATTTGTAATTAAAACTGCTAAAGCTGTCCCAGGTTTATGTATATATGTTCTATTAGATATGGATGTTTTTATCATGCCCTCTGAGGTTGGATGCCTGATACAGTTTGCCAGACATTTAGTAAATCATCCTGTTGTAAAATATTATGGTACTGAGTAAACAGATCCCTGACTACTCTGAAAGTACGGATTACTCAGACCTATGATAATTTACTTATTTGGGATTGAGCTTTTACATGTAGATAGATAAACATTTTTATCAATGTATTTTCTTCTTTACTTATACATATAATTTATTGGACCTTTGTATGCTTTCTGTGGCAGTTACTACTGGTTTGGTTTATGTGTTTGTATCCTTAAATGCAGTGCAAACAGTTGGCAACTGTACCACTTTTGTGATACCTAAGGCTGTCAGTCATTTTGTTTACACATCTTTCTACTTATATATATATATATATATATATATATATATATATATATATATATATATATATATATATATATATATATATATATATATATATATATATATATATATATATATATATATATATATATATATTGATCTCAGTATGGCTGTACTCCTTACTAAATAGGAATGGAACAGTTGCAGGAACATCATGAGAAACTTATATAAAATGTTGACTGATATTGAGTGAAATGAAGTGAATGAAAACTTCCAAAATGAATGAATACTTTACAGAAATTCATTCTACCATATTGTTGCAACATTAAAGCACCCATTCCCAATTGCTCCACCACTTTCACATTCAGTTGGTACAGTAGTCTTTGAAAGTGGGCCTTGTCATTCCTCTTACAGTACAGAATGATCAAGACAAGTTTACTTAACCTTTTATACTTTATTTTGTTTATCTAACACTTTCAGGTATTGAAGGGGGCAATAATAAGAATATTAGGGATATTCATGTGTTAAGTGGTCTATATTGAAAGTGTTTGGGGACCTTGCTAGGATGAAATGATCATTGATCAAAATGCCTGTACAGTACAGTATAAAATTTTTCATAAACTGTCAACCCTTGAACGTAAAGAACATCACCTATGGTAAATACTGTATATAATATTTTTGTTTGTATAATTTTGAAAAAGAAGAAAGAACAAAGAAAAAGGTATAGCAGTTAAAGAGAAAGTGGAAGGGTAAGTAGGTCCTATTGGCCCGCAAGTGGATACATCTCACTGAATACTGAGCCTTTGGTACACAATGTGGCTGCCACTTCACTTGACCACTGTTACTTTTTTACCTGCAAAGTTAGGTAACTGGGTGCCCTGGGTATGAGCCAGTAACCCTTAGACAGAAAGAATAAAAGAAAATGAGGGTAGAGGAGAGTGTTGCTTTTGATGATGGCCACTCTATGCTACAGTGGGAAAGGGCTTCGTAGATTGATAAAAATTCATAAAAATCCAATTACTGTTACAGGTGGCTGAAATACCTGCCAGAGAATTTTTTGCACGAGATCATTTCTCAAAACGAATCAAGTAATCAAAGGTGTTGATATTAATTGTAGATGGTGTGGATAAAAGGTACAGAAACCTTACTGATGGCGGGGGTTAATAATAGGAAGAATGGTGAAAAAAGAAAGTGTCAAAATCAACAAGAATTTACCAGAACAGCAAGTAAAAATACTCACATATGTTCTTATCCTTTTCTTGCATACACAGTTGACAAAGTAAATATTTAGCATCCACACATATTCTTAGTGCTTGAAAAGCTGAATACCAAGGATAAAATTGAAGCTAGATGCTGGTGATGATACAGCAGCCATATTCATAGTAGAGAAGTATTAGTAAGATTCATGGGTGATGTTAAAAACACACAGAGAAAAAAAATGATGCACCATATGCTCTCAAAGGACAGAAACATGAAATTATATTGAGGTCAAATGCAATATATTTCTGGAGACAGATGCAAAGGACAGTTCTTTATTAGTTTAATGAAATTAGTTTGATGCCAGATATTAAAGACAAGCAAAAATTTACCCTATGTGATTCAGGTTTTTTCTGGTGTGTACTGTACAGTATATAGAAAGTTCAAAAGACGATGAAAAGAGGCTGACAATCAAGAGGTCTTTGGCTTACCTACTGGAAACTGTTAAACAAAATGGACTAACTACCACTACTAACTGATGAACACAAGTATATTTAGAGATTACTGAAATTTCAGTTAATAACTTCCCTCATCAAATAAATGAAGGTTACTATCCAGAAAATGTTTGATTAACACAAGAGTCATTAAAGCTGGTCATTTCAGCTGGCAACCAGTTCCTGCTGAAAACCCTAAATGTTAGTGCCAAAGTTTTCCAAGGCAATTTTTTAAGTTTCTGAATAATTTTTAAAGAGGTGGGAGAAGAATGGGAGTATGCATGTGTGTTGGGGGAGGAGAGTTTGTCTGTATGTTTATCGATCAGAGAAATAGAGAACAGGACAGAGAGGTGAATCATTGGACAGACAGATTGGGTTTGTGTTTATCTCTGCATTTGTTTATGAGCATATATGTCTTATGTTTTGTTTTGTCTTTGCCTCTTAATATTTTTTTTTACCCCTCAGCTTGAACTTGAGCTGACAAACATAATTGTCACCTATGCTCTTTTCATGTCTGTTTAGCTTTCTTCCAGTTTGTTTGTTTGTTATCAAGAAATAAGTAAGAATGTCATAACTCCCTCTGAGTTATTAACACAGGCTCATTTAATCAATGTTTCAGTTGCATGTGTAGTTCAGTGCCATTGAACTATTTTCAAGGTCATGTGGCCATTTATTGAAATAATTGCCTGAGGGGTACTCCATCACGTTGGTTGTTGTTTGCCCTCTGAAAGTTCTCCAGCTAATGTGGGGGACTTTTGTTGCCTTTTCCCATGGCAAGCCACCTTGTCATTTCTTTGAGCTTTAGCTAACTGGCCAATCAGAGAGAATTTGTGGGTCTCTCATAGTCATGTACTGTACTGGGTCATATGTAATTAAAAACTGTAGATACTCTGTATGTCAGGTGGATTTACTCAAATCTATTTTGGTTTGTATATGAAGGCTTATATGGATAGTGTGAAGCATGTGTTTGTGTGTGCCAGGGAGAAGTGGAGTGGTTCTCAGTGGAAATAGGATATGCTAAATGATGGCATTTGGTAACTGTTGTGGCTGTTTTGGTCAGAAATAATAGTCGTTGATATTTGATATTCAGAAATGCATTTGTGGATATGTTTTTGTTGACATTTTAAACTTAAACTCATTTATGACATGAAGCTTTTAAAATCAGAGCTGCACTTGAATAATGACAATATTGTAAACTAAATTTATTGAGCTCACCACACAGGCTCTAAAGCAAAGTGTTGTAATAAATTTTCCTTTTATTTAATGCTAGTTTGGTACTAATGGTGTTTTCATAAGATTACTGGTTATGGCATCCCCTCAGAGTATTTTCTCCCAGTCAGTGGGAGATGTAGGTAGAGAGAAAATATTAAGAAGTGTTATTCTTTATAAATTATATAATAGTTGTAAGATAAGTTTTTGAATCACTTTTATAATTAAGTTTAAGAAAAGTTTCCCCATTGAATGTTGATCACAATTACTGTTGATACTCCCACTAGGTACAACTCGATCAGGTAAATAATCAAACAACGTAATTTGAATTGTGTGTGTGTCGGCTAAAATGTGTTGAGTTTGGATGATCCTTGTCAACTCACCTTATGTATTAAGTTTTTCATTCATAAACCTTAGAGTTTTTTTTTTTAAATAACCTGTGCTTCTAGTGATTACTAATATAGAACTGAATGCAACTAGTTTGTAAGTTTGACTTAGAACAATGTTTTTGCGAGTTTCCCAATTTTTTTGCTTATAGGTTTGTGCATCTCAGATATCACCCAACCGGACATATTCATCAAATATTGCTGCATCCCATTTATCATAATTTGCTCCATTTCTATTTTTTTCTGGCTTCTTTTAACCACTACTACTACACTTGCTTCAACTTCTTTGTAACTTTTTCTGATTTTCAACTTGTACATTTCCTGCTGTGCATGTCTGTGAAACAGCTTAAATTTATCCTTTATAAGGTATAATAACTGGTTCAGGTATGTAACACCCAGACCCACTTAATACTCTCATCTATTTATCTATCTATAATCTTTACTTCTCTCCTTTATTTTTTTTTGCCAGATGGATCAAAAGATACTCCACACCCATGCACTTCTTCATATTTTCAACTTGCATACACAGTGTACAAAGTTGGTCTGTGTAAAGATTTGTTATGTGTAATGTCTACATATTATTTGTGCAAAAAATTTTAGTGTATTTGAGATAAACAGAATATGTGTCCTGTACATATTTGTCTGTCTAGAAGTTTTGAACTATTGGAGTGTGTGAGCGGCATTGGAGAATATTTGAAATTTGATTAAACACTGTGGATGATGTGCAAGAAAAGCTTAAAAGTAGGAGAGTGTTACAGCAAATTTAAAGGATGTTTATGGTGATTGAGAAGAATCAGACTTTTGGAGATATGAGGCACTGAACTGTTGGATAATCACTGGATCCATTGGAAGTGAGAGAGAAGTGATAGCTGCTCGATGTGTGTTGGAGGAGTGAATATAGCTTGGAACTCTTTATACCAGTCAGTGTATCTTACATTTAGAGTTTGATACACACTGATACCTGTAGTTTAAGCTCAAAGATAAAATTGAGCCTGTTTAAATAGCTTTTGTAGCTCTAGAAGAGATAGACTATTACTTATGAGATGTTACTCTGGTTGCTCTTGAGGAAAGCAAACCTAAGTATGTTGAGCCCCATCTATTCAGTAGCAGCAATTTGAATTAGAGTTTTCAATGCAGACTGGATCAAAAGTGAAAAGTGATACAAAAATTTACCTGTGCACCATAAATGTGATTTAAAAAGACTGGGGTTATGATCTTAAACAATGCTTGGAATTTATAAAACACAGTGTGGGAACAGCATGGCAAAGTCAGTGCCCGTAAAACTTGAATTTTTTGTAAAAATGTTATTCCAACATCTGTAATATTATTATAATAATGTATAATAGTTTAATACAATATAATTAAATAACCAGTACAGATATCCACCATTTAGTGATCTGGATGCGTTCCTGAAAAAATGATCGTTAAGTGAAAGGATCACTAAATGAGGGATAACGAGAAATAATATCCGTGGAAATGGCATGTGATTGTGTAGCCAACTCTGCCACCCAGTAGCACTCAGAGTGTGTGAGGCCGAGCTGTGAACTATGTTACAGTATTGTTTAACTCGTAATTTCGGGTAGATATATATAATTTTCTTCATTTTGTTTTACTCTTTTACATGCACACACAATCATTCATACAGAATGTGCAAAAAAAAAATAAATTCATAAGGTCAAAAACTTAAAAATAATAAACATATCTTACATGCTCAGCAGTTAGCCCACAGAGCAGGGGGGGGGGGGTAAACCTAAACCTGAGCTGTTCTCTGTCTCGTGTCCTGTGAAATGATTGCCAAATGGCAACGCAGATTTTTTTTCATATTTTATTTATTATTATTTCTATTTATTTCTCACATTTGCTGGTACAGTATACTGTACATACAACACATTCATCCGGGCAGTGTCACCAAGCTGACTCAGAGAAGTGTGTGGCTGCTGCCTGTATGCTGCGAAGTCACATGGGGGTGTGGAGTGTGGCCAGCCACAGTTACAGCACACTGCCTCCACACATGAGCTCACTTCCCACACATACACACCCATGCTCTTCATTTTTCTTATTTTATAGTTTTATGGTATATTGTTTACCAGCCATGGGCAGCCCGTACGGACCATGTGTTTGTGCGGCCCGTGTAGTGATTGAAAAATTCTATTTAATGTGGCCCTCAGTTCAGGTAGATGCAACCATTTTATGGTGAGTAAAGCAATATTTATTAAAAGAATATCTTCACGCACAATTCAATGCTGTTTCATCATCTAAGAGTAAGTAACTACAAAAATGTAACAGTGAAATAAGTATACAGTATATAGTCAACAATATAAACATTTTAACTTGTGTGAGTTTACGAGCCAAGTTCGGCGCGGTCTGTTTGATGGATTACCTGCTATGTGACAGTGGGTCACTTTGGAATTAACTAGGGTTGCGTAAGTCCAAGTGGGGTTATGTGTGGTGGTCACACGGGTAAATAATTAAGTACTTCAAGAATAACACAAAAACACCAAAATCGCATTTCAGAAACCCATAGTTGGCGAGTACCGCATTTTTCGGCTTAAAAGACGCACTTTTTATGACAAAAATATACACTACCTCGAAAATTACCATGCGTCTTCCAGGACACTAGTTGATGAGTTGTAGCAGAGGTTTTTGAAATCAGCCCCTTACAATGACTGTTACCTCATTACAGTACTGTACTTAACAATTACAAGTACAGTATTCTCTATACAGTACTATAAAACTATTGATTTAACTAAAATTGTTGATATATTGCAAAAAAAAAAAAAATAAACCCTTGCTGCTGTGTAATTTGTTTACTAATGGCAGTGGTGTGGCAGCACCATCTATTGAGGAATTGCTAAAGGTTACCATTGGTCTTCCAAATGCAGGAATGTTTGTTTCTTTATATGTAGGCTCTCATATTTTGACACCTATTTACAGTAGGCCTCATATTTGATACCCATTTAGACTGTAAAACCCCACAAAATTAAAATCTTCCAAATTTAAATACAACTGCTATCCAAGTAAAAACACACACACAACAAAAATTGGCTGTCCTTATGTTTTCAACTTTATTACCACTGGTGATTTTCATTCAAAAACATTAATTAAAACATATATGAACAGTAAATAAGTGTTGCTTTCATATTCTTATGTAGAGTAATGATGATATGTTTACCCATGTGCTCACTTACATACGTGATCTCTATTTTTTTTACCCTTAATTGTTAGCAACTTCCATTGTTCCATTTATTAACATTAAATAACATTACTTAAAACAACCATATTAATTTTTCTACATTAATTTTGATACAGCTACAATGGTGGACTTATTTTCTTTAGTTTTATAATTATGTAGAACCAATCAGTCACTGGTTTTGCAAAAAACGAGTTGTTTTTTACTTTTATTTTGTTTTCAAATAAAGATTTTTTGTTTTATATAGACATTGATATACATGTTTACATTTGCTTACCTTCTACTGTTGGAAAATATTTCCCGTCGTTGTCATCCTGACAAAAACAAGAGAAAGAATGTAAACACTACAGCCCCTAAGATGTGGAGGTGACCGGTGTATAAAATGAGTGCTGTATTAAAGATTTCACCTTCTTATACAGATTTTTTTTTAAATTGATGAAAATGACGACTGATAAGCAGTTCTAAGTGATGATATTCAAAGAGGTGTGTGTACTTGTGCCAAAAGGGCTGTATATCAAGCAATGGTTACACTGGTGTAGGTATTAGGCAGCTAATGTACCAAACAAGGAGGTACTACCGTCTGGGAAGATATTGGAAGCATAATGTATTGTCTAATGGTAGACCCTGCTGCTATGTGACCAAGTCCCAGGTTGATGATCTGACTTTCTGCAGGGTCTCAATGGTTTCTCTTTGACAATACAACATACATACAGTTATATTGTTTCTCACTCTTGATATTTTGTTTTCATTTTTGTATTTCTTCATTATTATTATTATTATTATTATTATTATTATTATTATTATTATTATTATTATTATTATCATTATTATTATTATTATTATTATTATTATTAATTATTTTTAATTATTATTATTATTATTATTATTATTATTATTATTATTATTATTATTATTATTATTATTATTATTACATTTTTGCCCCCTAGGCCCCAATGTGGGTCAGTGACCTGTGCCCAGGTGGGCTAAAACCCATAATTTTTTTTTTTAGAATTTCATTTCCAAAATCAGGGTGCGTCTTCCACGATGCAGCGTCTTTCAAGCCGAAAATTACGGTAATCAGCATTGAAATAATGTAATTACATTTTTCCAACCATCATTATGACCACTAATTACCCTGCAATCAAATTGTGGACCATAGATTTGGAATCAGCATGCCCAGGAGTACCTATACAGAGATTTTCAACAAAATCTAATTTTGGTTTGAAACTGCCAATATATAAATATAAAAGAGAGAGAGAGAGAGATAGATGTGCTTAGCCCTATAGGTTGTTTCATTGTAGTTCTTCATATACCAAGATTAACATTGGCATTATTCTGGTTGGTGTGTCGCATAAGTAAGACAAATGCTGTAACTGTAGGAAAAATCTACGTATTCACAGACTGCTTCACTCATCTTCTGTTAAATGCCAAGAAACGTTAACATATTACTTTAAAAAATATTATGGTGGATTTGTTTCATAAATGGGAACAAGGCTGATTGTAAACTGAAAGTATCGTAAGGTAGATGCAACACTAAATTGTTCTACTGTCCGTGCTAATACAATATTAACATTACTTTTGGGTTAGGTAGGATATAAATTTGGGTGGGTTGGCCAGAAGAAAAATACTTAAATTGTAATGCGGTCCATGACTGAGGAAAGGCTGCCTATGTCTGCTGTATACTATAAAACTATAAAATACTTTACTGTACTGTATATTGTATACAGTACAATATCTTCTTTATTTCTAAGCTACAGTACTGTATTGTAATGATGCGCACTCTGAGCACAGAATCCCCAGTTTTTCCGACTTCCCTTCCGAATATTTTCCAGTGAGTCAAAGATCGCTAAACTAAAAATTGACGATTGTTAAACAAGAAAGGGTGTTAAAATGAAGATTTTAAATCAGCAAACCGAAATATTCCTAAGTAAGCAATCGTATAAAATATCAAAACACAAGAAGTCCTAGCCCGAGAAATGCTGTTCGACACCACAACCGCATCCAGCCCATACGTGCACGAACTGATCGCTATAAGAACAGCCCAGTCCCAACCATTGTAAAAATTATCAATAACTTGTAATAGACCAGTGTATTCACTCCCAGTAAACACTACTCCTTGCACTGTCACTATGTTGAAATGCACTGTAGTTTGAGCTTTTCCCCATCTAGTTATTATATATCTTATTTATATCACTTATGTTACTTGTATATTATTTGTAATTCGAAACCCATTCCCTAAATATGTAACTGTATATTTTCAGCCTTCTGGTTGCCAAGTTCTTTCAATAAACCGTTAATTATTATTATTATTATTATTATTATTATTATTATTATTATTATTATTATTATTATTATTATTATTATTATTATTATTATTATTATTATTATAAAAAACTGTGAATTTTCTCATTGTATGATTTGTGTCAAGAATCCAGAATTTCTTTCATCAGATGCAAGTAAAGATAATTATCACAATTAAGTTTATTCTATCAAATGTATGGTAGTGAGACAGACTGATTCAGATGCATGTGTTGTTGCTTTACCACAACAGAGTAGATTAAAATTTGAGATCTAATACTTGGAGTTAAAATGTAACTGTAAAAATTAAATACTGTACAGTGATATCTCCATTAGCTAGAACAATTGGTGCAGAGCACTTACGGGAATGAGAGATTTCCCGGTAACGAGATGACTCTCAAAGCCGGAAAAAATCCCTTATCCCCGGAATTTTCTGGGTAACAGAAAATTTTTCTCGGAAGTTCTAGAAATTGCGCATCACATCATCTCTCAATGCCGGAAAAATCCCTCATCCCCGGAATTTTCCCGATTTTTCTGGGTAGCAGATTAATGTTCTTGGAAGTTCCAGAAATTGCCACACCCTTTGAATTTTCTGGGTACCTGTACTGGGAAAATTTTTATTCCGACTCGTAGAGTTCCGATTAAGAGAGATTCCGGCTAACGGAGATATTACTGTATATTACAGGGGGCCCCCAAAATTTCTTTGGGGTTAGGTTCTCAAAATGGCCGCGAATCGCCAAATCCGTGAATAACATTAGCGGACCGGGGTGTGGGGGGTACGGTACATTTTTACTTGTGTACAAAGAAATGTATATTCCCTTTATGTGTTTGCCCTCAGGCCAATTATTTCTTTTACCTGTAGTATTGTATATATATGTGTGTGTGTGTAGTACACACACACACACACACACATACATACATACATACATATTATTGATACAGGTAAAATAAATTCTTGTCTCTAGAATGAATGGCTCCCTGTCCCAGCCACAAAAATGCTGGCAACTTTAAAACTACCTACAGACAACCTTGGGTACATCCAGGGTGTCATCCGCGAATAACTGAGAAACGCGAAGTAAAATTCCGTGAACTTGGGGGAGGGGGTGGGGGGGGCATACTGTATTGTATTTCATATTGTTATTTTAAGTATTATATTTACTCTCGTGATTAGGTCACTATGCCATTACAACACTTATTTTTCCAACCACAATTTGCATTCCTAATCTTACTCCCAGCAGTGCACTTCTTCTCTACCAACCATGACACTTGGTCTTCACAGGTCATTTGTGTATTTTATAATTAATTTTTTTTTAAATCACACATGTCACATTTGCTTACATTTGCATGGGTCATACAATCTGCCACTAGACAGTAATCAGTTTAAGCAGGTTGGCTGTGGTCCATAGTATTGTATTCTTAACAGTGCCAGAGCTATTAATCATTACACTATATCTTTTTAGTTATTTGTGCTTCTTGTTTCATGCCCTCATTATTATATAGAGGGACATGTTAGTTTGCGCCTGACCATCAGTCCATCCACTTGTATGTACAGACAGACTTCTTATAATGGACATGTTCCTGAAGAGTGTCCAGTAATTGATTATTCTGTTAAAAGGTCATTACAGTATGGTACCCATAGGAATGCATTCCTCACACTGTCAATTCTTACCTTAGAAACACCACAAGATGGCTTCAATGTGTAATGGTAATGGCTCTGCAGATGTTGTTATGGCTTTTTATAAATAAAACAAAGACGATGTTAACTGAAAGAGTAAATAACATGAAACTACTCTAAATTCAATCAATAATTGCTAATTAATTTGTTCGATTATTGTTTTAAAGGTAGAGGAAGCTAAGCCAAGTGACTGACCCATATCTGCCTGATACTCGCCTGCCTCAACCCTTTCGTATCACTTCCATTTTCACATCCATACTATTGACTTTCTTGGTCACCTTGGTTGCTTTACCAAAACTCACTTGCAGGCCATTTTTCACATATGATGGGCCTAAAATTTTACTTAACACATGCAAGAGATTGAAAAAAGGATAGAGTATAAAGGCAGAATGAACATAAGTTTTGGTGAGCTGTACACGTTGATTTGATGAACGCTAATTGGCTAAGAGTATGTAAACAAAGATGGCTGTGGAGATGTTTAGTGGTTCTTTTATGTTTAATGGAATTTTCCTTTAATTGTTCACTTATTTATAAAACAAAATTTTGGTGGGGGGTGACTAATTATTGGGTTGACAGCCCATCTCTGATGCCTTTTTCCTCTGAGTTCTTGGAAATTCTCGATCTAAACAATTTTTTCAGTCATGTGTCGTGTCCAACACATCTTTCTGGACACACTCTAGACTAGTTTTGTCTCCTGCTGACTGTGATTGTGTATTATATGTTGCAATTGACTTGATCGATACAGCAGTCTCTGACCGAGCTTTGGTTACTTTTGGTTTTAATGTCCCCAAATCCCCTTCTTACATTAAAACAATTGCCTTCAGGAACAATAGAATCATTGAACAGACCATGATTAATCAGGAAGTGGATCATTCTTTGAACTGGGTCGACTCCTTTAATTTGTCCTCTGAGGAGACGGTCATCATCCCATTCAGACTTTGGTCATTTAACCTGTCCAGCCTGTCTGGCTTAATGATTAAATCTGAAAGCAGTTTTCCTTTGCTTGTGTCATGAATCACTCCATTATCTTCTTCATTCCAGTGACATTCACAATCCACCTTCTCAAGTGTCAGCTTCAGTTACCTACTCCCAGTAAATCACATACCAGCTGGTCTTTTTTTTTAATGTTGCAACAGATCTGGGTCTAGCTCTTTGTATATTTTTGCTAGAGAGATGATGTGAAAAACTTTTATACCAAGTACAGAAGTGATTTTTTTTACATAACTTTAAAGTTGCCAGACCTAATTTACCCAAACTTAACCTAACAGTCTTTGGTTTCAAATCAGCGTCACACATTGCAGCATACTTTGCTTATATACTATCACCAAAGTAACTCTGTTTGCATATGTTATTTATTTTGTATATAGTATAGGCTAAGGCAAAAATAGCAAAAATAAATTGAGAGCTGGACCTTATTTGTTATCACTAACCAAATTTTTATTCTCTTGGGCTGTCACCACTAACACCCAGGTCCTAACATTATTCCTGAATGTTGCCACCTCCCTTCTCCATCCACTAAAGGACAACTGAAAAGGGATATTTACAGTGTTTGATTTTTACTTTGTAATTACTGCAGAAATAACCCTATTATTGTTGCATGTTTGATTTATTTCTCTAACAATTCATTAGAGTAGACGTTTCTCTAAAAATTAAGATTTCCAGAGTGATATTTATACTTTTACCAAAATATCAAGGAAATAACTATGTTATGCCAGATAGCTCAGTTACAAATTGTTTAACAAACTTAGTTTGATAAAATGCATTTGCTTAATTCCTTTCTTGGTCATATTTCAAGTATTAAGGATAAAAAGTGACACTTGTACAAATATAATTGTTGTCACAGTAATTATTTGTCCTGTCACACTGGGAATCAACATAATAATATCAGTATCTTGCTTTTACTGGTAATTGTTTAGAAGTAGTATGGTGTGGTACAGCTATACACAATATTCTGTATAATTGTTGACAGTAATTAGTAAATTATGTTTGCCCCTCTAGCTTGGGAGTGGCGAGCAGTGCTGTAACAAATATTGGCCTGATGATGAGGAGACATACGAGCACATCTCTGTCAAGTTGGTGTCAAGTGAGAGCTACCCCAAGTATTCCTGCAGGTCTTTCCTTCTGACTAACACCAAGGTAAGTCATAGGGAAAGAAGTTTTAATGTCTCTTTTAATTTTTTCATGTAAAGATATACTGTACCATACTCTTTAAGGTTACATAGTGATTAAGAATAAGTTTGTCTGATTTAAAATCAAAACAGGAAACAGATTGTCAGAATTGATAATAAAATTTAATTAGATTTACCCACATCATGTCTATGAAGTTTGATGAAGGAACATATGACCCAGAGATGATAGAACACCAGTGATGAACTTGAAAACATTGTCATGGATGCATTTTGCCTTATAACCACTCAAGTGCTCTGGTATATGTCATGCAAAACCTGGCACAAAATCAATCTTTATCTTGAGGTTGACAATGCACAAACAGATCCATTGGATGTATGAGGCATATAACATTATTAAAGGTAAATGTAATGTTATATAGTACAGTAAACACATGTGAGGTGCTTCGTGGACAGTGACGAATATTCCCAAATAATTTTATACCCAGGCGACTCAAGATTTTTATGCTAGACTAGATTTTGTATCTTTTGACACCAGTTTCATTTTAATTGTGTTGTGGGTTATGGAGATATGCCAGCTTTAACCACAAGCACCTCATGTACTGTCCATCAAAAACTTATCTGTATTAGTGGTAAATACTAAGTTACATAGGGTTGACAAAACATAACAGACACCTTGAACACAAAACCTGGTGAGACTTGTTTTTTTAGATAAGTGTTTTATTGTTTTCACTTATTTGCCTTATAAATTTATATAAATGTGTGATATTTTTACATGAACTGGCAAATTATCATGTTGTAGGAAGTGCCATAATACTGTAGTAATGCCTCAGGAATTTACCACTGAGGCATCATCACTAGCCAGGATCCATGCTGGAGAATTACAAAAATGTCTTTCCTGTGCTGTTTTGTCTTGCATTTTCACAATTTCCAGTATTTCAGGTAGTAATTTTACATTCAGTAGTTTTGTTGTAGTATAGTACTTATACAGTGTAATCCACAAATACAGAGGAAATGGGGTAAAACATAATCAAAATAAGGCCTGTTGTTGTGACTGGGAAAAAAAAATAATATGTAAACCTACCTGTCTTCATATCAGTTTCACTTATGTCAGTCATCCACTCTAAACATTCTCGGGCTTTTTTTTTGCAATCCTCCAAGGTTTTGTATCTCTCTGGGGACCCAGTTTCTAATTTCTTTCATCCATCCTAGTCCCTGTTTTCCCCTGACCCTCCTACCCTCAACTTTACAAACCTCTTAATATTTCTATTATTATCCCCTCATCCTAAGGTATATTACCAAAGTATCTCATTTTTCTTTTTCTGTACATTTCAAGTATTTCTCTTGAAGTTTTTGCTAATTTTAGTACCTCTTCATTTGTTTTCCTGTCAAAGTAGCTTATTCTTAGCATTTGCCTGTTACACCACATTTCAGAGGCCTCCAACCTTTTTCTGGTGTACGCTGAAAGTGTCCACACCTCTGACCCATACAGCAGTCCTTACCATATAAAGCCTTTCAGCAGCCATTTTCTCAAATTGAAGTTAATGTCCCTTTTCATTAGGTCTTTTACATTATTACCGTAAATGCTGTGTTTGCTTGACCTAATCTTGTTTTGATTTTTTTCTGTACATCTACTATCACAGCTAATATTACTTCCCAAATACCAAAAATTTCCACTTGTTTAAGTTCCTTGTTGCCAACCATAATTTTTATTTTAGGATCTATAGTAGTATTGTATTTCCAATTTGGAAACAACCATTACATTTGTCTTTACAGCAACTCTTAAACCATATTTTTCACCCCTTTTCACTAATGTTAATGAGTTTTTGTAAGGCCTCTTCACTATCCGTGATAAGAGCGGTATCATCTGCATAGCGTATGCAGTATTTGATATTACTCATTTACTTTTATTCCTTCGTTGTCACTTATAACTTCTCTCATTAAGAATTGTGAATATGTATTATACAATGTTGGAGATGGAACACAGCCTTGTCTTACTCCCTGTCTGACTTTGAACCAATTTATAAATCCATCACAAGCTCCCTTCATATTGCCCAACCCAAATAATTGATTGACTGTGACCTGGCTTATTTACCTTGTAACTGCCAAACATCTGTATACCATAGCTTTGGCATGGCATATTCAATCCCTGTATTTCCTTGAATATTGTTCTTAATCTAGCTCTTTTTATTTGCAGAATGGAGATGCATTGACTGTAACTCATTTTCACTATATTGGATGGTCAGGCTTATTAGGAGAGGTTCCTTTAGTGACTCATGGCATCATAGAGATCATCACAAGAGTACAGTCACACATTGATGTCAGTTTGTCCACAGCAGCTCCTACACTTGTTCATTGCTCGTAAGTCATCTTTTTTATGCTGTAGAAGAGAGTTATGGATTCCCTCCTTATAGTTAATAGGCTTTCTGATAACTAAGATAAAACTGTACCAAGAAGATAATTAACTTTGGAACACTGTGACCAAGTTTCATAAAAGTTTTGTGTGGTATTTGGGCAGCCCTAAGGAAAGATCCAGTTTGATTTTTCACTTTTTGTTTAATCCAAGATGGCATAAAGTGAGGTGTCAGTTGGGATATTGTCTCTGTCATATTTTCTTCTGTCTTAGACTTTACAGTAGCCTTAGGTAGTGTTGTGATGAGATTTATTAATACATTAATCCCTCGCCAACCACGGGTTATATTCCAGAACTCTCCTGTAGTTGGCAAAACTGTGGTTGGTAAGGCTGGGGTTTTTGGGAAAGGGTTTGGAGAAATTACTCTTAAGAAACATGCCCAAAATCCTATAATGTATAGCTGAGGTTAGAAATAAGTACAAGGTGTATGCTGTACAAACTTAAAGAATGTGTGTATAAAAATGCCGTAAAGTACTGTAATGGAACAGTCCCTCTGATGCCATGTGGTTGGCCTTGGTGCTCTCCTTAGCACCATTGCTCCCCCTAGCTATGCAATTTATATGATTTATTCAATACTCATTTCATCTTAACACAAGTAATGTATATCTTATAATTTTGACATCCAATTCTAACTCTGTAAATAATTCCTGTGTCCCTGAATGATAATTTGGTATGTCATTATTGCTTAGTCAGTATACACTTTTAGCATGTCCTGGTCTTAGACCTCTTTTTAATTAAATTTTTATTATGTAATGAAATTATTATTGTTTTTTTAGTGGTGGTGGTGATCGTAGCAGTGTATATGTCTGTCTCAACAACTGTCTGCGTCAGTTGCGACGTGAAGGTCGTGTAGATATATTCCAAACAGCCAGAAGAATAAGGGCTCTGAGACAATTTCTACTACAGGAGTTTGTAAGTTACATTACTTGTTTTAGTTGGAATTTTTCCTATGGAATTTGTAATATACAGTACAGTATAAGTTACACAGCTTTTCAAACTCACTGTGCAAGAACTATAGTTGCCCACTTTCACCTATTTCGTATATTTCAATGTCACTCTGCACACATAAAAATCATTTCAATGTCCTTATTATTAATTTTCTCCAAAACTTCTATTTCCATGTGCCTATAGTTTCATCCAGCCTGGGGATCAAACTCGGATCCATTTGCTTATGAGCCCCCCACAGACATACACATGCACATGGTATGTTATGATATTCAAAGTGTTAATCTGTGTAACCTTTCATTTATAGTATTTATTTCTTGAATTACAGGCACAGTATGAGTTCTGCTACAAAGCACTTGTGGAATTCATTGACAACAAGGGTCTAGAAAACCTTTGAGGCAATAGTGAGCACATCACTGAAGGTTAGAATATTGGTAGATATTTAGATGTGAGACTTTGTGATTTTGTGATTTGATTAAAGTAGAACTAGTGGTTTTAAAGGTGAAGAAAATCACAAGTTGATAAAACATGATAGTGCCAGTGTAAACTACTTTTTCTGAACAATAGTGCAAACGTATGTGCCGAGACATTTTAAATGGCTAGAAAAAAAAGAAATTCTGCAGATGCTGCTTTCAAAGTAAATTGGACAAGGCTGCAGTGCAGTAAAATTCTCTATAGTGTAATTTCAGTTCATAGAGACATTGTAAAGAATCTCTTATTGGTTCTATAATGTCACAATTAAGGATAAGTAGAGTCTGCTGTAGTGATGACCTTTTGTGGTGGTACCAAAATTATTAATGAAACTTGATATATTTTTAAGGCCACATGGAAGATATTTGTACTCACAAGAATGTCTTAATGCAGAATCTTAAGGTATTTGGTTGCATGTAACCCTGGCTGCATTAGTGGATGCATAACACCTTGGTCTTAGAAGAGGAAGAATGTGTGTTAAAGGATGCCTACCCCAGTAAATTCTGTGAGGGTTTATTGATGCTGCTGTTGATCCATGAATGGTGTTTGACCTTCATGTTGTGTATGCTTGGTTTGACTGCTGTTACTTATAGAATCATTCTAGTGACCATTAAGGTTGACCATAGCTGGTAGAAATGACTGCTAGTGCTCAAATGTTTGTACTAGGATATATTTTGCTCATAAATGTAATTGCTTAAAACACACACACACCATTTATATATATATATATAT